CCAGGTTTATGGGAACATCTTAATAATTATTTATTATAGGTAAAGTCGTGGTTGTTTATTTCAGTTCAGCTTCAATATACGAAATTCGTCAATAACGGTAATTATGTGTGGTCGTTGATTAATGCCCGCCGACATAGAATCCGTGAATAGTGAATACCATCATGCTTTCCACCCGCATTCGTTATGCATAGGAGTTTTTTTTAATGAGTCTCGCACATTATACATTACATTATACACGCATGCACTCAGTGTACACAATCATGCATAATACACTATAGCTCAAATTACATGTTGGAAAACCTATAAAGTAGATACATAAGAATTGATTGATATTTTATTTTATGTTGGTAAAGAACAATAAAACTATTGTGGAAATCAAAAATCCTATACTTGGAAGCGCTTTAAAAAACCGCTAATTTTCAAAATTACACCGTCTGTGTACACGGATGTTAAAAGATAGACCCCGGAAGTATGACTCAATGCCCATGTTGCATGCACCGTTCAAAATGTCTGTCTGTTTCGGGGGCCCAAAGATATAGTACTCACAAAAGATGGAACTTTTTAGGGGTTATAATATTGTATTGCATTTTTATGTTACTCAAGGTTAATCGATAGACAAATGGGCTTCCTGGTCCCCTTTTATCATCAATCATCGGCCGCACCCCAAAAACTACTCTAGGATGAAAGAAAGGTTGGTTTTGAGATGCGTGTGTAGTAATAATAAAAAGTTTTCCTGAATGTATATAATATAAAAGGTGTTACCTAGTTAACCCTGGAAAATTGTAGGCCCAGTGAAATAATACAAGAGGAAAATTAAGCTGTAAAATTTAGTTTCAATCTTTATACAATTATATGTTTTGGATAAAATTATACTGGTTTTGCAAAAATCTTTTTTGAGTTAAATAAATATATTATTATTTATTAACAAAAATAATACAAAATTGAAAATACTACACAAAAATAATATTACCCATGCAATAGGTATGCACATTATAGTTTATTTATAGAGTAGAGACCATTGAAAAATATGTTTAAGAGAACGTTTTACCCACAATTTGCTAGTGTACAAATTTGGCTACACAAAATGAGATTTACTCAGGCAGTGATAGTTTTAGCGTAAAACACCTATAATGAAAAAGTGCTAACATCAGTAAGTACCATAATACTTTTTTGTAAACTTTTATATTGACTAGGTATTGATTACCTACTAATAATTTTACGTAATGAAATTTAAATGAATTGACCTACTATGTTAATCAAAGTTGAAATACTTGAAAGAATTATTTTAAGCTTATTATGTTGGTTTTTTTCATTTGGCCATTTCCCAATTGTTACGCCCTATGTCATAGGACCTGTGGGATTACTATGGTGCGGGTGCAGTATGATTTATACCTCTACACTTGTCATACGTTAGCCCTCTGTTAATTGTCGAAGAATCCTACGTTTTTTATTATTATTCAAAGAAGATGCTGCATAATAGAGCGGGTCGAATTCCACCCTTCATATTGTATAGTGGTCCAATGTAGTTAAGCCGATATACACGGGTGTTAATGTAGTGATTATAAAGGTACATACAAAATAAGACATGCTGTGATTGTTATTTGTTTCCATGTAGTATATACTGTGTACATACATTAATACATAATTCTCTTACTCGACGCGCAGTCGGCTCATTGGTTTGCGGGTGGTTAGTAAAATATATAATATAATACTAAACAAGAAAATAACGGGCAATCATCATCATAATCATAAAGCTATTTTGAATAATATGCCTTCTGTGTACGTGATATCACGGTTGGAATAGTTATTTGAATAATATAATTGGAGTATTTTTGGCATTACCTACACCTTAAATAATTTAATATATTTTGCGTTTAGACTTTAGAATATAATGAGTAGCTAATAAATTTATTCAGACCAAGTATAGACAGCAGCTCTTATTAGTATTGCGTCGCCGAGATCTGAAGTATTTTTTTTATATCAAATAAATGAAAATGTTACAAATGTATATTAATATAATATATATGTATAATGTAAATAGCAAATATTGTTTCTAATTTTTTGTTAACATTTTTTTTATCTCATAAAGTAGAAGAATAATAAATTGTTAAGAATTTATATTATGCTTTATTACCAATCTATTTATTGTATGATAGTGGTATTTTCATATTATAAATGTAAAATAGTATTTGTTTGTACTAGATAATAGACAATTTAAGTTATAGTTAAACAAGTACAATATTATGTACAAGTAGTTAACTCAATGATAATACGTATGTAAGTACTCTGTGTTCTGCGGTCTACAACATAATGTAACCATAGGAGGTATATTATGTATTATGTACTTGTTAGTTGTTGACATCTTATCTTAGAAACCGTATATTATATTTCTATGTCCAATTGTATGTGTTGCAGTAATTTGTGAACTCTTAGGACGCTATTATAGCCCAAAGATATCACTCTCTGTGATTGTATCCTCAATGTTATTTTAACAAGACTTGAAAATATTTTTTTACGTGTATAAGATGTATATGGGTAACGTACCGTGTGATTTTTCCGCATGTCACGTTTATGATAAAGATAACAGTGAAATTTCCTGACTCCTGAGAAATGTTACACTACATATGTATCTAACATAAATGTCTACTGTCTAGTTAGCGTACATTTAATATTTCCTATTATTATAAAAACCATACTACATTTTAAGCTTATCCATAAAGACCAAAATGGATCATTCTTTTAGCCAAAATTATGTTTTTTTTATAAGCCAAATGTAAGTTGTCAACCGCGCGTAGCACAGATATATAAATACTTTATTTTTTGTTAATTATTTTCAAATAAATACTTAATAGATATATTTTTATTATGTATAATTTGTAATTTGACTTCTGCAGTTTTGTAATTTTTCTTTTCGAAGTCCTTTTTTTATTTAATGTCATTAATAATATTTTAACTAATAAAAAACTAAGCATAAGGGCTAAGGATCGTTCATTACAATTCAACTTTTCCTAGGCGTGCTTATAAATCGAAAAACATGTTTACTCCGCCAAATGATTTAAAATTCAATAATAAGTAATTCAATATTATTGCATTGAAATGTTAACAACATTATTCCATTTTCTTATTTTTTCTGTTTTTAACATCTTGCAATGCTAAATTATTACTTTTCCGTTAAAATCTTACACCACGAATGTACTATATATTCATTACTATATATTTATTCTTTAGACGACTATATTATTATGTTATTATACGGTTGAACATACTTGTCTACTCGTCTATCCGGTTTTGTTTCTAGGTATTTAATAAAATACGTTCAGGATTTCTGGTAGCCGCCAAACGCCAATGGATAACACTTAGAAATTTTCATATAGATATTCCCGCCATCGAATACAGTATTATTGCCATTACAACAATTTCATCATGTTTATATTAACAATAATACCTTTTACTGTAACAGGCTAGGTATGTAAAAATCTGTTTGTTTTCACAATGTCGGTACATGTGCAGGTACTGTGATGAGATTTGCGTGTAGTTAAGTAAAAATTACTAGCGTATGTCTATTTGACTCACCTTTGTTTAACACAACATTTATTTTTATCTTATAAGTTAGAAATCATTTTAAATCTTAGTAAAAATAAAAATTTCCCATGAGTTATTTATATTGAGACTTGAGTAAACGAAAATTAGTCGGGTCATATTACCGTGATACTGGTCGAAATGATTAGTTAAGGGTTATGAATATAGACATCCAAAACACTTAATTAGATACAATAGTGAATGGCTCAATAGGCATTAAGGCTATGTCAGGTTCTAGTGACAAAATTATCAAAAGTCAATTTAGAAGTTCCAGTAACTTTTGTGGCCGTATCTAATTATTTTTACATTAAAAAACTTTAAATGAATTAACTGCTTATTTTTTATTTTATCAAAATTTAAAGTGATTTAATTTCTTTAAATAGTACAGTTTTACAAGCTAATTTATAACTTATAATTAATTAATGTTAAAATTTGAGCAAAACAATCTGGAATTGTAAACAAACGAGTGACCAAAGTACAGACATAAAATATAAGTAATACAAGTAAATCTATTTTTAATAGAAACAAATAACGGTGTATTGTTTGAACTTTACGACGTATAACATAATCATTTGATTAAAAGTTTTCAATTAAAATGTATATTTTAATGAACCTTAAAAATGTATTTATTGTGCTGGAGAAAAATTACGACGCCGATTATGCGGACCCGTCGCACATCCATCGCACTAGCGATAGTCGGTTATCCGTGCAGTTGTGAAAAATAATTATATTGGCCCCCACGTCCGCCCACCACCACCGTGCCAGATGCACTTTATGATCTGGAGCACGAAAAAGCGCAATAGTGGCACGCGGTCCGTTGTAAAAGCGCACGTGGGGGAGAAGACATTACAGACCGACGAAAGCGCTTTCCCTTCGGCGGAGATACGTCACGTTCAGCCCGGAGGAGTGTATACATTTGTCTGCCAGCAAGAAACGGCGTAGGACAGCAGGTCTCAACGAATGTATCGATCGATCGATACACGCACTAAGCGACAACATAATAATATTATATACATACGTCGTTGTTGGACGAACAACGCATGAAAGATTGGATAAAAAAAATAAGAAACTACCCGTGTCTGGCGGCAATAATATTATGGTTTCATTATCATTTACTGAAACCACCGCCGCGCCGCATCTGTTTAGTCGTTATCCCCATTATTTTTTTTTTATTTACGGAATATTAATAATTTACTTTATATTGTGCACCCGGTATGAGGGCGGAACGTACGGCGCACACCATAATAACATCTATGTAAATGCGCGGAGTCAATTAAAAAATTCCGTGTATCGTTGTTTTGCGAACCACTGGCCCGCCGTCGATTGATTACTGGTTACAGCGGACGGTACGTGGGCGAGAGGGTAGCGGTGGGATGCGGCGGCCGTAGTAGTCACAACTAATGTGCGTTCTCGGTCATTGGCGCGTACATGGCAGCGTCCCGGCAGTTTGGTTTCTTCGTCCGGTGAGACAGGTGAAGGGGTTATTACTTATTTCGTGTACCTATTCCATTGTAGTACTTGCTACTCGCGACCGTTCGGCATTTAAAAACACAATGGCGTCAAAACAATAGTGTTTTTATTTTATTTATTTATTTACATTACAAAAGTGCGCGCTATCCGATTGACAAGTGTTTGTTTATAATATTACAACAGTAACTGTGCCGAAGTAGAGCGTCGTGCTCGGACGAACTGGATTAAATTGTATACAAACGAGGTGCGATTATCTGTGACAAATATATAATGTTATAATGATGATGCATTCAAAATCTCACGACTCCAACGACCGTAGGCCCATGGATCGTTCAGTTATAATTATTATGAGGTCGTCCCCGGGTTAATATTTTCTGACTATCCAAGTGTTGTTGGGTCACACATCACTATGTTAGTGCTCTATGTCACCGCTCTGTTCTTGTCATTGGCGCGTTCAGTGCTACCGTATTTGCTGGTGGTCACCGATACAGATTCACCGGGATTAGTGTTGTTTGACGGTGGCACTCCGTTCTATGGACGACCGCCAAGGCGATACTCATTGAATGCAGAAAAAAATGCCGATTTTGTATCAAATTTGTTGCGTGTTGATCACTATACGGGATCAGTTATACTAGAAAGGCCGCTAGAATGTGATGGATTCAAGTACCCGGACGTGTTCACATTATATGTGGATTCTACGTCTAACGATACGTTGGAATACATGTCTGTTCCCTTGAGAATAGTCATTAAAGGATGCGAAAACAATAGTAAGTGTTTAATTTTTTATACACTAGAGCTCCTTAATGTGTTAATGTGTTTTAATACATTTAAAAAGAACAAATATATACCAATGTATTCTTTGCTATTATTCCATGTTTAAATTTAAAACAGATTTTATAGTTTAAACAGTAAAAAAAAAAAGAAAAAAAGCATTTTTTCTAATATTTAGACGTTTTTATCATTTAAATAAAATTAAATAAGATATAGGTATATAAATAGTTGGATCAATTTAAATGATTACTTTGCTAATCAAATTAAAAAACAGTTATAACTGTTAAATGGTTAAAACTGATGAGTTTTCTAAAAAAAAGTAAAATATCCTTTAAGAGGATGCCACTCCATCCATTTTTTAAGAAGTAAAGTAAAGGCAATTTTTAAAAAATTCTTTATGTAGAGTTTTAACAATAGTGTGTAGTTATTAATATTTAATACAGTAATGTGATAATTTATTGATTGCCATTTTTTTTTGTCAGACTATCACAGTCATTTCTATAAAAGAAAAATTATTTACGAGATTTCGACTAAATGAAAATTCAGATCCTATTTGCAAAACTGTAATAACCTGAAAATTGCCTTTTTCGCACTTTAATAAAGTGTGACTCACGCTAGTCACACAACTATATTATGAGACTGGGATAATTTTTTACCCCGCTCACGTGCTAAGGAATAAAAAATTAAAAAATTACAAAAGTTACTTATTACTTATTACAGATTTATCCTGTAATATAATTTTACACACAATTTTTTATTTGGTATCATGTGAATTTCTTAATTTGAATAACAAATTATTATATATTTTGTTTTGCTGTTCACTAGGTATTTTTGTAATTGGTCAGAAACATTTTTAGTTTATTCATTTTAAATTAAATTATGCAACATACTTTTGGTTAAAGTTCTATAAAAGTTTAGGAAAAATGTTTTTTAATTTAAATACATTTTTTTTGTAATTTTACAATACCTATTCATTGTTTAAAAATAGTTACCTATATAGTAATTTTGAATTTTGTTTTTTCAGGTACTGATAAAAACTATTCTAATGTTTTGAATGATTACCTAGTTGTTATTTATGAATATTTATTTTGTTTTTCAGAAGTTGATAATGAATTGGATTCTCGTGTTGAACTAGCAAAAAAACTTTCAAGTAAAACACTCGTTTCAGTTGTTTTATCAACAGTAAAGTAAGTAGGATAATATAAAATAGTTTGTTGTCTAACTAATAGAAATCTAAAAAGTATTGTTCTCTCTCATAGTCTGAAATCTGGTACCGGCGTGTCTACTGGTGAATTAGATCAAAAATGTTGGCGTAAAAGTGAGTTTGTAGCTCCGCTTGGTTCTTCTGTTATACCACAAAGCATCTTTAACGAATGCAACGTGCGGTATATTGATGTCAGTGATACTAGATTTAATGTGGAATCAAAAAACGGTGATTTGGTTGTGTCTGAAAACTTTTGCTCAACACTTGACCCAATGTCGATTATTGTTATGATTTCTTACAATTGTGATATAAACAGTGAAATTGTGTCTCCTTCTGAACACTACATAAAGGTAATTTTATCAAAAAACTCAGTAATGTCAAAATAAAAATTTTTTATCAGTTATAAGAACATAGTACATATTTAATGTTTATAATTTTTAGATGATACTTTGGCATAAACGTAGCCTAACAGAGATTGGTCGAGTGCGAAGGGATGTTGAAATGGCCGATAGTGGACTTCAATTTGAAAGAAGTCTTTATGTTGCTAGTGTAGGAGAAGAACTCCCATCTGGAACAGTCGTTTGTAGTGTGCACGCGAGGAGTATGCCACCTAATAATAATCAGATAGAATACCAAATGAGTCCGATTATAGATACTAGATCACATGCAATGTTTACCATTGATCCTAATTCAGGTTTAGTCTCTACATTGGTGTCATTAGACAGGTATGTCATATAATATTTGATTACTATGTAGTGAATACGTACAGATGTATTGCCATTTAATTAATAATGCGATTCTATTTTGCAGAGAATTTATGGATGTTCATTATTTACGAGTAATTGCCATAGATACTTCATCCCATCCATCTACAGCAACTACTACCCTTCAAGTAAATGTAGTTGATGCAAATGATCATTCTCCCATTTTTGAATCGGCATCTGGCATGTATGAAGCTTCAGTAAGGGAATCTGTTTCAATCGGCACAGTTATTATTACTATCAGAGCTACGGACCTTGATATTGGACTAAATTCTCAGGTACATACCAATATATTTAACTCTAAATACACAGAACATTTTTTAATTTATTTCTAAAAAAAAATTATCTGTTTAGATTGAATATTCCATTGAAAGCATATCGGGTGGTGGCTTAAATGCTAGCGCTGAAGAAACTTTTGGAATAGATCTCCGTAGTGGCGTCGTTAGTGTTAGACGCAATTTAGATCGAGAAGTTTGTGAAGTATACACTGTTATGATAAAAGCAAGTGATCAAGCAACACCACCATCACCGCGGAAGTCTGCTATCGCGACACTAGTCGTGAGGGTTTTGGACGACAATGACAATTACCCACAGTTCTCTGAAAGAGCATATACAGTTAACATTCCTGAAGATTTAAGTCCTAATCAAAGGCCAGTGATTGCTACTATAAAGTATGTTTTAAGAGGAGTTTTGAGCAAAATCAATTATAAATCACTTAATTTATGTTTTGTGATTTTAGAGCTACTGACACTGATCAGGGTTTAAATGCTGTTGTGAGGTATGCCATAATTGGAGGAAATACACAAGGTCAGTTTTCAATTGACAGTCAAAACGGAGAAGTTTCATTAGTGAAATTGTTAGATTATGAAGTCATGAGAAGCTATAGGCTTATGATAAGAGCTCAAGGTAATTTTATTTTTTAATAAGACGTAGGTAAATAATATTTGCTAACTTCTTTCTTTTTTATTATATATTTTTTGACTATGTTTAGATGGTGGAAACCCAAGTCGTTCAAATACTACCCAGTTGTTGGTGAACGTTAAAGATGTTAACGATAATCCTCCTAGGTTTTATACGTCACTTTTCCAAGAATCTGTTTTGGAAAATGTAGCTGTAGGGTATAGTATAGTGAGAGTTCAGGCATATGATGCGGATGAGGGTGAAAACGCTGCATTAAAGTATCGTATATCACCGAAAGATTTTGATGGGGCATCTGCAGAAAACTTGCCAATAGCTGTGGATGAAAAAAGTGGCTGGGTGTACACCACTAGTTTATTAGATCGTGAAACTAACTCAAAGTATCAGTTTCAAGTAGTAGCTGAAGACGGAGGTGATCCACCCAAAACGGCCACTGCTAGTGTTGTGGTGACTATTCAAGACGTCAATGACAATGAACCAATATTTAATCCAAAACAATATGAAGTTATAATTAGTGAAGATTCACCACCAGGAACACCTCTTACAACAGTCGTAGCAACAGATCCTGATGAAAATCCAAGGTATAATTTTATTTATTTGCAAAATAACTATATTTTGTGTTTAATTTAAAATTTACATATCTCCTTTTTTTTAGATTGCATTATGAAATATCCAGTGGAAATTCAAGAGGAAGATTTGCCATTGCAACTCATAGTGGCAAAGGTTTGGTGACAGTAGCTCAACCGCTGGACTATAAACAGGAAAAACGTTTTATATTATCTGTAAGTCCTTTATTTTATTTAAAAATTTAAATAGTTGTAAACAGAGATAGGCATTATTTAATTAATACATTTTTAAAAATTATTCATAATTCATTATTTTAATCCTTTTTGCACATGGTTGTATTCAGGTTACTGCAACCGATGCAGGAGGTTTATACGACACTGCTACCATATATGTGAATATCACTGACGCTAACAACTTTGCTCCAATTTTCGACAATGCACCATATACTGCTAGTGTATATGAAGACGCTCCAGTCGGTACAACCGTTCTTGTTGTGTCGGCTACTGATGGTGATGTTGGTCAAAATGCTTTGGTAAGTTAAATAAGTTTCATATTGTAAACATGTTTAATTTTAATGATGATTTTTTATAGATAAGTTATTCGCTCGCAAGTGGTTATGGTGATGCATCAGAATTTACTATAAATGCTCAGAGTGGTGCAATTGTTACCACCAAACCTTTGGACCGTGAAGTCCAAAGTGGGTTTTTACTCACTGTTACGGCTCGTGACGGAGGCAACCCTCCACTTTCTGACACCACAGATGTCGAAATCTCAATTACTGACATTAATGATAACGCACCTCAGTTTTTCAATGCATCATATTACGGATCAGTGTCTGAAGACGCTCTTACTGGAACAAGTGTTCTCCAAGTAAAAAAAAATGTATATTGTTAGTTCTCTATTTAGTTTAAATTTGTTGAAATTTTAGGTGAGCGCTTCAGATGCAGACTCCGGTCTAAATGGGAGAATTAAGTATGCCTTAGATGATGGTGTAGAAGCATTCGTTATAGATCCAACTTCAGGCATACTAAGAACAGCTGCTTCATTAGATAGGGAAAGCATTCCTCAATATAACATTCATGTTTTTGCCATTGACAAAGGTTCACCTTCTTTATCTACAGCTGTAAGTAAAATACATTTTTTTTAAAGGACCAAACTAAAAATAAAAATAAATTTAGGTTCCTGTGACAATACGTATTGAAGACGTAAACGATTCACCGCCAATTTTCGAATCTGATAAATTAGTTATGTATATTGCTGAAAACTCTCCTATTGGATCAACTGTTGGTGAACTTTATGCTAAAGATCCTGATGAAGGACCCAATGCATCCGTTCAATATTCAATTATTGGTAATTATTTTTTCGACATTGTACTGAATATATATTAATAGCAATACTGTTGTTTAGGTGGCGAAGATGCAAGTAGTTTTTCTCTTTTAAGAAGACCTGGCCTCGATAAAGCTGAATTATTAACGTCTGTTGAACTTGATTATGAATCAAACAAAAAAAAGTTTGAACTAGTTGTTAGAGCTTCATCTCCTCCATTGCATTCTGATGCACCATTGACGGTTTACTTGACTGATGTGAACGATAATGCACCTAGGCTTTCAGATTTTCAAGTTATTTTCAATAATTTCAAAAATTATTTTCCTACTGGTCCTTTTGGTCAAGTTCCTGCTTTTGATGCTGACGTGTCAGACAAACTTGTATATCAAATAATATCCGGAAACAACGCTAATTTAGTGCAATTAAACGAATCCAACGGGATGCTCACATTATCACCACAATTGAATACTAACGTTCCTAAAATTGCTTCTATGGAAATATCTGTTACCGGTAATTGATTATGATTTTATTTTTCAGATTGTTCGTTACTAATTTTCACTTGTTATTTTAGATGGAGTAAACGAAATAAAAGCTACCATGACCCTAATAGTGCGTTTAGTTACTGAAGAAATGCTTTTTAATTCAGTTACTGTCCGATTAGCCGACATGACTAAAGAAGCCTTTTTATCGCCGTTACTAGAATTTTTTGCGTCTGGTTTAGCAGCAATTATTCCTTGCCCTAGAGACAATATTTACATATTCAGCATACAAGATGACACCGATATCGACGGACGAGTGTTAAATGTTAGTTTTTCAGCTAAACAGCCAGACGGGGTTTTCTATTCTCCACAGTATTTGCAAGAACGTGTATATTTAAATCGAGGAATACTCACTCGACTATCAACTGTGCAGGTAATCGAGCTTAAAATTTTACTTATTTGTATGATATTAGTACTATAAAAAAATTGTATTTTAGATATTGCCTTTTGAAGACAACTTGTGCGTAAGAGAACCGTGTTTAAACTTTGAACTTTGTTTGACCGTTTTGAAATTTGGAAACGCTTCAGCATTCATCAATAGTGACACTGTGTTATTCCGACCTATTTATCCAGTCACCACATTTGCATGCCAATGCCCGCACGGCTTTACAGGCAGTCAAAAGTATTATTTATGCGACACAGAAGTAGATTTATGTTATTCAAATCCTTGCAAAAACGGAGGGAAATGTCATAGCAAGGAAAGTGGTTATACTTGCATTTGTCCAACTCGTTTCACTGGAGAAAATTGTGAAATAAGTCTCAACCACGATCAATGTAGACCTGGTATTTGCCAATCTGGTGCCACTTGTACACCATTAAAAATTGGAGGTTTTTCATGCGATAACAATTGTTCTCCAGCCGGTACATTTGAATATTATGATGAAATCTGCAGGCTTCGATCTCGAGGATTCCCCAAGTCTTCGTTTTTGACTTTTCCTTCTTTGAAGCAAAGATACCGTTTACATATATCTTTGAAGTTTGCAACATTAGAAGAATCCGGTATACTGCTGTACAACGGGCGCTACAACGAACGTCATGATTTCATAGCATTAGAACTTGTTGAAGGAGGTCGCGGTGTACAATTTTCCTTCTCTTTAGGTTCTGAAATAACCTATGTAACTGCATACCCTCCTAAGGGTGTTGCTAATGATGGGCTTTGGCATACTGTTACAATTTCTTACATCAACAGGGTAAGTAAAATTAGGCAGCAAAGTTACCATCATCAGCGCATATAATAGTAGTCTGTTGTATCGGCTATGCCTCGACCCTACTATGCTATGCCTTTTTATTTTTTTTTATTAAATAAATCTTTATTTAAATTACAGAGTGCGACTATAAGTTTGGATGACTGTGATGTTCCTCTGACTGTGAAGTATGGTACATTGCTTGGATATACTTGTGCAAATGTTTCTACTCAAGTTTTAGAAAAAAGGTAATATCTACAGGTTTTATCTGGAATGTCAATTGGGAAAATTCTCTGTCTATAAATTGTACTATTATTTAGATGTGAAATATTGACCGAGAGCTGTCATCGGTTTATGGATCTTACGGGACCTCTTCAAATTGGCGGTCTGCCCATACTACCGGATTCCACTAGTTTTCAGGTTAAAAATAAAGATTTCATTGGATGCATATCTGATGTGTACATAGATTACAAACTTCTTGACCTAAACAGGTTAGTGAAAATAAATTGGTAATGTTTTATTTGGTTACAGTATTAAAATATGTATACTTCTTAAATTTTAGTTTCGTGGCTGATAACGGTACTGTCCTTGGTTGTGCAGAACGTAAATCGTTGTGTGTGGAGAAGCCTTGTAAAAATGGTGGAAGCTGCACAGATCACTGGGGAACATACAAATGTGACTGCCCTGAACCATGGGGAGGAAAAGACTGTAGTCAATGTAAGTTAATTTTATTATATTAATAAAACTATTAAAATAAACATTGTGTAACCGTCGGATAGAGTAATATGTTATCTCGTCTTGCAGCACTTAGAGCTCTTTGGCAGTTTTCTGGTGATGGCATTGTAGCTTTTAACCCATTATTACGTACTATTCAGTTTCCTTGGTACACGTCATTGTCGTTGAAAACTAAAAAAGCAAATTCTCCAGTAATTTCTATAAATATTGGACAAAACACTACAGCTCGAGTTTATGTAAGTTAAAAGTATTAAAAAGTAATAATTTATTTAATAATTGGGTATTTAAAAAAAATTTAGTTGGAAAGTGGATATATTGTCTATATTGTTGATGGCCAAAGAGCAGTGTTCAGCAGTGTTCCAATAAATGATGGAAACTGGCATAATCTAGAAATTGTGTGGCAAAATACAGGCGGGGTCAAGTTTGTGCTTGATTATGGTTTACGATCTGTGGTCAAAACACTAAACGCTAAACTTCAAGGACAATTTGTTGGAAAGATTCAGCTAGGAAATTTCAATGAAGACTTAACTGACGTTGATGAAAATACAGGATTTAATGGTTGTATAAAAGTAAGAATCTTATTTTAACATTTTACTGTATGCTCTATAGTAGGGTGAATTGTTATTCTGTTGTGTTTAAAAGAAATTTCATTGACCTTATAAAATAGGTTTGAAATTAATAATAAATTATTATTAACGCCACCAAAAATTTTTAGTCTTTTTTATGTTAACATGTGACCCAGTCACATACTTTTACCTGAATAGAGAGGCATCAAATTAAGGGTGTATTGAAATTAATGTTGACTGTCTCACTACATGATATTATATTCATAAACGAGAGTTAAAAATAGGTTCTATGCATTTTTTTTTAAAATAAAATAATGATGTAAACAAAATAAAATTTATCACAATGTTTAAAACGACATTCTATTATAAATTAATTCTATTTTAAAATTAATTTTAAAAATTTCAAAAATTATTTTTAAATTTTTCCAAAAAAATATTTAAATATTTATAATGTTGAGTAACATTATTTTGTTAGAAGATTTTGCTATAAATATTGTAGAATAACTTATTGATTTTTCATCATATTTTATGACTAAAGCTAATTATTTTAGATAAGTGACTGGCGGCACATCATGTGTTAACATAAAAATTAGACCTAAAACTTGTCCATATTGAACTTGGGTGAAATAACGAACGAGGGATTATATTGTTAAACTTCAACTAAACCTAAAATAATAAACAACCCTAGTTTGCAGTGTAAGTAAACATTGGATATTTATTTTGAAAACTCTTTATTAGGATGTGCGAATTGGACATAGCGGGGGAGCTACAGTTTTAGAAATTCCCGAAATGATGGTACGTGTCAGGGAAGATTGTGAACAAGAAAATCCGTGTACTTCCAACCGATGTCCATTGCACAGTGAATGCATACCGTCATGGCATAACTATACTTGCAAATGTCACACTGGTAAAATAGAAATGTTGTGCATTTTTTTTTTTATAGAAAATTTAATAATTTAAATTCGGTGTTAGGTTTTGTTGGAACAACATGTGTAGGCGTATGTGATACCAACCCTTGTGAAAATAATGCTTTGTGTGTGGAAGATCAAAAAAGTTTACGAGGATACAGTTGCCAGTGCAATTCATCTGTATTTACAGGTTTGTATTCATTGTAGAAATGTATTTTTGACTTGCAAAATGTTTGCTGGTAATAGAGGCTATTTTTTATTTATTATATTTTTAGGTGAGTATTGTGAAAACGAGCTCCAGGAATCGTGTCCAATAAGCTGGTGGGGACATCATCGAGGAGTTTGTGGACCGTGTAACTGTATGGTGGACAATGGTTATAATCCGCATTGTAACAAAACTACTGGTCAATGTTATTGCAAGGTAATAACAATCTGGCTAATCATGTTAAATTTACTAATTGATGATTTTAATTATATTTTAAGGACAACCATTACACACCTCACAATTCTGACAAATGCTTAGAGTGTGGCTGTTATAATGTTGGTTCTTTTGATCGATCTTGTGATTTGGTTTCTGGGCAGTGCAAGTGTCGTCCAGGTGTGATTGGACGGAAGTGCGATAAATGTCCAAACTCTTATGCTGAAGTCACATTAAACGGCTGTGAAGGTATAGAAAATAATTTGATTGCATATTAGTAGTATGATATTACAATTTTTAAATAACACAATAATAGTATGTACATTACTTTTTAGTTATAAAAAAATTCATTGTTCGGAGTTAATGCCTAATTGACTTCAGTAATGTTCCAAAGCAAATGTTGTAGGTTTGTTATTTGTTTTGGTGCAAATAAAATATTAAAATATAATGAATAACTTAAGGAACAAATATATTTTATTTCTTCTGGAATGAATACTTAAGACAAATATACATTAATTCCGTTATTAATTTTAGATCACTGGAAGAAATATTACACTTATTTTTGTTTTTTAGTGATTTATGACGGTTGTCCAAAAAGTATTGCTGGTAACATTTGGTGGCCAAGAGCAAAATGGGGTGAATTATTCACTGAAAATTGCCCACCCGGTTCAACAGGAAAAGCTACAAGGCTGTGTCAAAGTCTAATGAACGGATGGCAAAATCCTGATGTTTTCAATTGTACTTCAAACTCATTTATTGAACTTCAACGACTTGTGAGCATAGCATCATTTAGTATTATTAATTTGTCAGTATGCTTTTAACTTTTAGTTTTAATACTTGAACCATTTAACTTTTAGCTGAATGAATTGGAATCAAAATCAATGAAAGTTACCACCTTTGTCGCAGTTAGCAGTGCTAATAGTCTTTACAAGGCAGTTAACAATACTCGTGAATTACATGGTTCTGATGTGCTTATCGGTCAAAAATTAGTACGACATTTATTATCCCATGAAGGCTCGTTGTCGGGTTTAAACTTGACACATAGTCAAGATAAGGATTATATATTTGTATGTATTTTATGTAGTAAAGAAATGAATACCCTTAATCTTAAAATAATACACTATGCATTTACGTATTTCGGCAAAAAATTTTGTCATCTTCAGAGCTAACGATAGAATGAGACTAATCAGGGGCGAACACCTCCTTATACATATATATAGAGTCATCATACCAGAAATAATGACTCATCGTTAATAGTTAGTTTTATACATATTAATGAAATGTTTTGTTATAGACTCAAGTCCCAGTTTAAAAAATTGATCCTATTTTTAAACATTTCTATAGCCTCCCTATTATTAGGTTCTTTTTGAGTTAATTAATTACATTTTTTAGTAATTTTACTGATTTAATGCTATGAGTAGTGTCTAATAAATCTTCTGCAACAGGAGATTTGTGTACTTCTTGTTTTTTAATGTTCCTTATGTGTTGTTTAAACTTTTTTTTTTTTATTTGAAGAATATTTACAATCTATACTTGCTTCGAGCATAATAAGCAAATAGTAACAATATATATGATATGATATAACAAAAGGAGGGAGGTCATCTAGTGATAGAACCCAACAATAATTCTTTAAACCTAACCCCAATATTTCGTTTTGTCTGTCTGACCTACATTAGCATTTATCACACTCTTCACATTGTATTTTATAATAACTTTATGTTTGTATAATGTTTTAAATTAATATTCCATTTTTGATTTATCTAGAACTTGGTAATGGCCGCAAGTCGCCTACTAGACTTAAGTGAAATTGACCATTGGCAGCACATAAATATCTTAACGTCTGAGGGACCGTTTGGTTTGATGGATATGATTAATAACTATATGGCAACTTTATCAACTACTCAACATGATACTTATACGGATCCATTTGAAGTGGTCACTCCTAACATTGGTAAATATTTGTTTAGACTTCCAATTTTATTATTTATATTATTGATCAATTTGTTTTTTTTTTTTGCAGTTGTTGGGTTAGATGTAGTTTCAGCAGAAAGTTTGTTTGGGTTTGAACCTGAACACGAACATCCCGATCTATCGACTTCTTCTGTAACTCAAGAAAAAGTGAGCTTGCCAGATTCATCTATTCTTCAACCTGCCATACAAGTAAATACCTAATAATTGTTCAAGTATAATATGTCATAAATGTTGTAACTGTAAACTGATAAAATTCTTTTTATTTTATTTAGGTTTTAAGTTTAAAACCAGGGTCAGAAATTTTAGGCTTAAAAAACTTGGGTAGTCCGGTCGTTGTTTTGCCCAAGTATAATAACTATCTTATGGATTCCTCAAAATTTGACAAACACACACAGGTCATGGTACCTATTGATTTATTGGGAATTGAACCAGTAAAATATGGAACTACTACGACCAGGGGGCAACTGTCGAAAAATGCTGCGGTAATTGGTTATGTGCAGTATCGTACTCTTGGTGCTTTATTGCCAATGCGCCATGATGATACAGTTTTAAAACGATATTCTGTAGACCTCCAAGTCGGTTCACCCGTTGTATCATTTGTTGCTACTTTGAATCGTAACAACCCAAAGAGTAAGTTAGAATATTTAGTTAAGATATTATTGATAGTAAGTTTTTATATTATTTTAATGTTTATATAAATAGGAACGCTGAGACAAGTAAATGGTAAAGAAATATCTGAGCTATCCAACATAGTACCATTGGATTCACCTGTTCGTATAAGAATTTGGCTTAACAAACATCCTATCACTATAAGGTCTAATCCACAATGTGTCCGTTGGTCTACTTCACGAGTGTAAGTAGTTTAAACTTGTTCCATATCTCAAGTATAGTTAATAGCTAGGTTAATATGTGCAATATGTTTATTAAAAACTATAGAGCTGACGGAGAATGGACTCGAGCTGGCTGTCATACAGAGCTGCCGGAAGACGACTGGTGGGAAATGGATTCAATTCTCATTAACTGTACTTGTAATCAGCTATCAACCTACGCTGTTCTTACAGATGTTGTTGACGAACACGTATGCTATTTTTTTATTTTGTATTATGTTAAAAATGATAATACAATTGCACTGACACTACTATTTTAATTTACAGTACATAATTGAATATTCCAACTTGGAACTATTTTCAATATTTATTTCATTTGGTTTAGCAATTATTGCTCTTCTTGTTACTTGCGTGTTGTTGGTCGCTGTACGTGCCGGGACCAATACGAGCTCAATATATACTCACTTCGCATTATGTCTGCTACTTACCCAATGTGTTTATTTAGCAGCTACTCAAACAAGAGGAACTCTGTATACCTTTGAGGTATTTTATTATTTCAATGGTTGAAAAAAATCTCAGTGATTTCTAACTTTGTTTTACATTTAAGTAAAAACTTAATAATAATTAACGATTATTTAAGAATTCATTTTTTTTAGATATGGTGTAAATTTTGTGCCATTACCTTGCACTACTTATGGTTGGCAACAATCGGTTGGTCGTTAGTTGCTGCGCTTCATTTATATCGCATGTTGACTGAACTTCGCGACGTCAACCATGGCCAGATGGGATTTTATCACAGTATTGGATACGTCCTACCTGCTATCATTGTCAGTTTGTCCGTGGGGGTGCGCATCAATCAATATGGAAATTATTATTTCTGTTGGTTGTCAGTCTACGAATCTGTTATTTGGAGTTTGATCGGCCCTACTTGCCTTGCTATTGCCATTACTGTTATTGTTTTATTACTTTGTATTCGAGCCGCATTCACCCTCAAAGATCATGTTCTCGGCTATGGAAATTTAAGGTAAATTTTTTTATATACTTATTAACTTGTATACTTGTATATACTTTTCTTACTTATAATTATCAATCTTTCAGGAGTGTTTTGGTTGTGCAAGTAATTTGTGTGCCGATACTAGTTGGTGTTTGGCTGCTAGAAGTCGTAGTGGCATCTGAACGTGACACCCGTCTCATATATACGTTATGTGCTGCTGTTTGTGGCCAAGGTTGGCTCATATTAATTGGTTTGTGTTATTCTAACGCCAAGCTCAAGTGTGGAGTCCATAGTTGTGCTCTGCGACTTATTGGCAAAGAAGTTCAAGAAAAAAACGAACCAGACTCTGGTATTGGAGCTGTGTCGCCTCCTACTTTTAGATCGTCCTTGTCTTATCGTAACACTGGTGGAGGAGGAGCTGCAGGTACTGATGCTCCAAGAAGACCCATGGGCATATCTATGTCGAGTACAACTTCTCGGTCTACTACAAAAACCAGTAGTAGTCCATACAGGTAATATCAATTTCACATTTTTAAAGTAAAGATAGTTTATAAATAAATGCTAAATAAAAACCTATCGTAAAATTAATACCTTTTCAGCTTCCCTAAATAAATAAACTATTGTATAATAAACTCAATTTATTATGTTATTAACAGAAGTGATACTCATTTGAGGAATACATCAACGACAACTAGTAATTACGATCATTCTACATCAGACTTGCCATCTAGTTACCATAGAACGCATCATACATCAGATTCAGATTCCGAAGGGTCGGGTGAAGGAAGAAGTTTAGACCTAGCTTCATCGCATAGTAGTGACGAGGACGACTCGTCTCGTCACCGAGGTCGTAGAAGCAATGTTTCTTCCACAAGACCTTCATCATTCCTACCAAACATAAATGAAGATCCTGGTTTACCACCATCTCTTAATGTAATCACAAATTCACAGTTGTTCCCTAATTTAAAGCCATTATATGCTCCGCGGTGGACAAACCAACCATACCCAACAGGTACTAAAAGTTCATGAAATACGATTAAGAAAATAACTATACATTTATTTATTTTTCTTTGACTATTGTTATTTGTAGTTCAAGAAGAAGACCTCAATGAAGGACAACATCGTTGGACAGGATCAACGATATCCGACCCAGATAATTCTATTATCAACAATAGAATGTCTCTCGAACCTCCATTGTTGAGTGGTGAACATTTTACTTTTCACCATAAAAGCTCAACGTTTAATTCTTTAAATAAAACTGGATCAGATTGTGATGTTGACGAGAAAGTTAGTCTTGGAGAAAAATATTTATTCCCTTATACAGGTATACAACAGTTTTTTTTATTTGAAAAAGTTCAAAATATTAAAAATCCATTAATTTTGAATTTGTACAATAAGTAAACTAACATAATTATTATTTTTGTCATTTACAATATTTTACTATTTTGTCACATCAATGAAATATTTATTTTATAGCTGAAGAAGATCATTGCCATTCGGCATATCGAGACATGTACGGGGAGAGTCGTAGGGGTAGTGATTTGTACGGCATATCCATGCCGCCATCTATGCCAAGTCGAGGAAGTGAAAACAGTTCATTGCATAGCGTTGACAATAGGTTTGTAACAGCTCGAGCGTATAGTCAGCCTGTTTCACCATCCACACACGCTTCCACTTCTACACTAAATTTGCACTCTAGACATGGTTACACCAATGAGTATGGCATACAGGAAATACTGGAGTCCGAGTAAGTCATTATCAAGAATGATTTGTTATCGTCATGGTATTAATTATTTTTGGTTGAAGTCTTTTAGTGGGTATTTGATAATTAAGGTGTTGTATAAAAATATCATATTTCACTATATTAAGGTGATGGCTTCACTACAAAATTATAATTGGATAAATGCGTACTAAACACCTCAATATTAATTTTAATCATCGCATCAGTTCTTTACTGGCTTTACGTGTCAAGTCCCAACATTTTAAAAGTTTTAATTATTTGTAACTGTAAGTGGCGTGGTTTAGTTATACAACCAACCACTACTTGTGATAAGTTACATTGACCATTGCTTACTTCCAAACAAGATTCTTTACAACTAAATTGAGACTTTTTAAAACACAGTATCTAAAAATATTGGTTTTAAAATGGAAAAAACATCTTTTTTTTAACCTAAATATTACAAATTAAAACTTAATATTACCGAGAATCTCAAAACTGAAAATTCGTTTGAATTCTATTATGATAAATGCTAATCAAAAAGTCTGGTATTCGGAACAAGAATTATGTTTTTAATCAAGATGAATGGCTTTTATGCAATCAAATAATAGTTGACATCATCAATTATAACTTAAATGAGGTGTATTTTATTTAAGAGCATCTAGTACCTACTTTTATAGTAGGAACTATCTAAAGTATTTTTGTGTTAAGTCGTGTTTAAGGACGTGTATTACATTAAAAGAGAGTATTAAGTGTAATTGAAGCCTTTCTAAATAAATAAAAAAGAAAAAAATAAGTATTTAGTATAAATTAAATCGTTTTGTTGAAGATATCAGTATTAAATCATAAGGCTTAACTGTGTAAGTTGAAATAAATTTATCATTGCATCATACATATTTTCGAGTATTTTTAAGTTTCGACACTATTTCTTATTTCATGTGAAATATTCCGACTCTATTTTGTGGTGCACCTAATCCTATTATGATGTACTAATTCATAATGTTGTTTGAAATCATTTTCGTATACCTCCTTCCCCAAAATCATCAAAAGTGGACTTTACATAATAGTCTTGTTATAAAAACTAAAGAATAGAGTATGCCAATTGTTTCAACAGAGTTGTTCACAAACTGGAGTATCGACTCGTATTTAAAACTAAGCTTTTGTATGAATACGTGTTTGATTTTACAGATATGGCATATCAGTATAGAACATAAAGAAAGCTTTATTCTAACCAATAATTATTGTTTTATTATTATTATTTATATTATCTATTTCTATGCTGGTTTACTAACATCTAATAATTTAATTAATTATTAATTTATGATCCTATTGTTCTATCATGATGTATAATGGTTATTTTATCTTCTTTTGCATCGCTGCGCTATGGTGTTTGGATTTAACAGTGAAGAAGACGAGGTAAGTGCTCAAGTATATTTTTAATTCTGTCAAAAGTAGCGAAAAAACGTAAGTTACGACTAGAAAAAAAGTAAAATGGTATGGCTAATTCTTATAGTTCCAGTTAATTAAGAAGAGGGGTTATATTTGAGATTAAAAAATTGTATTTCATGTGAAACGTTAGTTTGAACTAAATGTAAAACATTTTATATAATTTATAATTAGTAAAAAAAAAAAATACATATCATCTGGACAAGTGCTGTTATATTTTTATCTTGATACATATTTTTCATTAACTATATCCATACAACCAATAAAAGTATCAGTATCCTACAAGTAGGACTTGTCTGAATAGAAGTTGTTTTCGATTTAATTTGCGTTTGGAGTTATAATTATGGAATGGATGCAGAATTGGCAATAACCCGGGTTTTTTTACAAAGTCCGACACGGTGGTTATTCGGAGTTTGTAATGTGCATAGCCCAATAAAACTCATATTTTTAGTTAATAATAAGTATTTTCTGGGTTTTAAAAAAATAAAAACTCACTGGGTCTTTTTGCTAAATCTGAATGGGTTAGTGGTATTTTTTTTACTCCGAAGACAACCGTCCGAACCTAATCCACCCAAAGGATTTTATGGGTCTTTTCTTTTTGAAACAACAAAATATCCAGCTCTAGCCTATAGCCTTAAGTTTTTAAGTTTGACTTTGTTAACTTGTAAATAGTAAACTGAGCCTCAAGGTCGATTAACTTTTAATTAGAATTTTCCGAAATGGCAATGATATGTCGTTAAATATAAAAGGATTTATTATAAAAATTAACATCCAATCTTTAAAAAAAGAAATTGTCAACTTAAGTGTCCGCGAACCATTTTGGAATTTGACATTGTAGTTTAATGATAGTTCGATTATAGCTTTGTTTTAATGACCTCATACGTAATTGTGTGTGTTTAATATCTATGATTTTATTTTATAGGTCGGTTTGTACACGTTTTTAAGTGGAAACCGTTTAACAGACATTCGATTATTATTTTTGATTTCGAGAAACGTCGCATGTAGATTAAATATAAAAATTGTTAATTAAACTTTAAAAAAATTAATTTTCTAAATTATTGTCTAATGTCAAGGAAGGTCGTCTAGCAGACTTAAATAATCTCTTGATTTATACTTAAATACATTGTCATTTATGTCGTTCATAATTATAATTAACTACATTATCGTTTAAGAATTCCATGTGATAAATATAAACAAATATAATTATATTACATTATATTACATATTTATGTACTTTATTTCATCAGAATAAGTATATATTATTATTAAAATACATATTATCTGGTAGTTGTTGCTAATGATGCAAATTTATTTTTGTCTACAGGAAGGATTCGAGTGAAACTCCAGTTTGAAGTTGTGGCCTGAACCAGTACAAATAATTTGATTACCCTTTTTGTATTCCATTTCTTTTCTTTATATGTTCGTCTTTCAAATGCATGTATATTAATCCTTGGCTTGGCATTGACCCCCTCCCCTCTCTCTTTCTCTCAATCTAAATCTCAGTTGAATGTATGAGTATTTTTTTACTTTATGTAAGTTAAGTGACGTTTAATTTTTACGTAAAACCAATGGTCTCAGAACTTTGTACTTAATTTGTGTTTATAGTATTTTTTTACGTGTATTGTATGTAACCTTTTTTATTTAAGCTTTATATTTTAAGATACCTAAATGCACTGCAAACCTATTGTAAGGGTTTTAAGAGATTTTAAGTGGCCAAAGTCCAAACAGTTTAAAAATACTTGGTTTTAGTTACGTGCATATAAAATGACGTAATTAATATCGGTACTCTTCAAAAAAATCATAAAAATTATTTTTAAATTAATTTATTTAGTTTTTTATGCATCCAAAACACCAGCCCCTTCCAAAAAAAATGTTGGTTTAGTGATCACAAGTGTTTATATAATCTTTTTCACTGTGTAACATCACTTTGGATCACAAACTAAAATACATATGTTTTTCGATGAATGATGAATCCGAATCTGGTGTCAGTTTTGTCTAGCAGGTCTATTTTTTACTTTTTTGATACAAATAATCATAGTTATTTACAAATTTTGAAGCGATTTAAAAAACAAACTGACTTGTGAAAACCATTTTTTTTTTTAAATGTTCGTTATACAGTGGTTATTATTATTTCAGTTGCCTATTACTATTTTATAATGTTTTTCCTCGGAGAATTCTTAGTACCTTATTTATTTCACAAAGAATTTTAACTTATTGATTAAATGTTTTTATTTTCTCTTTAAGTTAAATTTAAGCACATCTCTCCGAAACCCTGATTTTGTGTTTGCTCCTTGGGAAACCAATCAGCTACGCTTTCACTGCCATAATCCGTGTGTGCTTTTTTGCGTTTATGATACGATTACGCGTTAAACATATAACACTGTATATTATAATTCTTACATATTATTATTGTGTATATAAAATTCATTAAAATTATTCTCTCACACGACACATATCTCTCATAGCATTATGAAATATCATTGATACGCTTTACACTATTCTACTCATCTCGTTTATTTTGTGGTCCTAACAATTTATTATAATTTAGTGCCATACTATAATATTATGTTGTATCCCAGTTGGTCCAAACGTTTGTGATACTTAGGCCTAAGTACTTTTACGATTTATATTTTAAATGGAAATTAAAAGAAAACCCGTAGGTTACCGCGGTACCTATCTGATGTCGTTTACATTATAATATACATAAGTAGAGTTTTTACAAATGTATTTTTTAGTGTCTAAACAATGGCATTTACCGTTATTAAAAATGCAAGAAAAAAATCTGACTTCGACGTGCCCCGTGTTTAACGATATACTTATGGGTAATAAAAAATATAAAAAGTTAGTCGAGGTAATTAAGGAATGAAATCACGAGTATAGATAAATACAGTTTTTACATTTCTTAAAAAAATTGTATTTACATTTTTCTTATCATTAATTTCAATATTTGCTCACCTAATCCTATCGACCTCGACGTCTTATTATTTTTAGACAAAAATATATTATATTTTTGAAAAAATTATTTATTTGTACATGTTTAATTTTTAGTTAATTGTACATAAACATATAATATACATATATTATTATAAATATGGCATTTATTTTGTGTTGTATCATGCGTGTGTATTTTTTTTAAATATATTTTTATGTGAAAACACGTTCCGTTTATCATTTACATTTAACTCTTAATAACAAAAAATTACGTACACCATAGTATAATATTATAGCGAAATAAATTACACATACCAAAAAAAAAACTTTTTACAACCTATCTGATTTATAAATATTTCAAACAACGACTTAAGGTTTATCTATTTTTACGGTTAATTACTTATTAGTTAAGTTTCCTCTTATAAGTGTCTATTTTTATTAAAGCGATGTCGCTAACTATAAATTATTGAAAAGTGTTTCGGGTATTTCTTGATTTATTTCATTCTACTTATAAAACATGCTACCAGTGTTTGTGGAACAGAATGAGCGAAAGGTTGAAGGTGGTTCAAATGACAACTTGTTAGTGAATATATTGACAATACAAATTTGCTAATAGACTGAACTACATTCGTATGCGGATGCGTACAATCTATATTGTGCTGAGCAGCATAATATTTATTGTGGTAAGGCGTTTTTAAAAAGAAAGAAGTTATACATATATATAAGAAATAATGTATATGCAATAAATTAAAATTATTATTTTTCATGATCAAGATATATTTTATATTATTAACAGTAATTATAGTTAGTGCACATAGCGATAAAACATTTTATTTTTGTAGAAATATTCAATATAAACAATACATTTCAAATACATGAATTCAAAAGATTAATTACAAAATATATTCATAATCGAAAAGTAATCATAACCACAATTAAAAAAAGTATTTAACTGAAAATATACATGTAAGTACAGCATTATTAAACGTTGATAATAAAACAAAAGTATCGTGTAAAAAAATGTTGTTCTCAATAGTTTTATTAGGATAAATAGCAAAATTTTAAGTAGTTATCAAAACAAAAAGGTAAACAGACATTGTTGAATAAGATCTAAGGACCTTTCACCTTGATAGTGGAAGTATAATTGAAGGAATTAGTTCAGAACAGGGATGGTTAGAGATTGCTTGATATTGTGTTGGTGACAAAGACTGAAATAGTAATGCAAATAAAAGAATAATATTACCAAAACAAAACAAATACGGCGGTGCATGTATACATTTTTTTTTTAATGCTGATTACGAATCTGCAAAAAAAATTGCCGGACGTACAAAAATCGTCGCAATCGACCAACGCGGGTGCCTAGCGGTAGACGTCTACCTGCGCGGCCGACGGGTCTACTTTCCCCGGCCCGTCGTGATCCTTTTTTATTTTTTTTTGCCGTAATACCTTTGTCTGATAACTATAAATTATATACATAAAATCGAAAAATTAAGTGTAGCTGTGCACCGACGGGCGCCCGCGTACGTCGATATCGGCGATGTTCGAGTGATAACTCCCAAACTAAGTTCGTCCGGCTAAAAATTCTTGCAGATTCGGAATCGGCATTAAAAGTACTATCGAAAAAAAAGGCTGCCCGGTAATGTAGATTTGTTCCAAGACCAAAAAGCTATACAAAATTTCGTCTACTTAGAATGGTCCAATTTCAATTCCGTATAGAGATTCGAGTTCTTTGGCAACTTTACTGTTTTTTTAGGAAGCCGATTTTCATTAAAAAATGTTTGTAATTAAATAAATTAAATACGCAATTTTTTCAATATTAAACCCCAATTTTTTTACATAAAAAAGGAATAAAATCATAAATCTGTTTCCTACATAACCTAGTAAAGTTGCCAAAGATCTGGTTTTGTCTGGCTTTTTGGTCAAAAAAGAAAAAACAAATTACCGCACACAATCCCCTTAAGAGTAGTACGTACTCTTAACGCCTTAAACGATTGCTTTTATAAAACGACAAATATTAAATTTAAATTTAATAAAAACAATTACATGCAAAAAACTCACTGTGCGGTGAGGCGAAGTGAGATCGAGAGGGAGGTCACAGGTTTTCAGGTATTATTATTATTTATAATTTTGAATGATAAAACACTTGGATGTGTATCTATAGACAGTTAAAAGTATTAAATGTATGTCATATTCATGTTATTAGGTTGATTTTAGTTATGATTCGTAAGTGTGAAGGACGTAGGTATATTATGTACCTATATATACCTATATTGGTTTTACAACTGTGTATTTATTTTTTGTTACCCACACTACCTTTTTAACAACTGAACTAATATCTGCGTGGTAGCAAGTTTATAGATCCAAAATCGCATACTGGTAGGTACTTTATTGGCTTAAACATTTAATAGGTTACCTTTTATAATTAAACAAAACACAGAAAAATGTGCACATTTTTCAATTTAAGCTTAAGGTACGCTATAACTTTTTGAAAAAATAATCTAATTAGTTTTAAAAAAATAGTTAAATATAAGTGGGATATTTTTTAATATAGTGCTACAGTAAAAAATCAGAAACCTTTTTCTCTAGAAGAGATGAAATATTTTTTCCTTATTTAGATAGGTATAGTTTTATGATACAAAAACTGGAAATTGGATTGAAGGTAAGTCTAGTGTAACCCTATAATATATATTTTTTTTCAAAAGTTACAAATTTTTTCACATTTTTTATTTAGAAAATTTTTTTTTAAAACTAAGTCGATTAAATACTCAGTACTTACTGTCACTTGTTGATATTCACTTATTGTGAATTTTGTTTATATGTAATATTTTGTTGGTGTATACAGGATACTGGATACCTCCAACTTTAATATTTACTTAAATGTGCCAACTTGATCTACAAAACACTCAACCCTAAGGACCTAACATGTTTCAGTATTTTAGTCTAATCTGATCTATAGGTCTTGCTACACAGCGCATCGGTTAAAAAATGATCTCCAACTAATCAGTTAACTAGAATAATAAAAATACATGAACCTTTTGAGTTCTGTTTCAAATTTAAAATATATTACCCGTAACCTGAGTTATTATATTTCTTGTATTTTGCTTTTGATAAAGATAAAACTGTAGTTTTACAGAACGCGTTTAATAATTATTTCACGTGTCCCACGTCTTAACAGTTAACAGTGCTTAAGTTATTGGCTAAATTTGTTTTTGACTAGACCAAAAAAAGATGCTAACGTGACATGTAGAGATCATCTGTCATTTTTGGGTCTTGAGATTCGGCGAGACTAAATGCTATTGGAAGAAAACGAAAAATTTGAACCACGCTGTATGTTTACTATGTGCTTGTACGCATGCGCCTCATCAAGGCCACATGTGCAGTAGTACCTAAACCTTATCACAAGCCAAGTGGTTAGTAGTTACTAGTGAGCTGCTAGTATAAATTGATCGGTGTTCGACTGTCGCCAGGCCACGTGCTTGCCAGCGTTAACGCCGGGAGTAGATATCTACGTTCCTCGTCTCCGACTTATTTTAAAGACATCATTTGCGTTACTTCAATAATTACCGAGTAAGTAATTGTAGTAACGACTATGCTTTTTATATTTTAATATAATTAAAAAAAAAAGAACTGTAAGTCGGCTAAAAAATTAACAACAAATATTTTTAAGGCTTAACGCCTAATAAACACACAGGTAATGTTACCCACTACGCTATTTTCCACAAAATAGGTAATATAATACAGTATTATGTGTTATAATTTGCTTTTGCTTTTGTGCTAATCGCCCATCATTTCATGTTATTAAATCGATAAGTCAATCTAAGATCACATACATTAATTTTAATAATGTAGTGTGTATAATTAAAAATCTAGTGAGCACTGAGCAATGGTTTTAATTATTAGGCACCATTCGATTTGAGCTTTATTAAATAAGCTTATTGACACTTTAAGCTTTATTTAATCGTTTTACCCCGCGCATTGATTTCTATACAAAGATCAGAAATCGTACTACTTTGGGCCAAAAGTTTAAAAATTCACTTCTGCCCCTTTAAAGACGAAAAAATGGACCTACGTATTACGTTTAAAATTGGAATTCAGGCGCGCTATGTATAGCTTTTTTCAAAAAATAGTCAAATTATTTCCAAATTTGTATAGAATATTCTTAAGATATATTACGTAGTCATTATACGTAGGTATTGACAAACAAAATGAAAATATTAAAAACTGTTTCCTCCGGGCCCCAGGGGGAGAACCTTTTACTTTATTTTACTTTTTCTACCTTAAACTTGAGGTTTACTTTATTTTACTTAACTTTAAACTTGAGGTTTGGAAAGACTGATCTGGAGCGAAGTTATAACAAAAATTATGTAATTTTCGAACATCTGTGGTAAACTTTCTTTTATTAAGGGGTGGGGGTAGGGTATTAAATTTTTTTTTTGTTAACTGAATGCATAATATCTCAAGAATATTGTGTCAAAATTTCAAGTCGATCGGAACAAAATTGACAACGTTATGAATTGTCGGAATTTTATAGCTGCCCGGCCCGAGTGCACTATCGTTAACTTTAAAGCGTTTTTCCCACAACTCACGTTTTCAAAGTCGGTGACCACCATAACTTCAAAACTACTACACCGATCCTTTTGAAATTTTGAACACTATTTCAGTACATAACTAACGAGGTAACGCTGGAGAGTTTTTTTCAAATTTGTTAATATTTTTTATTTTACAATAACAAATTAGCCGATTTTTTTCGCAAAAATCGCGTTTTTCCCTTCAAAGTGTTCCCAAAAAGTGAAAAATTGAAATTTCAAAAAACCCTCCCAGCGTTACCTGGGGAAAGCAATTATCTAACGAAAGAACTTGATTTTTTTAATTTCGGATGATCCAGCATCGAGTTATGAGGGGCACCGCAATTCTACTTTTTTCCGAGACGCTTCCGAATAATTGCCGCCATTGCCGTATTTTTTAATATTTCTACATGAAAATATTACACAATATTCTTCGAATGTTATACTTTAATGTACCATTAGTTTTAATAAACAGATTTGAACTGTGTCGTCAAAAAAAATTCACAAAAATTTGCCGTTTTTTGCACGAATTAACCATACCCCCCCTTAAGGTAAAACCAAAGAAAAAGATAAAATCACATATGTGACGAATTAAATTCCCAGGTTGCTGTGTTTATATGAATCAATAGTCAGGTATCTGTAAGAAAATTCCATTTTATTGCTGATTATGAGGACAATAACGAATAACGACCAAAAATGTATTATAGAAAGACTATTAATCCTAATTTATTGTACTACAATAGTATTAAAAATATAATTTTAAGCGCATTATTGCCTTTAAAGTCATTTTGTCAATGTTTAATAATTCTACCACCTACATATTCATATCAATACGTGTTTTTAGTAGTTTTAACACTTTTGGTTGAAATAATAGTTCATAAATCCTGCGATCTCCCGATCACAATATGTTAGGATCTGCTTCGTTCCCACTATGCCCGACCCCACTGTGCTAGCCTTCTTTTTATCATTTATGTACAATATGTCTATATATCTAATAACCATCTCGGTTATTTTCTTCACTTTTATTTTATAATCTGTGAAAAGTCAAAATCTACCTACAAAATGTGTAATTTAATTACAGTGAGTAAAATTGAAATTTGAGTTTGATGTCCTTAACTCGCTCGAGAGAATTGGAAGATTTCTTTCATCAAATTGAATTAACTATTGAACATTTAATAAAAATGCTAAAAATCATTTATATTATCAAGTGACTATGTTTCAAACAATGTGTGGAAATATACCATATATTTTAATAAATATCTATGGTATATGCTGTAAGCTGAAAAAAAGTGACAACCAACATTTTGTAGTTGTATAAATTGTATTATTGAGTGGAAATTTAGTTTACCCAAATTTGAATTAGTTAACTTATTATTAGTTAGGACTTTGAGTCAACTGTGTTTGTCACTTACTCTACTATTTTTTTTTAATATTTTTTTCCTTAATAGTAGTATTCGAACAATTAAAACAGAAAACTATATTTGATGCCAATTTAGTACGTAATATAGGTTACAGGACTTTTATTTGTGTTTAGTATACTTAAATGTTGAAACAAATTTACATAAACTATACTTTGTCACGGTTATAAATTTACCATTAATTGTTTTAGGAAAACAGAAAGAGCTATTAATTACATAGTAAAAGATGTCAGCATTTCACATTTCGCAAAAACTTATTTAGGAGTGTTTTAAATATTCCAACTATTTCCAACTAAAAATTTCTGTTAATGTATAGGTGCTACATTACAACTTATAATACTTGTTTAAATAATATGTTTTCCAATTGTATGACAAATGTTGGATAATGAAATAAGATGCGTATTTATATTAAAATTTAAAACTTGAAAGTAACTCAATGTTTTTTTTCTGATTGAATTGCTTACAATTTCTCTTTAATAGGCCAACTATTTTTAAATATTGAAATATTAGTTACCTATATATGCGTAGATTCTAAAGAAGTATTTTCTTCTTTTAAACACATTTTGAAATTGTAGCTGTAGTTAGGTGTCGTCAGCAATTATGAATTCTTATAATTATCATAATTAAAAATAAAAAGGAATATCAATTTCAAGGTTCCGTGTAAATGAAACAGCAAAACATATTAATTAAAGTATTAAAACCGTTATCATTTTTGACAATTTAACATTTTTTCAATATTTCACAACTGCGATGGTGATAATAATTGATACAATAAATTATAAATCCCCTGTTATGAATTTATTGTAATAAACGCCTGTTTAATTTCTAAGCTATTATTAAATGTCTGTTTTAAGAAAATAGCTGAAAGCGAGTACATATTTTTTGAGGTATGATGAAAAACCAGAAGGATAATAATTATAAAAATGAATCTGCAACTCCGACCATTCTCTTGATTGCGTTACTGTTGTTTAATGGAAGACATTTTCAAACCCTTTAATTATTTACAATAATAACATAATTTTCTTAACCATATTTTTCATTCATTTTTGTTCAATCATCAATTTCAGACATTTCAAACAATTTATATTTATAAAACTTTGATTGAAAGGAGAATAAAAATGATTCCCCCGTCCTCAAATATGCTATTGTGGTATACCGTTTTATAACTGAACTATAATGATTTCCTTTCTTGTTGTAATAATGATTTACAATCCAACAATGGTATAGCTTTGGTCAATGAATAAATCTTTTATTTTCCGTAAGGATTTGTGTACAAACCTTTTCAACAAATGTTTCAATTCGTATTCTAGAATCTAGAAGATCCAATTTTTTTTTCAAATACGGTTTTTGTATGCATTTTTTTTTCGGTGAGCATGCATTATTATTTTGTATATATTAATTATACTTTTATTCATTCAAATGAAATTATGGTACCCGGAATAAACTTGTCTGTGTATTTAATTAGTAATTATTATAAGAATGTAGTAATTTATCATATGAATTATTTTGTTAAAATTCAAAGATAATGAGTTGTTATTCATTGCTAATTCTGCAAGATAAGACCTTTTAAATTTGGTTAAATTGCTGTTAATGATTATAAAAACTATAAGATAACTGATATTAAAGTATAATATGGAATGTAGAAAATAGGAATAATGTGTGTTATACCGACTTATCGATTTTGCGATACTAATTATTAACTTTTATTGAAATAATTTGAATATGGTATACGAGCCATGAGGTACGTAAAGTATAGATGCATTTTAGAGTTTGTAGATTATAGTCTGTTTATTTACGTTTTAGCTTCGATGCGTAGAAGGTATTAAATATTAATTTTACAATGATGTTTTTTTTTCTGGACCCACGATATCTTCTAAGCCGCTGAACTGATTTTCTTTATGTAGCAACTCTATAGATCAGAAATCGTACCTGAGAGGTACTTTGTTAGGACCAACAATTTTAAAAATTCACCCCTTCCCCATCAAAATTTAAAGTCGAAAAACGTGTACATGTTTTGGGTAGTTTTCTCGATTTTAAAGGGGAAGGGGTGAATTTTTTTAATTTTTGGCTCAATGAAGTACCTTTTAGGTACGATTTCTGATCTATAGAGTTACTACGCGAAGAAATTGGTTCAGCGGTTTAAAAGATATCATGGGTCCAAAAAAAAAAAAAAATACATCATTGTAAATACTATACCTTCCGCATCGAAGCTAAAAAAGGGGGAAAATACAAATGAAGAAAATTACACTTAGCTTAGTAAATGTCTAGGTTACTATTTTAGAGTAAATCAACAGTCAACAGGTATCCGAAAAATACTTTCATTACGTTGTTTTTTTCTTTATTAATGTATACACAATGTGTTCCAAATAAGTACAATAAGAATATTAGCTAAAATAATAAAATGATATGAATACTTGACAAAAGAAGCCACCTATTGATGACACTTTTAAGTGATTATTTTTTTTCCCTAAAGTTATGTTAATAGATTTCTACACTATTTGCGCTTTAAGCGTTCGGATTACAGGAATAACGTTTGTCAAAGACCTTTTATTAGAGGATTGGAGTGAGAGGCTAGTCGAGTGTAAAATCTTTTATAATATATAATTACTTCTTCTTTCACAGTTTTAATTTTCAGGTCAGTATGGGGGGGAGTTTGTTAATTTTCTTAATGTAAAATTTTGAAAGGCCTGAATTCGAGTATCCACTCTTATACTAAAAATACAATTTTAAGCGTATTATTGACAATTTTTTTTATATGTATCTACAGATAAGCATCGAATCGTTTATTTGAATTTGTTTTGATCACTTTCAGTTAAAAAAATCCTATAGACCTGTGACCTTTCCCGTTCCAAATTCCAATAATATACTCGCTTGTTTCATCATAAAATAACTCAAAAACTATTATAATCTGAATTTTCAAGGCTATTTTGGGTTTACTAACTTGAAATTTAGTGTACGGTTTATTACATCTTCTACTATATAAGAATCTAACTGAAAATTGAAGACTAACGAGGATAAAACGCGTACTGGTTTTTTAATACAAAACAACTCTACCTTGCGTGCGCTACTTAGGGTTTTCCCGGACAGTCGATTATTGTACATTTAACTGAGGTTTTCATAACTTTTTATTGCCTTTTTTTGACAAAAATTAGTTAGATATCCATTCTTACGGGAAATGATGTGAGAAATCGATTGGCGTGGTTAATTTTTATCTAACCGTATTATTTACATACGTTAAATGTATTTCAAACTACGTTTTTTTCAAACCGTTGTATTTCTATTTGTTATCAAAACGTATCATTTATTGTATTACAAGTATGGGGAATACATTTTTGTTTCCAAATGATTGTAAAAATACAGCGGCAGTTCTGTCATTATGATCAACTTGTTTTTTTTTGTTAATTGTTATAGCAAGATAATAGGTTTTAGTTGTTTACACACTGTGAGATTTCGGAAAAGTCATGCACGCGTCAACATTCTTTTCATAGAAACGTACACAGTATTTTGTCATGGAGTTATCGTTATCTTAAGACTAGCGAAACTGAGATGCACAATTAATACAATAATGGTATTATTTGCTGATACATGTTTACTATGATGGATGCTACTCCAAGGTTTTATCGTTTTGGCTTTGCAATTATTTAGATATGTTGTAACAAAATCCATCCATCCATTTAACATTATAGCCGATAACATAAAACCGATATCGATTTGCACTTAGGGACAGCGAGCGTTTATTATAATAATTATTATGAACGTTTAAATGTAATTTAAATCCTATCATATTATTATGCATAATCGACGATTATGATGGTGATTTTCTAAAATATTATTTGACTTACAACTCGTTATTGAAACAGTTCTATCAGACATGTCGGACCTGAATAATATTTGCCAACTGACTACGGATCCGAATTTCGGGACCAAAGCCATTCACGTGGGACAGGATCCAGACCAATGGACTTACAGGAACGTCGTGCCTCCCGTAGCGCTCACCACCACGTACAAGCAGAAGGGGCCAGCCGACACCTATGTAAGGGCCATGACTTGTATAATATAGATATGTTAAACCATGTGAACGTTAAGTATGATGTTTTTTGATTTTTTACTTTTGATCGCAGGGTTTCGAATACGGCAGGAGCGGTAACCCTAGCAGAAAAGTATTACAAGAATGCATAGCGTCTCTGGAGAACGCCAAGTACTGTGCGACCTTCTCTTCCGGCCTGGGCGCCACCACGGCTGTTGCTCATCTTCTAAAATCTGGAGATCACGTACTGGCCGGCGACGACATGTACGGAGGCACCAACCGGTATTTTTCAAAAGTGGCATCGAAATTCGGACTCAAAATCTCACTAGTCGATTTTACGGCCAATTTAGACTTTAACAAACTTATTTTACCAGAAACTAAGGTCAGTACAATTATGAGTCTTTAAAGTGACGTATTTTAGACGATTTTTCGCGGAACGTCCAAAGAGCCTAACAATAATTGTCCGCCACCTTATCTAGAAATGTTCGTCGTTAATCGTTTAAAACCAATACTTACCTCAAAGTTTGCAAAATCGAATTTACTGTTTTCCACATCACATGATAGTAAATCTTTTTTATAATATTTTAGAGCCTTTTATAATACCTAAGTTCTAATCGATGTTAATTTAGAGTATGAATACCTAATCCCTGGAGCAAGCCAATGATAAGTGAGAATGCTTCAACATCGACAATACTATAAAGTCGCTTCCGCCATAAAACATAGGACACGGAACACAATTTTGGGTGCTAACAAAATCTAAGCCCCCTTGAATTGTGCATTTGTTAATAATGTATTAGACTATTGTATTGTGCTTTATAGTCAGTGAGATCATCGTCAGTATAATGGCCTACGGTTGTGTCAGACACAATGTAGCTTGCCACAAAAAATAAAAAGCATAATGCTTTTTGTATTATTATATTTTATTATTTCCATAACTGTTGACGGTAGAACTTTCAATAGGTTTATTATTAGGTTTGAGACAATTAACACATCAGATATTCTCAAAGATCCAATATAAGGTCAGGTATCGCTGATCCCTATAACTTTATGTACTGTGTAGTTATGCGAATTGCGGTTGTAATCAAACTTTAAACTGTCGATAATATACTATTTTAAATAAAGTAATAATTTTATCTTTAACTAATGAAAAGCTATTGGTATTGCACAAGTTTAAGCAATAACATCTCTTTAGCTATTTAAAAATATATACAAATAATTTAAAACGCTTCAATCAATCAATTTCTGTATAATCATATGTTTTTTTTATTTCTCCCATAACGTTTTATTAAAAGTACCTGTTTCTTAGGTAGTATTTAAAAAAAACTTACTACATCATATCTATATATATATTATATCATCATCATCCATATGCAGACATTCCGTAAACAGCTATTATGTTAAACAGTTACAACTTGATAGTGACCTTTGATGAGGTCGATGGTTTATGTGTTGTTTGCAAACGTCTTAATTAATTATAAATTATAATATAGGCGAACAGAACCATAAAATTATCACTTGTGCCACCGGTTGACCTGTACTACCTATTGCTGCGGGACGTCATAATTGATTTTCCCTATTGGTTGACGTATTAGAGACCTACGAGTATAGTCATTTTTTAGTACAAAAAAGTGATTTCGAAAATGGTTTTCAATAAAAATATTAGAGCAATAACAACAACTATTATCATACTAAAAATCATAGTGCGCTGTACTGTGCATTAGTGGATTATCCAATATTTCAAGATAATAACAACTTACTTTTTTTAGGTCTTATAAACAGTTACTAAATAAAATTGAAAATCCGCTTATTCTCTCAGTACTGACCTCTGAAATATTATATTCGTTCGATAATAGCCTCCACACGAGTTCTCTTAGTAACGTTCAATTAGATCCGCGATTACTGATTTAAATTACAAATAAATAATAACTAATGGGTATTTTAACTCTAATGGATAGAAACGATAAAATTAAAATTAGGTCAGCACGATCATGTTTTTACGCTAGAAAACAGAAGGTATGACGGTGCTCTATCGATTTTTTTATCATTGTATCTATAAAATGTTGTCTATAATTAAAATAATATATAACAAATACCGATAATAATGATCTCTAAGTCAATTTTTACTACACTTTGATAGCGTCTTCTAATTTTCCATTTGTTTTTTTGTTTTGTTTCAGTTGGTATGGATGGAGAGTCCCACAAATCCTTGTTTAAGAGTAATCGACATAGAAAAAATTGCGACTGCCATTCATAACATTAGAAAAGACATTACCGTATTAGTCGATAACACATTCATGACTCCTTATTTTCAAGTAAGTATTTTTTTTTTTATCCAGGATGTTCAAACATAGCCATTGGTGTACTTAGTTGTAGCTTGTGGTGGATCTAGTGGTCTTCCAAGAGAGAAGGGGTAGTGTGAATTTACACCTAACAGTTGAACGTCTGTTTGTTAACAGAAACCATTGACACTGGGCGCGGATTTAGTGTTATATTCATGTAGTAAATATTTAAACGGACATTCGGACGTCATAATGGGTGCAGTCGTCACGCAGAGGCTAGACCTTTACGAAGGCCTAGCTTTTAATCAGAACTGTACGTATAAGTGCTGCAGTGTCGCCGACAACCCATAAGAACAGTGGGTTATTATTTTTGACTTGTAATTTTTTTTTTTTTTGGTTTTCAACAGCCTTGGGCATTATGTCGTCGCCGTTCGACTGTTTCCTCGTTAACCGCGGTCTCAAGACCCTACACGTGCGCATGATGGAGCACCAGAAAAACGGATTCGCCATCGCTCGTTTCCTGGAGAAACATCCGCTCGTCGAGAAAACCCTACACCCCGGTTTGCCGTCCCATCCCCAGCACGAGGTTGCCATACGCCAGTGCAGCGGTTTCAGCGGCATGGTGTCGTTTTATATCAAAGGCGGCATCAAGGAAGCAACCAAGTTTTTGCAGACGATTAAGGTGTTCTGTTTAGCAGAGAGTTTGGGCGGATACGAGAGTCTCGCCGATCACCCGTGAGTGTTTTACACTTAACACATTTTCCCCGCCCCCTCTTTTCGTTATTTTAAATTACAAGCTTTTGAAAAATAACACTCGTTCCTTTATTCATTGGTGAACATTTATGAGAGGCTTCAGGCTTGTTATTCTTAAAACCTTAAAACTTAAAGTTCATACTGTTCTAAAATCCTAAATTTTTAGTTATTTTTTTTTTTAGTAAGAAATTTGTTGAAATAGACAAATTTAAGATTCCTAATTTACTTAAGTAATTTTACTATACTCAATTCCCCCCTCTCCTAAATGTTCGACATTATACATATTATGTAAATTTGCTTGGTCATTATTTTTCCCTTCATCTTATTTTCATATGATTCCTTTAATTTTTCCCCGGTATATAACACAATATACCTATATTCAGAATAAAAAAATAATTTTAACAAAGTTACTGTATAAAAATAAAAAATTGATTAGAAACTAGTGATAGGGATTCAAAAATCTAGATTTTCACAAAAAAAAAACGCTATTAAGCCACTTGAAAATCTTAAAAGCATTAAATATTTTGAAGTATAAAACTGTGTACTTAAGTAAAATATGTTTTGATTATAATGTAAAAATAAAACACTACAAAGATAAACTGCTTTTAGATTTCGAATTTGTTGAAATCCGAAAGCAATTTATAGTCAAAGATAAGCGTTTTTTTTTTGTAATTCATAATTTTCCAAAAAACAATGTTCTAACTTTATGTATATTTTTTTTCATTACTAATTTTCCAGCGCTTTAATGACTCACGCTTCAGTGCCGGCCGACGAGAGAGCCACTTTAGGGATCACCGACAATTTAATCCGCCTATCCGTCGGCTTAGAATCTGAACAAGATTTAATTGCCGACCTTGATCAAGCGTTAAACGCTTCTGTCAAATAATAACATATTATCTAACTTATGTAATAACTAGTTTGATTTATAGTTGTATATTATCTTCAGATTCTTGTTAACTACGATAAAATATATTAAATACTATTTTATTATTGTTCTTTTCTTTATTGTTATACACATGGCCGGATTTAGGACTAGGCTACCTAGGCTATAGCCTAGAGGTGCCACGGCCGGCAAAACTCTTGTTCGAACATAAATACTCATATTTAATAATATTTATTTTTGTAAATTAGTTGTTCGCTGTTGTAAAATTATGAAATCATTTTAGAATGAAAAGAAGCTATAAAATTAAAAAATAGTAAAAAAGTAAAAAATAATTTTACTAACTACAAGAACAATTTACCAATCAATTGTAGCACATTTTAATTAAAATGTCAATTACTTTGAAAACAACCGAAAATTTACTACAATAATTTTAAATAATGTTAAACATCTTTAATTTTTGTCTAAAAAGAAAAGCGTTGTCCCTATTCAACAAAGTCCCTCATACATTATGTAATTATCAGATAATGTTTTATATTGTAAGTTTTTTTGTAATTTAAATTTGGTTCAATATTAGTGTGTGACACGTACATTTCATAGTACTTAACTCAATGACTTTGGACTTTGTTGAATAGGGCCCACGCTTTTGTTTTTTGTCAAAAATTAGAGTTGTTTAACATTATTTAAAATTGTAGTTAATTTTCGGTTGTTTTCAGTGGCGTACTTAGAAATTCGTTTAGGAGGGGAATAAAAAAAATAATATTCCACGGACTTGTTGGGGGCTTTGCCCCCCACACCCCAAGCAACTAAACAACATAAAAAAAAATTTTAATTTTAAAATCCACCAAGCTTATGACTCTTTATTATAACTTATAAAAAATGTATAATGTATTATCCCTAGAATAATAGGAAAATAATGTTTAAGTGCCTCTATATTATTATAGTAGTGGCATTTAAACATAATTTTCTTATATACTGTTATAATCATAACACAAAATCGAGTTTTCTTTTTTTTTTTTGAAGACTTAGTTCATCGATAACCTCATCTGGCAACATTTTTATTGATATGATATAGGAAAGTGCAAAGTATTTTTAAGAGTTTATTGAGATAAAATGTAAAACAAGAATAAATAAAAAAAAAAATCATAAATTAAATTTATACCGTGATATAGTAATTTTCAAGTACTTAATTAATAATAAATGAACAAATTACAGTATTAATAAAAAATAACTTACATATAACATAATTCATATTAAATAAACTTTTAAATTTGTTAATTCTTTATGCAACGCAGCATTAATAGTTGTGTGAGTTTTCGATGTGGAGACAAATTAAAATACAAAATCTGTATGCATAAATTTCACTGTGAAAAATGTGTGTATTATTTTGTTATCATTTATTATCAATCAAAGATGGAGCAATAAAACATAAGTGTACAATGTTACCACCAAATTACTTTGACGGTGGTTTCAATAAAATAGTCGGATAGTCGCGTATGCAGCTAACAATTAGTGGGAAAAGCCGGCCTTTATGCGATACCGATTACGAATATTTATAAAACAGATATACTTAAAAGTAATTTAATATTGAGAAACACGGAAAACATAAACTAAAAAGCCAAGAGGGGATCTATCCCCCCCCCCCGTAAATACGCCACTGGTTGTTTTCAAAGTAATTGACATTTTAAATAAAATGTGCTACAATTGATTGGTAAATTGTTCTTGTAGTAAAATTATTTTTTACTTTTTAGTTCACTTTTTTACTAATTTTTAGAAAATCATGTTTTAAAAAAAGTTTTTTTTTATTTATTTATTTTTTTACTTTTTAGTCCTCTTAAAGGTACTTAATAATTGGTGAATGAATTACTAAATTCATTTTGGAAGATTTGAAAAAACATGAAATTTTAATGAAATGACCCATCTCCACACATGGCTCTGTGTAGGGCGACCTGGATGTTCGAGTCCCAATATTATTACAAGATATTGTATTGTCATCCAATATGAATGTCTGTGTCAAGTTTAAGCCCTCTACGACATCGGGAAGTGGGTTAAATTCATTTTGCAAGATTTGAAAAATACCCGTACAAACATACGTACGTGTTAGCGAGTTGAAAAAAAGCATGTCATAAATACATTTTTCGTAATAATCGAGAAACTGGTGATAGAATTATCAGAAAGATCAAAAGTTTACATTGAACTTTGATAGTTTATATTTAGTTTTCTTCCATATTTGATATTTATATGCCCAAAAATATTAAAAGAAAAACATAAAAGAGTTATATGAAGAATGTTAACATTTCAAACAATTTTTAAACGAGCTTGAAATAGAAGTGTCAATAAAAAATCTCCCGGTAGTTTTTGAAAATTTTAAAAGAAAATTATTGCAACGTTTTAAGACACTTCTCCGAAAATGTATTTAACTATTATTCCATTTAATGCAACTGGTGAAAGATCGTTCAATATTTTAAAAAGAACTAAAAATTACCTAAGCAATTCAATTTCAAATACAAAGGTATCCAGTTTCAATTTGGCATCATTTAGCGCAAATTCAAAATTACTTGAATCGATGGACAACTTAATAATAGTGTAGGCGAGTTAGAACAAAAATGGGGTCAGTTATGAAAGACAAAGTAACAAGTGGGACTTTTTGGGTGCTAAGATCCCATTCAATTGGGTTCTCTTGATGTCCAAGCCATGTTTGTACTTACAAGTATGCACGATATGCGTGGAATCTACTTGCATCTTCCGTAGGTGGTAATGAAGCCAAGTTAAATTTCTTCATCGCATTTTTAGAGAAGTGCAAAAAACGAAAGGCGCTTATTGAAGTCTCCTTTTCTGGTGTTCCGTGAATTGCTAGCAGGTATTTAAATGCCACACTGCTAACTTCTTGTGGCAACGAGTCGGTGTTATTAAAAACTTGAACCACACAGTCCAATCAATCTCTGTTAAGTATCTTGTGACATTCAAGTTTGCCCTTACGATACATGCATGATGTTGTATCACACCCACTCATGGCGTTTGATACGAGGATGTTATTTTTAATTTTTGGTAGTTTTTGTACTTCTGATATACAATACAGCCTTTCTTCTGTTTTGTGCAATCGTTTAGGTTTTAAAAAGTAAACACTATTACCTTCAGGGGTTAATGCTACTAATAACTCAATTAGATCAACGTCTTCGCCTACTACAGCTACCGTTGTGTTATTGGCAATATTTATGGCTGTTGTTGCAATGAGATAATCAGCATCTGTCTCAGCTTGTACAAGGCTATAGCCCTGTTCATGAAAATTATCAGTTAGTAATCCTATAAGACGAGTTTTATTTTTATCCCGTGATAGGAAACAGCTTCTGCTTTATACTCGCTGTTGTATTTTCAATAAAATTAACATCGATGGCTACCGTTTTTAGTGATCCACGATTACGTTCACATTGTTTTGTATTATAAATAGTATATTGATACCCATAAAATACTATAGTAGCATTTTGACCGTAGTGATTTCGTACATACGTTACATACGCTTGACAAATAGATCCATACGTTGATGTCAACACTCGACGTAATAAAAAACCACCATCTATGACGTAGTGGCCGTTTTCCTTTTTCATTTGCTTTTCTATCTCGACTGGAAACAATGTATAGAGAGATGAATTGATTGTTTATCGCATACTCTTTTCATCGAAAAGGGTATGTTGATATACATTTAGCATAAATAAAAACATTATACATTTACAGCATTACTACTAGGTCATTAAATATAGTCTAGAAATATATTTCTGCCACTAAATAGTGAAGAAACAGCGTAAATATTATAAAATTTTCAAAAATAGTTAACTTTGGGCCGCTTTTTTAATCTAACTTTTGCACTTACATAAAAATGTATAAGGAGCAAACTTATAGATAATTATGTGACGAACAACTTTTATTCAGAAAATTTTTTCCTAAGTATAATATTTTTCGAGATTATTGAAAAAAAAAGATTTTAGAGGTGTTCAACCCCCTCTAAAAAAATAGCAGAGGGGTGGGGGTGGGATTTTTAGTATGTTAGTCAGGGGACTCCCCTTAATGATTTTCCAAAAAGTCCCGCTTGTTATCTCGCCTTTCATAGTTAAATTCTATCACGCCTACACTATAAATACGTTTGCAGCAACTAAATCAAGGAAGCGTAAAATATAAAAATGATTAAGTAATAATTATTATTAGTTATAACAGTGTACATTTTTGCTATTTATATTAATTGACGATTGTATTTATTAGGTTAACCGTTAACAGATAAAAAAAATAACTCATTAATTATATATTTATTATACACGATTTCTTTATTTTATAATATATTAAATATAATTATGTTTCTATCATCATAATAAAATGTCTTTTTTTATGGCCCTTCTAGTATCTTGCTATACAAAATTGCAATACTTAATTTTTTTAGGTCGAATTTAAAATACTTTTAAATTAATCCATTATACATTTTTATATAGACATAAAAATTGGTAAAGAAATTGGGAGGGGGGCTCTCAGCTCTTATTCCATCTACGTTTTAAGAAGTAGGGGCGTTTGTTTTTTATTAGCCTAGGGGCGCCATTTAGGTAAATCCGGCCCGGGTTATATAACCAGCTATTTGTCTTTGGCGCCACTTGCGACAAAACCTTGTTCCAAATCACTGATGATGTCCTCGATGGTCTCTAATCCGACGGACAATCTGATGAGATTGTCGAGAATGCCCACGGAAAGTCTTTCCTTTTGAGACAGAGACGTGTGCGTCATCTTGCAACTATAAAAAAAAAAACGCATAATTATAACGATAAAAGTGTAATAGCATGTCATTGGACGTCCGGACTTACGGTAAAGCGGCTAAGCTTTCGAAACCACCCAGACTGCACGTAATGCAAAACATTTTCAACGCTTCCAGAAAGGCTGTGCTTTCCTTCAGGCCACCGTTGATGTAAAAAGATATCATTCCGCAGTGTCCGGTAAACTGCGAGTTGGCTAATTTGTATTGCGGATGAGATTCCAGGCCCGTGTAGTTGACTTTGAGTACTTTAGGATGAACTTCTAGATACCTGGCAACGGCCAAAGCGTTCGACATGTGCCGTTCCATACGCAAATGTAGTGTTTTCAAACCACGGTTGACCAGGTAACAGTCAAACGAAGACGGCACACTACCAGTAGCTAAAAAAAACCTACAATTTATAAAAATGTATAAACCGCACCAATAATAGTTTGGAGCTGCTTTTCTATAACTTTTAGAACTCTAACGACAGCTTATATATATGAAGTATTCAAAATAATAAATAAAACGAAAGGAATAAGTATGCAGTTATGTTGAACGATCGAATTAAAGTAGTTAACAAACTAACTAAGTTCATTTGCTCTTATTTTTTGTTTTATTTTAAACACAACTGGTTCATGCTCTAACCTACTGCTACCTGTTGTATTATTTTTACATGGGCTTCGAATGATGGCGCTATAATAATACGAGCGGACATTATTTTACTTACTACATTGTAAAAAGTACAGTTTGTCGTATACCTCCTTGTTATTTGTCACCAACGATCCCATGAGACAGTCCGAGTGACCGTTCATATATTTACTTACAGAGTACATGACTATGTCGACGCCAAGCAATAATGGCCTCTGTGGGAAATCGTGTATTTATTAGACCTGACCATGGTTTTGTGGTATTGAAAAATCGCCATCTACTTACTTGGAAATAAGGAGTTACGAATGAGTTGTCGACGACAACAAGGACTTCGGGTCGCACTTTATGCACGGCGTCGCAGAGTAATTTAACGTCTATCACCCGCATAAGCGGATTGGTGATGGCTTCGAACCAGACTACCTGGAATCAAGTTTACACGTTAAGAACAAAATGTTTTTAAAAATGAGTAGGTCTAAACTAGAATTTTTAAATTAAAAGTTTAAGAACTAGATCATCTCTAATCTCGAGCTAAGGAAATTTGTTAGTTCACGTCTATCTATTTAGTAAATATTAATATTATCGAACGATTACAAATATAGTTCTAGCGAGACCAAAATGATGTGTGCAAATGTATAGATGATATATCTTTAAAGATACATACATTTTATACAACTTCCCATGGGCCATGACCAACCTAAAAAGTACTAGAGTTTAAATTTTTTTTTGATTTTAGGCTTTATTAGATATTGACCAATGACTAAACGAAACGAGAAAATTGGGGTTTGAGAATTAGATTGTTAATATGAATGTGTGTAGGCTAGAAAAAATTAGGAATAAATGTATAAGTACCTAAGAGTTTTATTCGATATTAAAATGAATGAGAAGTATTATTGTATTAAGATAGTTTGAGCAGACTATGTTAGTATTTTGTTGAAAGAAAAATAATATATTTATTGTGATATTAAGGAAATTTCGTAAAAATATTTTTTTCATAATATATTTGCTTAAAGAAGGCATAAAACAATCAATCGCTAAATTGTTTAGTTCAAAAACTATAAATTCCTTAATATTTATTATTTAATAAGCTGTCCCAACCCGGCGTTGCCCGAGATTCCCATTCCCTCAGTCCCACCCACACCCCACCACCACTTTTATCCCAGTTCCTGTTTGAGGCCATCCTTAGGTGGAATTTTCGAAAACTTCTATGCCAGTTAGGTTCGCGGGAGTGTACTCAACAACTACCCAAAGTTTCATGGCGATCGGATGAATAGCGTACTAATGCATAAAGGACAGACAAACAGACATTCATTTATATATATATATATATATACAGAAGATAAAACAAAAATCCCTAAAATGTTTTGATGTATTTACGTCTAATAAATAATTAAAGTCTAAAAAAAAATATATATTATACTAATATTATATATTAAATTCATATATATATATATAATTATCATAATCCTGTAGCTTAACTGGCCATGAAGACCTAACGCTGCCATCATGCTATTAATATTATATATTCATTTAAAAAACACACACTTTTTAGAGCTAGACGAGTTTCTTTGTTTACAAAATTGTTTTAAGGGAAACGGAAATCGCTATTTATTAAGGGGTATAGAATAGGCAATATTTGACAAAAATTGAACAGTTGCCTTATTAAATATGCCGCCAAATTTTAAGGTGAAAAAATATTACGTTGTTCTTATTATAATACTTTAAAAATTTTTTTTCTCCGAGTTATGGCGAAAGTTTGATAGAAGATGACTTTCGTAAAAGTCATTTTCTGGCGTATTTATTGGAAGGATTTAATTTTTTTTTATGTAAAGCTTACTATTATTTTTATGGGGGCTAAAAGGCCGATTTTTTATTTAGAAATTAGAAAATTTGTTAGATTTATTAGAAAAAACAATAAAAAATAAATTGTATGAATTGAACATAATATGAGGACATATTTTAAATAAAAGTGGCATTAGTAGGGCCAAAGTTCGTATGTTTTTGGTATTCCAGGGACGGGTTAGCACAGTTTGCGTGCTTGTGTTAAATGTTCATCAATTATATATATTGGCGCTGCCTATCGCAGTTCCTGGTCCCGTGTCAGATGTAACTATTAGTAGCCCAGTGAATTGTATTTCCCATTTAGTTGTTTATATTATCTTTATAGTTTTTACGCGTTATCGTTTTAATGTCTATAATGATTAGTGGCTACTGGCCGATGAGTTGGAGATTTAATGTAATTTTTCTATTATTAGGACGGAAATGTAATTAAGATGTAGTTTTGGATACACCCTTCGGTTTTGGATGAAAACCCCCCGGGTGGTCGTTTTTGTCACTCACTTTGGTGTTGGGCTGCAAGTGACTGGCTACGGTTTCCGGGTCTGCGAAATCTATAAATGAACATAAGATTCCCGCTTTTATGGCCACCTTTGCCAGGTACCGGTGGGTACCGCCGTAAATGTCCACGGAACTCAGCAAATGATCGCCGGGCACTAGCAGATTGACCATTGACGTGGTTGCCGCCATTCCAGACGAGTAAGTCAAAGCGTACTCGGCGTGGTCGAGTGAGGCGAGGCACTTTTCCAAAACCGAACGAATTGGATTTCCCGTTCTTGTATACTCAAAATCCTTTAAAACGCATAAACAAATTATATTATGTTTTAGTAAGTTTTAAATAGTACATGCTACGTCTAAATGCCTTAGAACAAGCCTAGAGGCGTTGGAAATTAAAATTCAGAATGGAAAATCAATTTTGTTTTATGACATTAAATATTTCAGAATAATATCGCCGCCCCGGTAGAACAATAACACAACTGCAATAATTGAAATTTTACAGGAGAACCAAAAAAACAAATTATTTTCACTAAAATGTTATGGGATGTAATTTTAATGGAATGGGGGAATGCTTGGGAAATGATTACAACTACAGTTACGTCGTTTTTCTACCTTATGCGTTAGCTATATGCCTATATCTAAACACATTAAAGCGTTTAGTCCATTTTACCAAATTTTGCAGTTGTGTCTTTGTTCCACCGAGGCGGCGGTATAATACTTCAAAACCAACTGACCCAAACCTAAAAAAAAAACTGTATCCACTAAATAACAGAACTTATGTTTTTTGAAATTGCCTTTTAAACAATGGCATTTAAAAAATTATAATCGGTTTGGTCTCCAAAAAAATGATATCTGGGTAATTTGGATAATGAACCTTTTCTAGCACTATGTGCCTCAAATCGTTATTAAAGTCAAAATATTATTAGTCCAATATAACCACTATATTTGGGTTAGGTATATAAAGAAAATCAAATCTATGTTTTTTTAAACTTGTACGTTCTTGATTTTTTCATAAATTGTACTTTGTAACCGATAACAATATACGTTTATAATATATGTTCGATTTAAGAAGAAGACTCAATAGGACATTTTCTACCTCGCCGAAAGGGTTGTTTCGGATTAAGATGTTTTTAATATTGTGAACGAAAACAGAAAAAATATAAATAAAAAATAATTGTTCTTTACACCAAACAAAGAAAGCAGATGCCAGTAACTGCAAATCAATTAACGGCTAATAATAATGTTTAATTTTACGATATTATCCTTTTTGATTTTTTTTCGATGCAAAAAAAATGTTGACTCTAATGTCAGACGTTAAATCCAAAAACTGCGTAAAAAATAGTGCATGAAAAAAGTTTCCATTCCTTAGGACTTGGTAAAGGGTTAACCATATTTTCTCAAAATAAATGTTGAATAATTTGAATTATTTTCGGCAAATAATAACGCGTGGGGAAAATGTGAAATTAGGAATATTGTATTACAATTTAGGATGGAACTTTCAAAATTCAAATCTACAATAAAAAAAGATAGTTGCTACTATAAAATCGATATGTAATAAATAAATGTCTAAATAGAAACATGGTAAAAAAATTGTTTAAAAACAAAATGAGAGAATTAATGAAATTTGATTTTTACATAAATGTTTTCATTTAGTTTTATTCGTGAATATTTTTAATTTTTATACATATCTAAAAATTGTATCTAGATATAAAATTAGAATAAGATTCATACGTCTTTTATACGGCTAGAATAACGTTTATTGTGAAAATTTGAATTTTTGTGGTCCCATAATAATTATTAACAATAATTATTTTGTGGTCCCATAATAATTATAATTCATTACAATAATTATTATTTTCAACAATTATTATTATGCGTAGCAATAATTATTATCCATAGCAATAATCATTCTGCATACTTCAATTACTCCGGGTGATGGTTGATTGTACACCGTGCTGAGCGAAATTGGCGGTATGACATCTTTGTAGGCCCATTGACTTGGATTCTGACCAACGTGTATGAGTTTAGTTCCGAAATGTGGATCTTGACGTTTATCCGCACACATTGCGTCTGTTTGTAATTAGCAGAAAAAAAAAATGCTTAATTAAATCAACACGAAATTAAAACTGAAAATGCGTCCAACAGTTAATGTGGTGGTCTGCCACTGTACTCGACGGATCACTACGATCACAATAGTTGTTCTGTAAACGGATTACCGCGCAGTTAAAAATGACAACTAAATACCGTCGTAACTCGTATATATACAATCGTCTGCGGTCGAATTATGTTTAATTTTTTTGTTATTTTTTATTTTCGATAAGAACGTTAATGTTTGTCTTCCGAGTCTATTAAGAAAAATCAATTTTTTATGTATATACAACACGTTTTATCTCCCCGTGGGCTCTTTATAATAATATGTTATTTATTTGTTTTCTAAACATTTAATATGGAAATCAACCGTTTAAAATGCTGTTTGCAAATCAATCACTTACCTATTTTATTTAAACGGACATTATATGTATCATTAACACTTTGTAAATATGGTGACGCGGTTATTAGGTGGTGTTCAAAAAGCATCAACATCTAAATAATTACGTTCAATCATACTTAAAACTGTATTATCTTGTGGTCAACAAGGGTCAAAATTAAACTGGTTACAGCAATTAAAGTTGCTGGATTTTTTTTTATATAAAAGACCACGCCACCGTAGTATTTATATGTAATTAATAATTATCACAAATGTCAATCAGACACGGACAATTGTCCGTGACAGTTAACGGTCGTTTGACATTGTTCACACACCTACACGTCGTGTTGTATAATATTATTTCAAATCGTATAAAATATGAAGGTAGTAGGTACCTAGTATGCTTGTTCGAAATTACAATTTAAAAATCATGGAAGATAAAAATTAGTTGACACATTTTAGTTATTAAGATTATTAGATTAATTTAGAACCTAACAATGGAATAATGCACTTTTCTTATTTTCTTATGTATTTAATACATAAACCCATTTGTTTAAATGAACAATTGAATGAAATTTCTTTTGAAATGTTGATACACTGACATAATTTACACGCGATATAAAAAACTATACAATCATTGTTAGATGATACTTTATAGCGTAAAACAGTATGAAATATTGATAACATTAATTAAACATTTATAAATTGCATACAATTTATTTTTATAACTGATAGTTTTCAATGTATGTTCATTTAATTATTTTGGTTGGTACATATGTAATAATAATTATTATAATTTATATATGTATATATATTATATAGAATGTTAACAACGAAAATTACATCTGGATAACGGCACATTAAATGTATGCTGTCATAAGGGGATTATATGGATGTCTATTAATAATTTGATATTATGCACGATTATAATCGTGATATTATGTATAAAAGATTAGTAAGCAAAATATCTGGACTCTGATGTATGAATTCCACAATGCAATTCATAATGTGGTCCAACTGACTGTGTTCTCCAAGACTCTAATATTTACTAATAACTATACTAATAACTAAAAGAACTATTTACTATAGGTATTATGTTTTAAATTGAAAAATCATACAACATTTGTACTATTAATGTGACATAAAAGCTAACTATGCTTTTAATAGTAATAAAGATGATTATCTTTTATCGTGGTTAGAGCGTATTTAAAAACTAACTACTGTCTACCGACATTTTTATAGTTGTTGGTGTGAAGGAATAAGTTATTTATAGTTAAAAAAAAATAAGATCTAAGCGATAGAATTAAAAATATTACCAGTCATGTTCAATACTAACTTGGCTTTTATATTTAAAAAATGATTAATTAAATTTTGCCTAATACTAATAACTAATATAGTGTATATTATACAATACAATTTATTATCTCACTGGGTTTAATTAATAATTTAATATGTTTTCAATAATGTTTTTATACAATGTGATCTTAATTTCTCACAATTTTTTTTGTTTTTACCCGCCTACCAACTTAATTTTTTTGATAGCAACTTTTGAAACTTAAATGGTAACGCATACATTTTATTAACTTTTTAAATTGACAATAATGTACTAAAAATTTTGACTGGTCGATAACTAGTTTTGTATAACTATTTTTAAAGTTATAAGAGTTTAAATGTTAAGATGGTAGGGGAAGTGCGGTTGAGAAATGCGCGCAGATAATAATACTACACTCCATCTTTCTTCCTGTCCTAAACTTGAAACTTCAAAAATAGTTCTCCAAAACTGATTATCGACCAGTCAACATGTTTAGTACATTATTCTCAATTTGAAGAGTTAATGAAATGTATGTGTTACCATTTAAGTTTCAAAAGTTGCTATCAAAAAAACTGGGAAGTGGTAAAAACATAAAAAGTTGTGAAAAATTGAGATCACGTTGTATGATAAAAAAATGTAATTTCTTATTAAACCCCATGAGATATTGTTTGGCCCAGGATAAAAGGATCATCCTGTAGATCTAATTTTCTAAAATTTAACACATTTGAATCGTGACCAAAGTTTGTCTAATTCGTAATTTATAAGTTTGTTTATGAGAAAAACAAGCAATTTAGTTTAAAAAAATTGTAAAGTACCTTTTGTATTTGATATTTAAATACTTAGCCAATTGTGTATTTTATATTAAGTATGTATAATGTATTGATTATATTTTGTATTTTTATAGTTACACAACTACTAATAATTAATACAAGGACCAACTGAGACTTCAGATTGAGTTTATCTGAACACACGAAACTAAAGAATGTTAGACTATTAAATTTATTGTTAATATGATTCTATTGTCTGAAATATTAACTAAAATTATAATGACTAAGTATTGATTAACTGATTATCTTCTTGTCGATCAATATAATTTTCTGGACTATTCTGTCAGTTTGACGTCTTTAAATTACAATTATATTTTATACTCCCTATTATAAAAAAAATTGTACACCTCTTTTAATAATAAAACAAAGTTGTCACTATTTTTTTTTTTACGAAATTGTAATGTTTTATATTTTATTTAAATAATTAGGTCGCATTGAAATTTTAACTGAACATGACATTATGCAATCACAGATGACCTATGTCATAGTTTGTACTATATTTATTATATGAAACCACATATCAATGATAATTAGTAATTAAGGACTTAGGTTAATGGTACAAGAAAAAATAAAAATAAAATTACTATCAGTAATTTAACTAAAACATGATTTAATAAATATAAATTACATTAAAATGGAATGATCAACCAAACGAATAACATTGCTTAGGCACATATATATTTGTTTTTATTAACAACTACACTAAAATAAATGATTAATTAAAAAAAAACCAACAATAAATCACGAAATACCGCTTTGAACAATGATAAAATGAAAACAATATTTGAAGTAGAATATTGAACTCTTAAAAGGCGGTTTTTTTTAATGCATTTTTTATTTTCTAATGTTTTTTATGATAAATATAAAACAAAGAATTTTAACTGTACAATTAAGGTTTATTCTTTTGAAATTGTATTTTTAAGCTTTTCCGGTAAGAGCGGCGGTTGCTTTGTTTCTGTCTGTAGAGGTATTTTGTTCTTTTTCTAACTGGCGTCCAAGGTATTCCCTACAAATAATAGTAATAAAATATTTTGTGTTTTTGTTATGGCTTGTGATAAAACACATATTATGTATAAATTAATAATTAAATAATATACCAATTATGAACCATAAGTTTCTGAACAGCCAATAAAGCTTCGTAACGCACATTGGCATCGTCATGAGACAATAGCTGCATTACGAGTTGTTTTCCTCCGAGTTGTTCGATTATACTGTAATTAAAAAAAAAAAAAAAAATTACAAAACAGAATAAAAGTTTGTATGCACATAAAATATAATTTCTTGATAGCCGATAATCATCGAGACAATTTTTAAATAATTCTTACTGTTTTCCACGAGGGTAATGACGGACATACTCGCCAACATCAAAGCTGGCTACACTTAAAACCAATGGATCTCGACTCGTTTCCAACAAATGTACTAAAATGCGCAACAATTCATAGTTCCGTTCATTGAGACGTGATGCATTTTCACGCCAGAACTGTGCCGATCTATGAACAGGACTCCATTCCAAACGGCCAGATTTTACTTCAGTAGCGTATTCATCAAATGAGCTAATTAAAAAAAAAGATTATAAAAAGACAGTTTTTCAGCCGAGTCTGCAACCACGAAAGATCATTTTCATGTCTCGTTGAAGTACCGAATAAATTTAGAGTAGTGGTGGAATTATAGATAATGATATAGTATATTAACGAGCGGTAACAAGCTAGTATAATAAAACGTCAAGTTTCTGGCTAAAATTGTAGTGTTTATTGCTGGCTTAAAACAATTCATAGAGAAATTGGGCTCTTAAACTGTTTTGAATTTATTATTTAGTTCTAATTTGAACGTTGAACGTACAACATATCTCTTATCTCAAATCAGATAACAGCGTAACAGATTAACATTCGAAATAGATCCGAAATGGTCATTCCGATAATTGTCTTTTGTCGTCGCTTCGTAGTTTTTGTTACATTGCGGCGCGTAACAGCATAACGCTTTTTCGGTAACACTTTTTTTCGGTTATTTACCGGCTAAATCTCACCCTTATCTCCTACCCCCTATTCCACTCCCGTCCCCAACCCTTTCGCTTTTTTTGTTACGCTCTTTTGGTAACGCTTTTTTCGGTTATGTGCCAGAGCTAAGACATGAAAATGTCAATATTGTTACAATAATAATTCAATTATTTTTTGGTTTGATTTTACCTTAAATCTTGTACCGAGGCTTGAAGTCGCTCATTCAAAAACTGAATGTCCTCTACTATGTCCTCATCATCAAACTTTCTCTGTTCAAGAATACTAAGTTGTTTTAATACTTTACTTTGAACCATAGCGATACAATGTTCTTTGGAAGTAGAGCTGTCCTCCGGCTTTTCAATTAGGTTCTAAACAAAAATTATCATTATCATTTTAAAAGAAAAAATGTGGTTCATATGTTATATATTACTCTGAAAACCGCAAGAATAATTCTGGTGACCTTCTCTTTGACAGAATCGCTTAAAATGTCTGCCAAAATTGGAATAACATTAAACCTGAAAATTATTTTCAAAAAATTAGTGACTTTTTTGTTTAATTTTCAAATATGGTAGTTGCAAAAGATGTATACATACATACAGGGTTATCCACTTATCGTGAACTTATATAAATATATATAAATCGTCGTCATGCAAAAACTGACCAAGGGTATTTTTATAGTTTTCGTAATTTATTTTTTGTAATATATACAGGGTGATCCACTTATCGTGAACCACTCAATATCTTACAGAGTAAATTAAGAAATTAATATTTTACTTTTCATATTTTTATCATACAATGTGATCTCAATTTTTTTTTTTTTTTGTTTTTACCTCCTCCCAACTTAGTTTTTTTGATAGCAACTTTTGAAACTTAATTGGTAAAGTGTGTATTTTATTAACTTTTTAAATTGAAAATAATCTATTAAAAATGTTGACTGGTCGTTAACCAGTTTCAGATAACTATTTTTAAAGTTATAAGTTTTTAAGTTAAGATGGAAGGGGAAGTGTGGTTGGGAAATTTGCGCAGATAAAAATAATTTTACACTACACCTTTCCTCCTGCCCTAGACTTTTCACTTCAATAACTTTAAAAATAGTTATTCGAAACTGGCTATCGACCAGTCAACATATTTAGTACATTATTCTCAATTTAAAAAGTTAATAAAAATATATACGTTACCATTTAAGTTTCAAAAGTTGCTATCAAAAAACTAAGTTAAAGATTGAGATCACATTGTATATAAAAAAAAATATGATATTTTCTTATTAAACCTCATGAGATATTGAGTGGTTTACGATAAGTGGATCACCCTGTATATATTACAAAAAATAAATTACAAAAACTATAAAAATACACTTGGTCAGTTTTTGCATGACGACGATATATATATATATTTATGAAAATTTTACTTGTTCATTCGTTCAGCCAAACGAGGATTAAACGTCATGACCCAAACACAGAAGATCAATTGGTATTGTATCTGGAAGTTAACCCGTCCAGACAATATACTTAACAGAGTTGATATGCCATCAACTGAAATAAACGCAGTTCTATATTCATCACGGCGTAGCAACATTTGCAAACAACGCGCAACTGATTGCATGTACTCATTATTCTGAAACACCCCCATTAATTAATTAATTAAAGTATTTTATTTTGAAACAGTTAAAAAAAAACTTTTTTTTATATACTTACAGTTGACAACAACTGTTCTTTAATCCAGTTCAAATAAAACTGGAGATCAGTTTGATTTATGAAATCTGTTGAGTAACAAGCAAATTTAGCTATTATACGTGCTGACATATTGTTAATAAATCCATCAGCAGCATTCAACAAGTTCAAAAAGTTTCCACACACAGGTTCATTTCTCTTCAGAGCATAATCATGAAATATTTCTACTCGAGAACTATCTTCCTAAAAAATATAATATTTCTATAACAAATGGTATTGCATTATTTATGCCTAAAATGGTTTTAATTATCTACCATAAAACTTTTATGCAACATTTTATTAATTTTAACTATAACTACAAAGTTAAAATTACAAGCTTATATAATAAAACAGAATATTAAATAAGATAAGATAAGTATCCATTCAACTAATACTTAGGTAATTTTAATAAGAGAGAAGCGTAATGACTAATTAGTTAATATAAGCTTACTGTAAGTAAATCATCAATCAAAACAAGCACATATTGTATAGTTGATTCTTTAGAAATATGTTCTAACAAACGGAAGAACGCTTCAGCTGCTTGTGCACGGTTACTATTTAAAATTTGGCCTCTATTTCTACTAGCGTCGTAGGCGCTAATGAAATCGAATACTTCTTGCGATATCATTTGTGACCTATCAAAAATTAATATTTTATTATGACCAACACAATGGCGAAAATGATTTGTAAGACACTTTACCTCAAATAAGACGCCCAATTTAATTTCAAATTTCTTATTTCTGCTGCTTGTTGTTGTAATACACTGGTAGCAGCAAACATATCTATAAGGAAGGTTTATATACATTTTTTTTAAAACTATTAGTAACTGGTACACGCCCTTTTAATAAAAATGTTCATTGTGCACTTACCAATGTTTTCTTCTGGGAACGGTGGTAATATATCGGCAACACTTCCGGTTTGAGCCATTTTTATAAGGAAATTTTGATGTCTATAAAGTAATAATTGAAATGAAGACAATAATATCGTTCAATCCTTTAGAAGAATATCGCACAAAAATCGTAATAGGGGCAGGGTATAAACTATAGAGGCAGATTGAAGACTATAATATTATTATGGTTATCGGAGAGCTGTATTCACTGTTAATGAAAATCAGTGTGACCACGATGAAAAAAATATATATCTTCACCAGTGAGATCAGCTGATCAGCTTACCATGAACTAATTAGTAATTACTATAATTGTACAAAGCTTTAATTTATTGATTATATATTATAAATACTAATAATAATAATAATATATTATAGACATTTTTATTTTTTATAGAGATGTAAGTTATTTAAGCTTCATACATCGCATATAAACAAAAAAAAAATAAAATGTTAGAATGATTCGTCAAATTCACTAATATTTGTGTATTTGTTACTTCACGTAATTGTTAGAGAGCTACAGCAAGCATTAAATAAAATCTGGAATAAGGATTCAAATTTCTCTTATTTAATTTATAATATACTTTTAGATAAGTGGGTTGGCAGTTAAAACTATTTTTTTCTATTAATTACAATTGCTATCAACACTATTCTACTACAAAATCGGTTTTTTTTAAAGCTTATTATATTCATTGCAACCCAAAAACATTTTTACATTAAATTTATAATAGTCATAATATCATTTAAATTTAATGATTTTGTAAACAGTTACAACATACCAGTGTTCTATAATCATTATTTTTTATTTTACTGACATACAAAAACCCATACTAGCCTTCACATAGTACTATAATTAATGGACGAACACCAAACATCAGAGAATAATATAATTTGAAATAATGTTCGCAATATGTTAAGGCACCTGGGTACCGACCATTTTTAAGGAGTTTTATATAGGCAATATTTAAGAAAAAAGTGGTTTTAATCAATTTCGACCATGTCAATTAATTTACCGGTTAATTTGTATAAGCTTCATGGTATTATTTTTAATTTAAATAATTTTGTCTATGAGTAAAAGCCATTTCAGTTAATATAATAGTAAATTTTTTGTCCATCGCACAGGCTGAACCAGTGATCCGATCAGTAATCTGCAATCAGATTTGAGTTCGTCATGAAGTTTACTTATATCGGTCAGCGTACTTTTTTGATATCTTATTCCTATTACGCATAAAACACGTTTGAACTTTTTATAAAATTTCAAATTTTAAAATTAAATTCGGAAAAGGTTAAATAAAAGATTAAAAAAAGTGCTCTGACCGAACTCAAGTAAACTTTATGAAGAATTCATATCTGTTTTACGATTGCTTATCAGATCACTGGTTCGGCATGTGCAATGGACAAAAAATGATGTGTTTTGGCTGAAAAAACGGTTGGTATCCAGTGGCCTTAACTAAACATAGTCACTTTAGAGGAGTCCAATGTAAACATCAATTTAAACTTGGGTAGGAATATAGGATAGGTATATTTATAATAATTAGGAATAAAAAAACTATCAATATCTAAATATATAAGAAAAAAAAAAGATGTACGATTCACGAGAGTGTTATACGAGTGACAACACCTAATCAATCTTATTATATTCTCTTTTTTGTTTTTTGTGTGTAAATAAACTTTTTCAACTTTAAATTAAATTACTATAGTTATTGTTATATTGTTATTAATTTTAACAATACTCTACTGTATAATAACATATTGTCGATTTTGGGTTTGTCTCGTAAATATATTATATATAAATAAATATTAGGATATGACACGATTTTTATAACTATACTTTACAAAAATAATTTACTTACATGTTGGAATTAGTAGTTTAGCCAGACTAATCTAGACAGGAAAACTGAAATACATAATTTAAAATTAATTAATGTTTAGATTTTAATAATGAAAATAGAACTAAGAATACTTATGTTATAATGAATTATTATTTTTAAATAGGAAAAAAATAAACATTATCTAGAAAAATCTAAGGTTGAAGAAAAATACACTTTTTAATGTGCTACTACTGGAAAAGTATATTTTTGTGGAGAGGGTATTTTCTAATGTTTTATTACTAAACAATAAACACATATTTGTTTTCATTATAGTTTAAGAAAAAAAATTATATGCCACACATTTATATTATAGTATTATATGTGGCAATAAAAATTTTACATTAAGTAATAAAACAAAATAATTATTAGTTATTTGTATTTGATACACGCTGCAGAAATGTATACATAAAGTTGTAAAATTCAGAACAATAAAATACACAGTCATAACACATAAACATACATACTGATACTTACAAAACAATGAAGATGTTCTATTTTGTGGAAGACATTCACAAACCAATTCGTCTATTCATTTCAAGATATTGATTTAATATTTTTGAATACATGACAAGTCAACTATTTTCCGAAATAGTTCAAACTTACTATTACTATACACACGGCTCATACAGATGGGTAATAACAAGACAATTCAGTCTTTTCAAAAACAATTATGTATAAATCAGTTATCATTCAAACACAGGCAAAAAGGAAGGATATTCAATATATCAACAACACTCACTTATATAATTGTCTAATATCAATAAACAATCATATCAAATACAAAAAGTCAATAAAAATTGATATAATAGGGATACCTATTTTATATAAGTAGCGAAAATCATAATTATGATTGACGAGAATATGAATATTCTATAAATATGATGCAAATAATATCGTAGCAAAAATAAAATTAAACTTAATATTTTTTTAAATTTTAAATGTATGGTAATTTAATAATATACATTTTTTTAAAAAACTACAAGTATAATAAAATCATAAAAACATTTAAAATTTTGCTTAAGTTCTGCTGTAATTGAGCAATTGACATTATGTATTTTTAGATATTTGTACAACATCACATGCTATCACTTTAATAATATTATAAATCTATAATACTTTAAATAGATATAAAAAAAAAAATATTACCTACATTTTTACATCACTGTCTGAATTAAAGCTTGAACAGAAAATAAATCGATAACTTTTACAATAAGTTCTATGGAAGTATAGTTTTTATCCTAAACAATTCATTCACATTACATTCACACAGTCGTAGCATAATATATTATGTAATTAAAATATTTAAAATTGCCAATTACATTGTATCATAAAACTTGATTAGTAATTATGCTTAAAAAATAACAAAGGACCTTATATACATTAAATAAAGACAGTTTTTAATTGTTAAATATATTCTAATAAAACCCAATTTAATAAAATAATTGTACTTTTTTAATAGGTTTTATAGATTGTAACTATATATAGATAAAAGCGGTTTGAATAAAAATTCATACGCTGAAAGTTTGATTTTTTAAATATATTTTACAAGTAATATAATATTACTTAAAAAGAGGCAAATTTTGTAGCTAGCATGTAACAATAACTTATGGTTATTATTATTTTTAACAAGTTATAACTATTTTTTATTTTAGAATTAAATTACCGTCATTTCAATTATCTGTTTCCTGACGAGTTGTAATCGTTATTAGATCGTTTTCTATTGTTGTAATTATTTCGTTGAGACCATTGGTTATTTCCTCCTGAAGGTGGGGGTGGCATCATACGTCCATTGACAAGTCCCCACCCCGCTGCCTGTGTTAAAGCCGCAGCTACTATAGCCGGGCTCAATGGCAACATAGGATTATAGTTGTCTTGGCCATTAATACCCAAAGATTGAAGATTTGGCATATCAACATTGCCACGGTTATCAAGCTGTGAATGATACCAATTTCGATAGCTGTCATTTTGACGATTGCCAGATCGTTCCCAGGGTTCACTAGGTGGAGGAGTTTGATGGCGATTTTTAGATACTTGTGGCTTTGGCGAAGCTTCAGAGACCCGTACCGAAACGTCTTTTATAATATGGTCTTCACCACATAAACTAGCAGCTATTTCCGGGTCAAGGAACGTTACAAACGCAAATCCTCGAAATGGGTTTTTGGGTACAAAAACATTGATAACTTCACCAAATTTATTGAAATATTCACGAATATTATCAGCTGACAAATCTTCGGTAACACGACCAACAAATACTTTTCCAGAAAGTTCTGAACTATTACCTTCCTAAGAATTAAGAATATAAATTTTGTTGATTACATTTTTTGCTTTGCTTCTTTATTACAACAACTCACTTTAGATTTTGGAACTTTCACTTCACAATTGCGACCATCAATTTTGTGGCGTTGCGATAATACACGCACTTGTGATTCCAAATTACTATATCTTAGAAAACCATAACCTCGAGATTGTCCATTTTTATCCCTTTTAATCTAAGAAAAATAATTCAGTGAAAATTATTATAAATTATAATTTCTTTTAATTTTCACCAATGATTGATAGATAATCAGTTTTTTATGGTGGTACATCAAAACAAAAAACATTAATAATTAAAAAAGCATTGTATAAGTTGAGAATTACTTGTAACATGAGGAGTTCTCCAAACTGACCAAAGTATTCTTTTAATTTTTGCTCATCATAAGAATATGGTACATTCAGAACAACTAGATCCGAACATTTTAATTTAGTTTCCAATCTTTTTGTTTTGGCTGTTGGATTTTCAACATTATCATCAATTTTTCTCTTGTTTTCTACTAAAATTTTGTTGAAAAAAACTTTATGAATAAAACTATGTAGCTGTGTCAATATGCAACAGAATTTTAATTTTTAAGCCAAAGTATTTGGAGAAATTCAATTAAGCTTGTACATTTATACATAAATATTGAAGTTATATTAAAAACAAATTGTATATAGCACAAAAAATGCATTTTTTTAAATAAAATTAAAAGACAGGTGGTCAGCCAAAAGTTCAACCAAAATCTTTGGAGTAAGTATAGAAAATTATTTTCACTGGATATTTTTAGTTACTATGAAATACCTTTAGGAAATACACAATAATATGGTGTTTTTCCCCATTCATTGTCGGGAACATGGAAACAGTTATCAGCTAAACGTACACCTCTTACAATATTGTTCTCGGTGCGGAATTTTAAACCACTTGCTCCAGGAAACTGAGCAGTTAATGTGGACAATAATAAAGATCCGTTATCTTCCAACGGTAGTTCGACAGCTTCACCATATTCTTCATCGGACACCAAGACATATTTTACTGACATGGTGTCTAATAAAACTACTTTTTTTCTCCCACACAAGGATCTGTTTGTTCACACTAGAATGTGTCGATTATTATTCTCGTAATGTACATCTTAACTCTTAATCAAAGGTAAAATTATTATTATACTCCAAGTTACACTTTTTTTCCAAAAATATTTTGTTTACAACACCATTGTTATTGATATATTAAATTTTAGATCTTAATAGACAAAAGGTTTATATTGTTAGAACATTATATAGTAAGTAACTAATGAATAAATAACACAAACTAAACTAAAGAATAATAAAAGTATTTAAAAAAAAATAATATCCAATACAAATAAGCTATCAAGTAATTAGTGCGAATTATAAACGAATTACGATTTACGTGTACGACAAAACATGATTTGAATATGGATGTGGTCACTGCAGTTTTCGGAATTCCGTATTATCCTATTTTGGACTTCCTACCGTTTTTGAGGTTACTTAATGTTAAGAATAATATTGATTAAACCATAGATCATTTCATAATACTTTTTTTTATAGATAGCCGTTTTTGCCATAATCACCCTGAAACACAGATATATATAATAAACTAGATTGCTAACTAGCGATAAGAATTGAAGCCGACGGTCCGCCATTCTGGTGGGATTTATGTGTGTTATCAATGCATATAATATATATCTGTGTATATTATTCTATCAATATTATCAATATATATATGTGATTGTTATAAACATATATTATTCTCGCGTGATAAGGTTCTAATTCCCACCAAGATGGCGGAAAGTGGCTGCTTCAGTCTCCTCTATTGGTGGCATGTAAAGGTAGTATAGGTAGTTAGTTAGCAATCTAGTTTATTATATATATCTATGCGTCTGTATTATTATTACACTGAGACATTGATAATAAAAATATGGATAGGACATTCTCAATTGAGGCCACTATATTTTTGCGGTCCTGAACTGATACGACATTGAGGCCGTTTGCTTACAGTCCTGCATATTATCTGATTTAGATTATAAATAAATAAAAAGTGAATTCGCATCAATTTCGGCCTCAATTTCGTAACACTTGATGACCGCTGATAAGACGTTATGACCTATCTAATATGACCCATATTTTTATTATCAATGCTCTGAGGTGCGTAGTTCTATCTCGTGGAGATTGGAGAACTACAAAAGTGATCACAAATAACAATTCCCACCATCACTCAATTTCCTTCAATATTTATTTTGATTTCGTCGTGTATTCTCCTACCTTGTACGTAATAGAATGACAACACTTGTTGCTTACGTAGACGTCACTCACGTTAGTACTAAGTACCAAACACCAACTCCTACTCACTAGTCACTAGTTATCCTAAATTTGTTGTTTGACATAGGTAATTTTCTCTTTGATATTTCACGCTTGTTACTTGAATAATTGGCCTTGATAATCAAACGTTGATCTTCTCGTTGTTTTTACCCTTTCACCACGTTTCCCATTAATGTTGTTGAGCAATATTAATAGGTACTTATATAATTTTTTATAGTTGAACAATTTTACGACTGCAAATTTCATTATTATTGTGAAGACGTCTTCAATCGAAAAAGCAAAAGAATTAATTGACGTTTTATTTGTTAATAAGACTGCCAGTAATAAATACGTTTATTTCTTAATTTGGTAATTTTTTAAAATCAAAATGAAGATTACAATTAATGAGGATTTGAAAAGAGAACGCCAAAAGTGTACTTTCAACGTTGAAGAACTTACAAATTTCATAGATGGCGGTATTCAAAAAACAGAAGCTAGAAGAAAAGTGGGTATGTGTATTTTTTTCTCCTATTCCTCTTTAGTGCTTTTGCTGTACCGCTCTGCCAACGCAACAGTATATTTTTCAGTTATATTGATGAGGTGGTGTATGTATATAAATTTAATAACCATACAAAGTATTGCATTTTTAGAATCATTTTTTTTATCCGATCCACGTTTAAAAGACGACGTTCCAATGGAATATTTAAGCCATAAAGAACGTTATGAACATGCTGTAAGGAAGAGTTGTGTTTTATTTAAAAAAATTACGGAATGGCAAGAACAAGATGACGGCAGTGGCGGGTCCATGGATCTTTATCAGTAGGTATATTTTAAAAAATTATAGGAATTTAATAATCAGTTACATTTGAAATTGTATTTATTGTAGAGCACTCTTGGGTGGTTTACTCGGTAGTGCTATCATAAATGATGGTACACCTTTTGCTGTACATTATGTTATGTTCATTCCTACAATAATGGGACAAGGCACTATGGAACAACAAGGCGATTGGGTCGGTCGAGCGTTTAGTAATCAGATAATAGGAACATATGCTCAGGTAATAAACATAATAATATGGTAGTATTGTATTTCATAATACTTAAATAAGACCAAGACATTATAAATTTAATATTTGTGAAATCCTTTTTTTGTAAAAAATTTGAATGTATTGTATATACACTGTATACAATATTTATGAAACTATTAGTACTAGTAATTTGATTGTGATACCAATTAAGAAATTAATAGAACTTTTGAATTTTGGTTGAATGGTATATAATTACTTGATATATGATGTGTAGTAATGACTTTCGTATTAAACGTATTTTATAATAATATTTCCTATTATAATAATATCCCGTTATTTACTTTAAGATTAAGCTTCAAATATATAATAAACAAATGACGTATGTTCGTATTGTTTATTTTTACTATAATTAGTATACTGATTAGAATGATGTCATAATGAATATATTATTACACAATTTGTGTTATTGTCTATAAGTAATTAAAATTAAAATACTTACAAAGTTTATTAAATGAGTACACAATACCCATTTATACATTAATTAATTACAGTGTTTAATATTATTCATAAGAATAAAATTGTAGTAAAAGCATGCAGTTATCTAGATATTTAAAAAAATAATTATAAGGAATAGAATTAACAGATCTTTAAATATTAAAAAAATATTTAGTGTTATTTTCTCTGCTCCCCGGAAAAACATTGAATTATGGATATGTTATTGCATTACGGTCCGTACAACCATCATGATTTTTTTTATAAGGTACAATTATATGTATACTGAAAATTTAAGTAAGATGTTATTGTATTTTGGCCACAAAGAATGTAAAAATTTACATTATCTTAAGCTTGCACACGTACACATTTTGCTCTTTGTAAACTCCTCTACAAGTGTCTTGACCGATGACGTGGACTTGGCCGCTCTCCTGTTCTCCAGCAGGTTGGCCTTAGCCTCCGCCTGGATCAGACTCTTCAGAGTCGTCGCTTTGTTCGTTATGCCCTTGACAATCTCCTTACTGAAGTTCTTCTTCTGATTTTGGTTCGCCTTGGCTGACTCCATCAATCAGTTGAGTCCGCTCATTATCTTATGATGTGTCGACCCTCGTAGTCTTCGACTTCTTATATACTATGTTAAGCTCATTGGTCTCCTGTTTCCTCTTGGCGGTAACATACCTTCTTTCGACAAACATTATATTGCTTTCGCTGTCCGCGTTAGACATTTTAACGATTTTGTTTATAAAACTGTCCTCGGATGAACATAAACTACTACTATTTGAATAAAATAGTAGTTTTTGTCGATAAATCGGTCTTAGAGTCTCAAAACCTATCCTAGTAAGTAACCCTACCGCCTCATCAATTCCCAGTGATAGATTGCTCAAAAGACGTCTCCTTCTCCAAAATAACAACCCTATTCGCGGTTGCCAAGTTGAAATTTCTGTATTGTTAATGAAGATCTAAAGAAGTTATTCATTCAACATAGTAAATAAACCATTATATTCTCATTATTTTGAATTTTAAAGGAATAAAATGTATTTTAGAAAATAACTTCTAAGTTTATTTATTAATGTTATTTAGAAGATTTGGTTTTAAAATTCATGATTTAATTGCTGTTAATCTGTTAATGTAAAAGTGTTTTCAAATTTTTTTTAATGCAATATAAAATAAAAATGTAATATTAAGTATTTTTTTGAGATTAAATATTACTAACAATATCTTACTCGCTTGTTAAAGGGACGGTCTATTTTACTGAACTGCTGTGGTATATTTTAGAGGAGGGAGGACTACTAAATAGTAAAATATAAGCAAATTTTTATTTTGGGGAGAGGACAAGTGATGAGATTGTGGTATAACCGCCATACATAAATTATATTATAAATTATGATTTATGTATGGCAGTTATACCACAATCTCATCACTTGTCCTCTCCCCAAAATAAAAATTTTCTAAGGTTTACTATTCAGTAGTCCTCCCTCCCGTAAAATATTATTATACTTACGGTATAATAATATAACGTAACACATATATCCCTTTATATAGGCAATCCAGTGTACAGTTCAGCAGATTAGCGCATTTCAGTAGTTCAGTGCATATGCCCCTGGATATAGGCAACCGAACATACATTTCAGCAGTTCAGTAAAATAGACCGTCCCCTTGTTAAAAGAAACACCTTTCAAAAGTAACCTAAAAGTACCTTTCAGCTCTGCCCTGTAAAATGTATCTATTGTTTAGTGATAAATATAAACAACAATCATATTATTTTTTATATTTTGCATTATAGACTGAACTAGGCCACGGAACTTTCATTCGAGGTTTAGAAACCACCTGTATGTATGATCCATCAACTGAAGAATTTGTGTTGAATAGTCCCACATTAACATCGTATAAATGGTGGCCTGGTGGACGTAAGTTTATCATTTTATAATCAGAAGCGCAATTTTTCTAAAATAAGCGGGGGTGCTTAAACACTAAAAATATTAGAAAATCCTCTCTCTGCACTTCTTAAAGTATGAAACAAAAACATTTAGACGAGGAGGGGGGGGGGTGGTGCTTTTTTCAAAACTGTGAGTGTTTAGCCTACCCAAGGTTTCCCCAAATTGCGCCTATTTTTGTAATTAAATATACTTTTATAGATTTTAAAACTATATTGTTAGACTTAAAATCTAAAACTTCTCAATTCCACATCGAAACTAAGAATATATACTTTTCTTTCAGTTGGACATACCTGTAACTATGCAGTTGTTGTTGCTCAGTTATATACTCAAGGAAAATGTCATGGTATACACCCTTTTATTGTTCAGCTCAGAGACGAAGAAACATGGATGCCACTGCCTGGTAATAAAATAATAGTTTATTATTTATTAATTTGATTAAGACATGTTTTCTAAATTTACTTTAGGAATAAAAATTGGCGAAATTGGAAGTAAATTTGGAATGAACTCAACCAATAATGGATACTTAGCATTTGATAATGTCAGAATACCAAGAATAAATATGCTAATGAAAAATGCAAAAGTTCTAAAGGTACATTTATAATTTTTTTGATAAATAATAAAAATTCCATTATTATTATCATTAAATAGTTGTTATTAAAAATAACATAGAATTGTAACACATCTATTTATATATATTTTTTTTTGTAGGATGGTACTTATCAAAAGTCTTTAAGTGACAAGTTGACTTATGGCACAATGATATTTGTACGTGTAGCTATTGTAAGAGACTTAGTAGTAAACTATTTAGCAAAAGCTGCTGTGATAGCGACTAGATACAGTGCTGTAAGACGACAGTCAGAGCGTAAACCCGGGTAAATATATTAAGAACTAGATATATTTAATTTTGTGGCATTAAGTTTACACTATAATATTTTTTTAGTGAACGTGAACCTCAAATATTAGATTATCAGACACAACAGTATAAATTATTTCCAGTTATAGCTACTAGCATAGCATTTCGATTTGCAGCTACGTGGTTATGGACTGTTTATAACGAGGTTACTTCTCAACTAGAACAAGGTGACATGGAACGATTACCTGAGGTAAATTTTGTGCTTAAGAAAAATGTATTATCAGTACTAGATTTTATTTTAAAAATTGAATTAATTAATTTTATACTGAAAAAATGGGCAAATTTTTTTTTTAGTTGCATGCAATGGCTTGCTGCTTAAAAGCTGTTGGTACAGCTGATGCAGCTGTTGGTGTGACGACGTGCCGTTTAGCGTGCGGTGGTCATGGCTATATGAACAATAGTAATTTACCTAATACCTATGCAATGACTACTGCCACAGAAACATATGAAGGAGAGAATACGGTTTTACTGTTACAAACTGCAAGGTGAATATTTTAAATGTAATAAATTGTTTAGAAAAATGTAATAATATATATTTATATATTAAAGATATTTGATGAAAGCTTTCCAAGATGCTAAGTCTGGCATGGAATTAACAGAGACAGTGAAGTATTTAAATAATTTTAAAAACCTCAGACGTTTAAATTGGACAACAGATTTGAAATGTATGGCAAATGCTTTCACTCAAGTAGCTGGAAGGTAATTTGACTATATAATAAATGATCATGACTTAGAAAATAGCTATAATAAGCAAATATTTGTTTTTTTTAGTTTAATAGAAAAATGTTATTTTTCAATCAATTTATTAGTAAAGTCAGGAGTTCCTCATGAAGATGCTTGGAATCAGACATCTATTCAACTTACAAGGGCTACTGACGTTAGTTATTTTAGATGTAACAAATTACCTATCTTAAAGAAAAAATGTAATAATAATATGATTTAATTTTACAGGCCCACTGTCGAGCGTTTGTGATTAATGCATTTATAGCAACTCTTCAAAAGGTTCAACTCTCCTCAGAATTAAAGTTGGTATTAACACAACTTGCAGAATTAATTTGTGTACATTGGATTTTAATCAAATTAGGCGATTTTTTGCAGGTACTTTTTAATTTTCTTTGAATATTGTTTTTTGTATACCATTTTATTAAAAACATTAATTTATTGTTTAGTTTTCAAATTTAAAACCAAGTGACGTGCATTCAGTACAAACTTTATTAGAAGATAGCTTAAAACGTCTCAGGCCAAATGCAGTTGGCTTGGTGGATAGTTTCGATATGAGAGATGAAATTTTAAGTTCACCGTTGGGAGCTTATGATGGTAATGTTTACGAACGACTTATTAACGAAGCCAATAAAAGTCCGCTAAATAAAGAACCTGTCAATGAATCATTTCATAAATATTTAAAACCATTTTTAAAATCAAATTTGTAAATCATCAAAATCATAATATAACAACTTGAATAGTAGTTATTTGTGTTAAATATTAATGTTATACTTTGCATATTAGAAAGGGTTATGGTATTAATATACAGTATGGAGTTTGTTTTCTCGTAGCATAATATTTTTATTTTTATTTAATTATATTTTATAAGTTATATTTATATATCTTTATTATTTTTACCAAATGGGATCTATAAAGGGATTGTATTATTTTATACCTACTTAGTGGTTTTATGTGTGAATCTATTTTAAGTAAACTATGTTATGTGACATTTAAAATTTTATATTTATCTATGATTGTTGTCTACTTATTTTTTTCATTATTTGTTACTTTTTTGTTATTGTTTATACAATTATTATAGACTAAGATTATACAAAACTATCCATATAAATTACAATAAAAAATATTGTATTCATTTTAGCTTAATTGCAATTTGAGGTGCTTAGAACTGAAAATAAATCGAATGTATGTTATAAATATTATATATTTAATATATAAATCTGGACTCATTTCAAAGCATTTAAAAAAAATATTATATAGACGTAATTAAACTGAAATAAATTCAGTTTTCTTTTTTTTAACAATTAATGTGTTCATATTTAAAAAAAAAATGAATGAGGTAAATTTTGATGTACCATTTTATTCAAAATGGTAAATATAATTCATCATGTAGCTTAACGGGCCATGGAGGCCCAACGTTGCCATCATCATATGGTTTCTTGACGAATTCGCTATCAGTTATCACCATTTTTTACCCAGTCGGCACATACTTTTGATAGCTTATGAAATATGTAAGATAATTTTATTCATTTCAACATCTCGTACCTGGTTTTTGAGCATGAACCAGTTAAAACTATTTTTTTACTTTCATATTAAAATCGTAATCCCTATTTTGTGTAACTAAATAGAACCACTGATCTATGCACTAAATAAAAAGAAATTTCCATAATGGCAATAATGTTCACGAAATCTTGCGTTTTGGGAAACGGGTGAAGGGCTATTTATAAAGGGGTAAAATATAGACATTATTTGACATAAATTGATCTAGGAGCTATTTTAAATATGCAAACTAATTTAAGGGAAATTAATATTCAATTTTTCTAGTTACATAACTATAAGTTTGGCATATCTATCTGACGGATTTCAATTTTTTACGGAAACCTTACTTCTTTATCTTTGGAAGCCAATAGACTGAATTTTGATTTAGTAATTAGAAAATAGGTCATACATTTATTTTATTGGACACCGATATCGCGATTTTTTTTTGTCACCTTATAGTGTTTTTTCACTGATTACAAATTTAAAGTAAGAAATCGGCGGACTCCTCTAGTTCAAAAGTTATAGCTACTAGAACTTTGAACTTTTCTGCATATATAACTTACATATATTAACTTAACTTTGGCTTGAGAAAAATAAACAGACGTTAAAAGTAGGTATAAATAGGTACTTACTTGATTAAATGTAGTATTTGTGTGGCCCATTAGTAATCGATACAACAACAAACTGAAGCACATGCTTCACTAAGTATATAATAAAATAAAACGTGTACACGCACTGACAAAAAAGGCTTACAACAACTGAATCTGTCTTAAATATCTAAATATTATTCCGTATAATATACACTATGAGGTACACCGTGTAATGCATATAATTTACCGTGCAAGAAGTCGATATTATAATTTATTCAAATATACGAGTTCACTTGGAATGACCCCTCGGGAAAAAAACATGATTTCCTTACTTCCACCACTACCACTGGGTGTTTATTCAGTGTGCACCATCACGGTGTAGGTAGTTAGGTATATAGTATGCTATTAAACAGTCATAATAACATTAATTCATACTTAATAACGTCGTTAAGCTAATATACTATGTTTGAAGTGCTACAATAATAACAACAATTTATCATTTCTATCAATATATATGACTTCAATGCCAAACGATTTTGTTGTACAATACTATTTTGTGACTAAATAGTTAGAAAAAAGAGCATAAATTATTAATTACATTTAATTTTTCTAAGAATTGTTTGTGAAAATAAAAAATGATCAAGCAAACCATCAATGAAGACTTGCTTGCAGAACGTTCTAAATGCACGTTTAATGTTGAAGAGCTAACGAATTTCTTTGACGGGGGCGTCAGCGAAACGGAATCACGCAGAAAAATGGGTAATTGGTCTTTTAAACAAATTAATTAGTTCTACAGTAAAAACTCACCTTCTCCGTATAAGATCATAAAATAACATTATATCGTCTAACTAATAAATTATTCAGTATAATATGTTGGTAATTTTTTTTAAAAAGTCTAAGTTAAAATCTGGTAAGTAAAAGTCTTAAACTATTGTGTACATTTACTAATACGGTAATTAGAACTTTTTAATGTTATACAATTTTTTTATTAGACCATTAAAGTAGATACTTTTAGACACCACACATTTTTGGTGCAAAAACGAAAAAAACGCGTTCTGTAAACATGTTCGAAAATAATAAGTATTATGTAAATGTTGACATCAATAGAATAATTAAGACTTAAATTGCATGACAGTTAATGATGGTTACACCAATTTCGTGATTTATTAAATTTAAATAATGACTTGAATTTTAGTAATTTAAAAAAAAAATCAGCTTAAGTTCCCGTATTTGCATACAGATGAGGAAATATAGTTCATCTGAACTTTTATGAAAGTTGTACTGAGAAAGCAAAAATATATTTTCTTGTTAAGGCGTATACCTCTTATTTCTTAAGAAGATAAGTATAGGAAATTTTTTGCAAAATATTAATTTAAAGGTTAAACTGCGACGTGTAATTATTAGTTTAGTTATATTAGGACTCTTTTTTGGTAGTTAATTTATCTTTCGGACTATCACAGTATCCTTGACAGCGATTAAAAAAAACATCATCTAAATATAGCTACGCAGAATGTGTTTTACTTGGTCAATAGTGGGTTTAGAACAAAAAAAACCCTCGAAAGATAACAACATTTCGAAAACACAATTATAATTATTTTATAAAAGAAAAAAACATGATTTTGAATGTTCAATATTACCTAGGTTTATTAAAAATAGGATATGAAATTGTCTCCAAAATCTTGTCGTGTTGTTGCTTTAATTAGGAATTGCCGCGTAAATTGTCTCGTGCTAATGTTGGGGCAACTTGGGGGGCGGGGGAAGAGGGCTGGTGAAATTTCTACTCAACAGGTTAATTTAAATAAAAATTAATATAATTTGTTTTCTTTTTTAGAGAATTTTTTTCTCTTTGATCCACGTTTTAAAGACAAAGTACCCATGGAATACTTAAGTCACCAAGAACATTACGAAGAAGGGATTAGAAAGTCCTGTATACTCCATAGCAAAGTCAATGAATGGGCGAACATTACAAACACTAATAGAATACAAGTTTACACGTAAGTGTAAAAAAGTTCAGTTTGAATTTGTTGTATGATGTGTTTTTTTTTTTTCATTTTCTTTTGTGTCTTATGATGTACGTTCAAATATTTTATATTATATAAGAGTAGTAGGTTTAAAAGTAATACAAACAAACGCTTTTATCATTATTTTTAATCACACAATAATTTTCATTGGTAAATTTAGAGAACTATGGAACTGTGGAATTGCCTCTGCTATAGTCAAACAAGGCATCCCTTTTGGTGTGCACAGCGCCATGTTTTTGCCTGCTTTATTTAGCCAAGGAGCAAGCGAGCAACACAATCAGTGGTTAGAACTGGCACTAAACAATGCAATTCTGGGCACCTACGCACAGGTAGTAGAAGCAATACTTTTGAATTTTGATTTTCAGGAGCAAGCAGGGTAATTTTAAATCAATGTAAATACAATTTTAAAATAAAGTAAATGACAACTTTTAATTTGAATTGATTGTTTTTAATTATAAGACGTTAATGAATTATACAATCTATATATTATATAAAAATGAATGTATGTCTGTTTGTCCGTTTGTCCTTTATGCATTAGTACACCATTCATCCTATCGCCATGAAACTTTGGGAAGTTGTTGAGTACACTCCCGCAAAGATAACAGGCATAGTACCTACTTTTCGAAAATTCCACCTCTTAGGGTGGCCTCAAACACGAACTTTCTACTTTAAATACGAAATATTTTTCGTTGCCAACCCAAAATAAACACTTTTTTTTTAACCATGGTAACCACGGTACTCGAGGGGATGGTAGGTGATGATTAAAGGAACAGGTCGATTCTGGGGATGCTATTAAACATTGGAACTGGATCTGGGACTGGGACCCTTGAGTAATCAATATAATGTAATGTACATATGTAGATCCAAAAAAAAGCCGAGACGGGGTATGCTAAAGCTCTACAATATAAAACCTGGAGTACTGAGTTTTTTTCAATCTTATTTGTAATTATTTTACTCAGCCCTTGCAAACTAAATCCCGGGCAACGCCGGATCCGGACAGCTTGTAAAATAAATAAAAACAAATATGGTTAGTTTAAAAAAAAAATGGAATTGCATTTGCTTACAATTATTCTACTTAACCCAATAAAAATTATGGTTATATAGCCTTTTTTTCATGAAACAAGTAATATTTGTGCGTACCCCAATTGCTGAAAATAGTACTAGTATTTTTGTTTTAAGAATTAAAAAAATATTTTAATCATACGAATTAAATGCATTACAATTTACAAAACTAAACTAAAAGCCACAGGTGGTTATATATTTCTATAATGAATTGTATCTTTACATTAGGTATGTACGATAATTGTTTTTTTTTAATTTCAATTTTATTCAGACTGAACTCGGCCACGGGACTTTTATTCGTGGATTGGAGACTACTAGCACTTATGATTCCAACACGGAAGAGTTTATACTAAACAGTCCTACCCAAACGTCTTACAAATGGTGGCCCGGTGGACGTATGTTATACTACCCATCATAAATAATTTAAATTAAATAACTGTATTCTATATGAAGGGCACAGGGGAAAAACGGTAGTAGTCACATTATTACAATTTTAGAGTATAGCAAAAACAAAGTTCGTGAATTCCTCTACCTCTCACATAAGAACAAAAAAAAATCACATTAAATGCTACTATAATAATAAATGTATTTAATTGTACAATCTATTGACATAAATAAAAAAAATTAATGGCATAAATTGAAAAAAACCATTTGAAAAAAACAAATTTTCATAATGTCACTACTGCCGTTTACCCCTGTGACCTTCATATGTAAACGTGTAAAAGTTTATAAGCAAAGTGGTATTTTTAGTGGCTCTTACATATATTTTATTATTCATTGATTGTTTTAGTTGGTCATACGTGTAATTATGCTATCGTCGTTGCCCAGCTGTATACACAAGGGAAAATCCGTGGTATTCACCAGTTTGTTGTTCAAATAAGAGATTCGGAAACGTGGATGCCAATGCCCGGTAAGCCAACTATAAGTATTATCAGTAAAACTAAAGTATTGTTCGTTGTTATTAAATTAGTAAAGTCAAACTATATAGTTATCTATTTTTCGTGTAAAGAATAGCTACTGATATATGTAGCTGTTATAGCTACGTACTTGTGTTGTGTTATAACACTGTTCTTTTTTGTTTAGGAATAAAAATCGGAGAAATTGGTAGTAAGTTTGGCATGAACTCTGCAAATAATGGGTACTTGGCTTTGAATAACGTGCGAATACCCCGAATGAACATGTTGATGAAGAACTCGAGAGTGTTAAAGGTTTGAATGGTTTTAATTATAATTTCTTCATTATAACAATCTTCATTATGATTTCAAAACATTTGTCAAGCCTTTGGTGATAGATTTGTATAAGCCATAGGTCTTTGTCATGCATCGAATTCTTCTTATAAGTTATTTGTATTTTTTTCAATTTTTTTTTTTTAGGGTTTTTTTCTTTCTAAATTGTTTATCAAAACTTACTGGCAGAGTATACCTCACAATAGTCGGAGCCAAACGAATGTTGGTTGATGATTCCGCCCATTATACTTTTCCTAGTAATAAGAACTGAGATTTTTGATAAATTTCGAAAAATTCCGCGTGCTATTGCCAGAATTTGGCAAAGTGACTCACCAACCACACATTTATGAGAAGATTTGTTTTAAATTTATTATTTTTCTTTATACATTTTTCTCTATTTTTGGAGTAAAAAATTGATAGTTCTTCAACTGAAGTACTAAAAAAAATCAACTGTATAAATAAGTCTAGCTATTATAGTAATTGGCCTCTAAATTGTCTAATACTGAGCTAACTTCTTACGAAAATCTATATCTACCTTTTTTTTGGTGCCTACGTGTCAAACTCTATTAGTTAATATATTATTTAAAAATGTTTTACATTAAAGTAAAGCATCTAATAGGATATAGAAAGTTGGAAAAGCTAAAGGATTACTTAAAAAAAACACAAATACTCGATCTTTATCATTATTTAGCTACTATGCCAGGAACTAATAAAATAATATATACCATAATAACCTCTATATATTTGTTCGTCTATGAGTTGCTACATATACCTATTAAGTAATATTATTGTGGAACACAAAAATGTTGTTAAATGTGCTTACGTTTATGATTAGGACGGAACATATGAGAAATCATCAAACCAAAAACTCAATTACGGTACTATGGTTTTTATGCGAGTTCTAATAGTAAAAAACTTGGTCGCAAACTATTTAATGGAGGCAACGACCATCGCAGTCCGATACAGTGCTGTGCGACGACAATCAGAGCTTAGAGTCGGGTATTTCGATTATATATATTTTAACGTGTGGTTGTTGAATGTTTTGTATTACAATGGCTAATTATTTCAATATATTTGCATAAAAAACTTACTTTTTACATATATTTCTTATTTTTAATAGAATGTAATGGAGTAATATATACTGCATAATAGAGCATCATATTCTGATTTTTTTTAAACTTAAAAATTCGAACCTTAGGTATAGCTGTAAAGTAGACCAAAAAGCCTTACAAATTTCGACTCCTTATGATAGTCCGACTTCGAATCAGTCAAAATTACTAAGATCAACTACAATTGTACGAATTTTAAATACTAAAACGACTTATTTTACTTACAATATCACTTAGAATTAGTAAAGAAATCTGTGAATTTTTTACATTCTTTGTTCAACAAAAAAAAACTCGAAAACCTTGAGCCCTTTAATTAAAAATGATTTTCAAGCAAAGCAATAAATTCTATTCAGATAGAAGCATGATTATTGATTTGTAAAGAAAGATGACAGAAGTGTTCAAATAATTTGATCAATATCGACTATTGTGTATGAGTTGTTTCAACTAATTAAACACCCTATTATGAGTGTAGAGAACGAGAGCCGCAAATTATGGATTATCAGACACAGCAGTACAAGTTATTTCCACTGATTGCTACCGGTTTGGCTTACAAATTCGTCGCCAACTGGCTTTGGGAAGCCTACAATGAAGTCACTTCGGAACTAGATCGTGGTAACGTCGATTTACTACCCGAGGCAAGGGCGATTTACCGATATTAGTTTTTGCTGATAACGAACAACATAACTTTGAAATTTGTTTCATATTTATATAAATGTATAATTAAAACGTTCAATAGCTGCACGCGATGGCTTGCTGTCTAAAAGCTGTCGGCACGTACGATGCGGCTACTGGAGTGACTACGTGTCGTTTAGCATGCGGAGGTCATGGTTACATGCATTCTAGTAACCTTCCAAATATTTATACTTTGACAACCGCTGCAGAAATCTACGAAGGAGAAAACACAGTGTTACTTCTGCAAACTGCCAGGTATAATACTTCATACCTATTATACCACCTTTATATTCAGTAAATACAGTGGTATTATAATACTTGCAACATAGTCGGTAATGTCTCAAATAAAAACAATTACAACATAAATGTGCCTACTATCAGGTACTTAATGAAAGCGTATCAAGAACTACAACGGGGAAACGACTTGGCGGAAACAGTGTCTTACTTGAACCATTACCAAGCACTCAAACAGTCTGCTTGGACCACGACTTTGGAATGTATGACGAACGCCTTTTTTCAAGTTGCTGGAAGGCAAGTAATACATTTTTTTGGTCGAATATTCAAATACTATATAATTTAACGTCAACGTTATAACTGTGTACATCGTTTATTTCATAATTTAGTAAAATTGAAAACTGTTACAAGTTAATAAACCACTCGATGAATAATGGATTATCCTATGACGAAGCATGGAATCAAACTAGTATTCAATTGCTTAAAGCTTCAGAAGTAAGAATAGTTATACCGCAGTTAAGAGACTTTCAGCTCATCAATTATTATATCTTAATCATTAGTACATAATAAAATATCAATTTTTCAGGCACATTGTCGAGCTTGGGTCATAAATATATTTATGATGTCTCTTAAAAAAATGCAAGTGTCTGCAGAAATAATAGAAGTAATAACACAATTGTGCGAGCTTATTTGTGCTCAATGGACGCTAAACAGCGTCGGTGATTTTCTCCAGGTCAGTAAATAATAATCTATTATATTTATAAAGAAAGATTACACTACTTGAATTTACAACCGCAGTATTCAAACTTAAACGTCAGCGACGTTCCCTCAATTCAAAATTTGATGGAAAATTGTTTGAAACTCATACGACCAAATGCAGTTGGTTTAGTAGACAGCTTCGATCTTCGCGATGAAATATTGAATTCCACTTTAGGCTCTTATGATGGAAATGTCTATGAACGGCTTTTACAAGAAGCCAACAAAAGTCCTTTAAATAAAAATCCTGTCAACAAATCGTTCGAGTTGTATTTGAAACCGTTTTTAAAATCCAACATGTAAAATTGTTAAACCATTAAGTTTATAATTCGCATTAGAAATCGAATCTATGCAATGATTAAAAATGTTGATATGTACAATACTAATTATAATACGACACTGTGTCATCTTGTATGTTGTATAAATAAAGAAATATTGTTATTATTGTAAAATTTAAATGGGTGAATACTACTTAAAACCAATACGGTAGAAGTTTTCCAGAAATGAGCATTATCAAATAAATATAATATTATGTTTATACGTTTTCAGTAAATACACATTTCCTCAATATTGTAGTGGTACTAGCCACTAGGTTTTTCTCATTTTACATACAAAATTTATGGAGGGATTTGCGGTAATAAGGTGGCTGACGGTTTGGCAAAATTCTATATATTAATATCTATACTTAATATTATTTTGTAAAAACCATGCTGCGGCCTCCTTAACTATTATGTTTTGTATATACATAACAGCTGTTTATTATCCTGTGGTTTTTGTGTTTAGCAAAAGCCGAAATTAAAATTAAATATATAATTAAGTTTTATATTATAATAATGTTAAATCAATTATTAAAATTATGTTTTTTTAAAGTCTTATAATATATTTTTAAAGTATAATCATACGTCCATGTTTAGTTTAAATATTTACTAAAACGATTAAAAAAAAATTAATGTTTTTAATTGCATACATTTTTATTGTAAATCATTATAACTACTGTCATTAAAATTATAAAATAATTTATTTTGTAAAAATATTTTTGGTTAGAATTTCTTGAATTAAGATCTATGATACTATATTAACTGTAAAGTCAATATAAAAAAAAAGTCAATGAGTAAATATATATATAGATATCTATTATTTGACGTTAGAATAACATAATTTTTTATTTATACTCATTTCCAAACCACCCATGAGGTAGAGTATTTGGCTCGTTTTTTTAACGTGGTATCTCCATGTACGATGATGTTTCTAATTATTGTGGTAGACAAAACTCAATGGTATGTATAGTGGATGTGGGTTAACTTAAGTAGATAAATTAACTTAGGTATAATATCATCAGACGTTCATACAACGGGCGTACGACTTGTCTATGGGGCAAGCTTTTCAGACCGCATATGTACTGTATGTACTCGCTGGTCTTATATAGCACATCTCGCATATTCATCATACGCGCTTCTATGAACAGTCGAGACATAGGTACCTAAGTCCACTACTACCCATAACAAATATATGGAAGTAGTTTATGTGAAAGAATTAGTGAAAAAGTAAAATTATACGTGTTGGTGGTGAACTAATGCGCGAATTATGTTATCCGAGTTATAAAATATTTAGTGCAAGGTGATTGGGATTAAAGTATAGAAATATAATGAGGTATTTTCGAAAAATAAAGAACAATTTACCAAACCGCAGTCAAATAAAGGGCTGCAAAGTCATTGGTTACATATAGAAGCAATTAAAAATAAAATAATAGATCCTAGTATAGCTTGGTTCAACACTCAAACTCCATACGGAACTTAGGTGTTATATAATTTGTTGATCACGGAAACATATGAAAAGTTTCATTATTAAAAAAAAAAATAGAAATAAATCTCGACCCATTCCCGTTATTAGACCAAAATATTTTATTTAAATCTCTGATTTTATGATAAAAATTACAGATTTTTAAAACTGGTAAAAAAAATGAAGGTCTTATATTAGACCAATAGAAGTTTATAAAAAAAAATTCGAAAAATGTCGAGGAAGTCGGGCCTATGACCGCGTGGTTTGACTCAAAATGTATTTTTTTTATTCTCCCAAATTAGGTATTCAAATTAAAATAAATAAGTATACTATTGAGCTTTTTTCGGAACGAATAGTGCAAAATATATAGGTACCCCGCCTTTTACCCGAAATTCCCGAATGACCTATTTCTCGAAAGTCCGTAAACCCAATGCATGTAATGAAAATATTTATTACTTAAATTTTAGAAAACAATATTGTGCGTTTTAAACCGACTTTACTTTAAACCTGTGATCTCCTCCTAGACTGTAGCCTGCAAACCTAGGATATTTTTAGTTTAGCGGAGCGAAGCGACGGCGCCGAGCGAGCGAGTGCCAAAATACTCGGTGACCTACCGTACGATAATAGATCAGCAATATAAGGTGTGATGTACAATTTTGTTGATATCGCGCTTTTTTAAAATTTTTTTTTCCATTTCGGGAACAATAACCGTTGGAAGAAATGCATTCAGGAAAAAAAGTTTCGGGTTTACGGACTTTTCGGAAAAATACCATCCGGGAAAAAAGTCATTTGGGAAAAATACCGTGAACCAATATATATGATAATTATATATTATTAATTATTATGATTAAAATTAATGACTGACACTTTGACACATACTGATTACAATTTTAAGTATTATTTATTATTTACAGTTTAAATTCGAGAAACAATGATATTATTGCACAATGCACTAAGGACTTCTTGAAAAATAATAGTAACTGATTTGATGAATTCTTATTTTATACATTCATTTGTATAGTATTAACTACAATTATTGTTTACGTACCAAGAAAATATTTTAGTTTAAAAAATACACGCATTATCAAATGTTAAATCATATTTTATTATATTATTAAAAAAAAAACATTTGTCAATATCTGATATTTTTAATAGTTAGTGAAATCTAGCTTTACGAAATAAACGTATTTATTTGTAGGTATTGTATTTGTAGCAAGTATTATTTTAACAATAGAAACATTTCAAAGAGTAAATCTCCTATAAAACAATGTCTAATGTATAATTTATAAAAAGTAGCAGCTATAAGTATTGTTATTTGTTTGAAAAGCGAATAAATTAAATCCGTCAACTTTTGTCTGCATCTTTAATGTACTGTGCGCATTCGCTTTAAATACAATTTTTAATTAATAAATTCATAAAATCCAGTGATTTGTTATGTGTTTGCGTTATGTAGAAAATCATGTTTTATATCTGTACGTAAAAAAGCAAATATAAGCAATGACACGGACGTTGTATAAAATGTTAAGTCGTTTTAAATTTTAACCATAAAATATTATATTCAAGTATAGATCTACAATTGGATGTATCTTATTATAATATTTTAGTTATTGTACTTGACACAACGTCTATAATTGAATATTCCGGTTCATTAACAATGACCCCTCATTGTAACTCTCAGAAATTGTACATTATTATAGCCTTTGACTTTTAAGTATTGATTAATAATTTAGTCAAAATTATTATTATACTATTCTGATTGAAAACACCGTCAATACAATACAAATCTAGACTAACGTTAGCCGGACTACAATAATAATCACCACAGTTACTAAGTTCACTGATAAATTGTATGCTAATTGTTCAAGACCTTTTTAAATACTTTTTTGTACATTTTATTAGTCGATAATAAGTGATTATATTATATAATGACACAACAAAGAGTAAATGAAGATTTGCGACTAGAACGACTAAAATGTATGTTCAACAAAGAAGAACTGACGAATTTATTAGACGGCGGAAAAGATAATACAATTTACAGAAGGAAATTCAGTAAGGTTAATTTTATCTATAAAAAGATATAATAATATATAATAAAATTCTATTGTTTTTAAGTTAACTTCTTTGTCTCCGACAATCGACTAAAGGACGAAGTTCCCTTTGATTACTTAAGTCATCAAGAGTTTTATGAACAATCAGTCCGAAAAAATTGCATACTATGTACTAAAATCAAAGAGTGGCTAGAAATATCCGATAAAAATTTAGTGGATATTTATGGGTACGTTTTCTAAAATAAAGATATATATATATCAGATATTATTAATTAAAACATACAACTCGACAACCTGAAATTAAAAAAAAAATGACGAGATGGGTTTAAGTGAGGTAATTATAGTAAACAAACAAATATAAATGTTGGCCGGAATACGTTCCAAATCCAGATTAAGATATGAATGCATTATAAATTTCAATAAAACATGAAATAATTTGGTCTTTGCTATAAAAAAAAGGCTTGTTTAGATTAGAAATGTTTACAATCAGTTTACCTCACCTTAAGAGACATAGACGGTTTTCATAAAAAAACGTACTCTCTTGTACCTGTCAATCAAATTACACCCGATTCCTTATTCGATCAAACCAAAAACCAATCTAGTTTAAAATTTAATTCATTTTTTAAATATTTAAATACATTTTATGTGTGTTTTTTTAATATGATTGCATAACAAATATTATATATGCATATCCTATATTACACCTAATGGATTGTGCGTGCGTGCCACGAAATTACACTAAAACGGCGGATACCAGTTTATAAACTATAACAAATCTTCAACTTCGTCCTCTTTCATTTACTTAACTCTTATCGTTTATTCACAACTACTTCGCGAGTAATTAAACAAATTTGAAGCATTTAAATTTTGGTAAAGAGGAAGTGGTAGTAAGAGGAGATATTGAAAGTTGTATTAATTATGAATTAAACTGTAAATAGTACTATTAAGAGAAGTATTAAGTGAATAGGTTAATACCTACCCCAGGTGCTCTGTTGAGAAATTTTCGTAAAATAATTTTTGCCATTTTTACTAGAATAATGATAATATCATAATATTACATATAATATAGTGTTAAACAATAAAGTAATTTAGTTTTTTTATTGAATTTTTGATTTATTATAATATGATATGTAGGTACTATAATTTTTAATAAGTAATTAAATATAATAATTAAAACAACTCTATTAAAATGAAGCATTGTCACCAGATTAGCTTAAAAATTAAATAAAACAACAATAAAATTATAGATTTCTGAACGCAAGCTAAACTGTTAAGCTTAACCGGAATTTTGATAAAGTTAACTTTTCTGTTAGCAAAAATATTTACTTATTCACTTATTTAGCAGAATGAATTTTGTTTTTTTATAACTCATGTATATGAATTTCAGATCAATATGGCATTTCGGACTGGATTTTGCCGTAACTTCTCAAGGAGTTCCTTTTACAGTACATACTGTTATGTTTACGCCGGCCTTGTTAAGCCTAGGCAACAGAGAGCAACAAGATAGATGGTTCAGAAAAGCTTTAAATAATGAAATTATAGGCACTTATGCCCAAGTAATTTAAATAACACTCTTTTTCAAATTAGGGGTCCACTTGCAGTTGTACATTAACTTTATATTTTTATTTGTTTTAACAGACAGAACTCGGTCACGGTACTTTTATTCGTGGACTAGAGACTACGTGTACTTATGATCCGACCACGGAAGAGTTCATACTCAACAGTCCTACGCTAACATCTTACAAGTGGTGGCCCGGTGGACGTATGTATATAATATAATATATTCAGGCCACTTCGTTTACACCTGAAATCAGTAAGTGGGTGTATGATTGTTATCATATTTTTAGTGGGACACACGTGCAATTATGCTATTGTCGTTTCTCAGCTGTACACCCAAGGGAAATGTCACGGCATTCATCCGTTTATTGTTCAATTAAGAGACTCAGAAACGTGGATGCCGCTGCCCGGTAAGAACAAACATAAGTATATAATAATAGTAGTATATAATAAAGTAGTAATAGGAATAAAAAAATTCCAGTAGTTTGATTTAGACCATATTTTAGAACTGCCACAGTACAAAAATCACTCCTCAAAAAACCTTACGATGATTAATTCTTAAAATTAATTATCTATAAAAATGATTGTAAAGACAATAATATGCTTATAATCGTGTTCTTCGTTTTTAGGGGTTTCCTTAATGAAGTAAAAGTACAAATATAAGATATTGTGAAATATATATGGGGCACTCTGAGTCCAACCACGCGGTCATCGGCCTGACCTCAAATTTTTTTTTAAACTTCTTTTGGTCAATATAAGACCTTTATTTTTTTGAAATTTTTAAAAAAAATTTGTGGAAGTCAGGCCGATGACCGCGTTGGTTTGCCTTAGAATGCCCCATATGTAAGTCTTATTTTGAAACCTAAAATCCCAATTCGGAACTCAAAATAGAGAAACAAAGAAAAAGTTTCATCTACTTCTAACAAACTCTAGAGGAAAGGTTAACTCTATTTTTTAGGTTTTTGAATGTAAATCAAAGAATGCCTCAAACAGTTTTGGAATTATTTAGGCTTATATTTTTCGGAAAGAGTATACCTTTTTCGAAGGATGAAAATATGTCAAATATTAGAAAATATTTCTCGATTAAAAAGGGGTTACATTTTTGCTCTTATAAATTATCATTTATTTTTTATTTATTGACGATCTACGAGTATAACGTGATATAATCTTCCCGTTTTATAAAACTGTAAACCTACTCAGCTGCCCCGCATCAATGTTGAAACATTTTTTTTGTTTTAAAACGTAATTTTAAAGTAAAACACGTTTTATTGAGTATAATTTGAACGATTTAGTTACACTATATTATTTTATATATCATTCAAATGGCAATAAATCATGTTTATATAGGAATTAAACTCGGCGAGATCGGAAGTAAATTAGGTATGAACGGTACAAATAATGGATACTTGGCTTTTGATAACGTGCGGATACCTCGAAGGAACATGTTAATGAAGAACTCGAAAGTTTTAAAGGTTATAACGATTTGAAAAGTTGTTTGTATTGTATATTACAAAATATTTTGATTTATTTGACATTGATTAAATCCCACTCAACAATTATTAGATATTTTAAAAATATTTTATTGAAAAACTATAACAATATTTTATAACAATTGACACGATGTTATTGAATATTGTCTACATTATTTACATGATATTTTGTGATTAAATCCAATTTTTGTTAATATTTATGTTGGATTACACAAAACTCTTCGGTTTTGTGTAATAACCGTTTTTGGACTAATCATAGCGGTCCTGTGATCACAAATGTAACGATTTAATTGTGTGTTCATGTCACGCAGGACGGCACCTATGAGAAGTCAATTAATCAAAAGTTAACGTACGGTACAATGATTTTCGTACGAGTATTGATTGTGAGAAGTTTAGTAACAAACTACTTGATGAAAGCCTCGACGATTGCAATTCGGTACAGCGCTGTACGGCGGCAATCAGAACTTAAAGCTGGGTAATTTGAGTGTACCTACTATCGAATAGTTGTTAAATATATTTGATTAATGCGCATTTTTTTGTAGAGAAAAGGAACCGCAAATTCTAGATTACCAAACACAGCAATACAAATTATTTCCAGCCATTGCTACTGCTTTAGCTTACAAGTTTTCAGCCAATTGGTTGTGGGACGTCTATCACAATGTAAATTCGCAAGTTGAAAAAGGCGATTTGAAACGTTTACCAGAGGTATTATAGATGATTAATAACTTAATTAAAATCGAAATAAACACCAACCTAACCCTTGTGAACACAGTGACTAAATATGTAATTTTTTTTTTTTTTAGTTGCACGCGATGGCTTGTTGTTTAAAATCAGTCGGATCATCTGACGCGGCTGTTGGTGTAACGGCTTGTCGTTTGGCTTGCGGAGGTCATGGGTATATGAACTGCAGTAATCTTCCAAATATTTATGGTCTGACTACAGCCATGGAAACTTACGAAGGAGAAAACACAGTATTACTTTTGCAAACTGCCAGGCAAGTTAAAAGCAACGAATAGGAGTACCTTGTATATATAATATATAATAATAATAACTGAAAACAATAAAAAAAATATGAATGTTTAGATACCTATTAAAAGCGTTTCAAGAATCACAGTTCGAAAAACCATTACCACAAACTTTGTCGTACTTGAAAAATTATAAATTACTCAAGCAGTCTCCCTGGACAACAGATTTGGAATGCATGACTAATGCATTCTTTCAAGTATCTGGATAGTAAGTATTTAGTATGCTACAATAATGATAAATAAGAAAATTAATATTTTAAATCGATCAACGTGATTTAGTCAAATTGAAAATTGTCATAACGTAATCAATCAAATGATAAGTAATGGAACTGCCCACGAGGATGCTTGGAATGCAAAGTCAATTCTATTGTCTAAAGCGTCCGAAGTAAGATAAATTGAGCATGCTATGTAATAGACACTATAATACTCATATACCTTCAATTATTTACACTGACATCATAATGACGGGGTAATTTCCTCTGCAGTGCATAAAATAATTAATGTTGTGACAATAATTATCGTTTAGGCACACTGTCGAGCTTTTGTGATTAGTACGTTTGTGGCGTCACTTAAAACTATTCAAGTATCACCAGAAGTTATGGCAGTACTCACTAACCTATGTCAACTTATTAGTGCTTATTGGACGTTAAATAATGTTGGAATCTTTCTTCAGGTAAATGATTAAGTTAGCTACATATGTCTATCATAGGCGTATATTTGGTTACATCTGTGGGAGGGCTTGAAACTTTTACTTTGCCCATTGACAAATGTATTCAAGCTTTATGCTTTAACTTACGTATAATTCTATTTTTTTCTGCAAATAATCTACAATTTAATCAGTATCAATACATTTTGATGTACATTTGTGTATATATAAAATAGAAATATTTTTAAACCGCTCCTGTTATATTGCGGTTCGATGTCACGTTATAATTTGGCGCATTGCTGAAAAACTTCTTTCACACGTGGAGGAACTAATTAGAATAATCAAAGCAACTTTTAATAACTTGTATACATCTAGGAAAATATTTTTTACAAAACATTTTTAATTTCATCATTAGAATACATTCATCATTATGACTAGACATTATGACTTTAATACACAGTTCTTTAGATAAATTCATCAAATCCTGTATACAAATATTCAGTATAGGTTTACTTTTACAAATAGAGTGTAAGCAATAATTCAATCTTAAATAAATTCTTAAGAATAAATGTTTGGACAACTAATTAATAAGTATTGTAGAGAGACTAAAACCTTCCGGAAGGGCTTAAAAACATTCTGGTGAGATTAAGGCCCCCCCTAAGTCCCCTCTCAATATCCGCCTATGATGTCTACACATTTATTATCCCATACGTTTATTTAAATATCATGTATATGATTATGAATTGCTACTCTTTTAGTATTCGAATTTAAAACCCAGTGATGTTTCCTCAGTGCAAGCTCTATTGGAAAAATGTCTGAAAGAAATCCGACCTAATGCAGTTGGCATCGTCGACAGTTTTGATTTCCGAGATGAGTTGCTAGATTCAGCACTGGGTGCTTACGATGGAAATGTTTATGAAAGACTTTTAGAAGAAGCTGAAAAAAGCCCTTTGAACAAGGAGCCTGTAAATAAATCGTTTTATTTGTATATAAAACCATTTTTAAAATCCAATATGTAATATGAGTAAGATATTAGGTATACTATTTAGCTTATTTACACCTGAATATTCACTCGTTTACTTTGACATTTGTAAAAATACCTATGTTTTCTCAGTCTATTAAAACTAAAAATGCACTGATTTTTATGAATAAAATGATTTAATAATAAAAAGTTCAGTTGCCATTTACCTCTCGTTGCGTACGGTTATGTGTAATCTTTGTCTCTCGCGAACACGGTAGTTCCAGTCTATTTTTAACTCAATCTTTATTGAATTAAATAATAATATTATTTCGATTATTAAAATAATCTGTATTTGATGACCGATAAATGAAATAAAACACAATACAATTACGAAAACATTATGTTTGATAAGTATTTACTGTCAATTACAAATAATTGCTTATTGCCATATTGTAACACTGAAAGAGAACGTTTGTTTCGACAGCGCGAGAATCTGTGATTTATTAATAAAAACCCGTACTAAACTAATCAAGCAATATCCATGCGCGTCACATCATGCATTTAGAACTACACTCCCTAACGCGGCATTCATTTTGAGAAAATTCCAAATTTTAGATTTTTCCCTTTAGTTACACTATTAGACCTACCTTTGTGCCAAATTGCACGTTTCTACTTATAGAGAAAGTGTTTTATAATTTTGATGATGAGTGAGTCAGATAAAAAAATGAAAACTTTGAAATTCTCCCCTTTTACTCTCTCTTACGTTTAACGTCCATTATTCCCGCCAATCGGGGCTTAGACGGTTTAGATTTGGCATTTTTGGCCTTAGAGCTGGCTGCCGACCTAACGCTACCACTGACGCCTTATCACACTCCGCCACGCGCCTGCACTTGAAAAAAAAAAAAAAGTTCATTACTAAGGGCTCAAATTTTTACAGTATCCTAAGCTACTCGAGCTTAATCTATGTTTCAAATTTCAAAAGCTCGTCTTAAGAGCAGTGGCGTCATTGGGGGGGGGGCAGGCGGGGGCATTAGCCCCACCCTTGATTTTTATGGGCTGGTCAAATTTTCGATACGTAAGGCTGTAAATTATCTGTTTTTTTATGCAACTACCTACCTTTAGTAATAATGAACCGTCTGAACTGACTACCAAGTATAATAGGTATGAAGGTTTATAAAATTTGTGTTATTACTGTTTTGTGTCTAAGTGTTTTGGAAAAAATATTTATATTTGTGAATGAACGGTGGGTCGATAAAAATTTGGCCCCACCCTATGAAAAACTGAAATGTCGCCCCTGCTTAAGAGGGAACAGAGATATGTGGGTTAGAAAAACTGGGTGAATTGGTTCGTGTAAAGGTACACTGGTATTGCTGGAACTTGGCCTAGCACACTGCCGTGCGCTCAGATAGTGGTCGTCATTTGCGAAATTAGAGAAGAGGAGGGTCGGAAAAGTTCCAACCCTTTAAAAGCTCTTAATAAATAGGGGGTATGACGTCTTTTTAAAGTGATTATCTAATTTTTGAAAAACGACCATCGGTCTAACCAGCAAACAATTAAATGTCACGTATTATATTATAATTAGACAATAAACATCATAGCTACGGTTGATAGCACAAACAATTTAAAGTGAGGACTATCGTCTGCCGTGGTCCACCAACGTGTTAACTGTTATGTTGTGGGCTTATTGTACAGTCTCCAATAGACGTGGATTTATTTAAGGATAAACCGTCAAGGCGTCAAATTTAAATCATCAACACCATAAATATTGTTAAAATATATATGATTATAATAGATTCCCGTAACATTAGTATTATTAGGGTAATATTTTAACAAACAAGCCCGATGGGACTGCAAGGCTTATCTACATCCTTCCCCCCCCCCTTCTATCATTGCACACCTGGGAGGCGACTGTTTTCACACTACTTCCTTCCAAGTGGCATCGTTTATTAACAATTATAACAATTAATTAGACGAAAACCCGTTTCCCTCTAAGCGAGGCAGGCTCACAAGTAATATATACACACGGTATCTACATCCTACACATAGTGATAACGACCGTGTGGGCTTCGCTCACAACAGTTATGTGAGCTACGCCTTCGCTCTCAACACTCGTTTGTTTATTATTTAAAATAACTGTAAATAACTGCAAAACCACGTAACTACAAAGTTACAATTGTTCAGGAGAGACAAAAAAACTAATTCAGTTGTTGCTGATTTGTGGTACGGGGTACCTATCACAAAACCTGTAATTTTAGCGGGAAATACTTATCAAACTGAAACTGTGTAAAGGTTAAACTTGTAGAAACAATTATTATCAATTTAATGGTGTCAAAATCTCATTTTCGAAAAAAGTGTCAGTTACGTCATAAGTGGTAGTAATGCACTTTGCAGTTACATAATATGTAAGTTGTAACTTGCATTATTTTATTTTACGTGCACAGTGGCCAGCGTACGCTATATATATAACACACAGTATTGTTATATAATATTAATAACAATTATAATTTTATATTATTATTATTATTACCAATGAGCTTTATCATATACCCGGAATAACATATAAATACGATAAACAAAACAACAAGACGTCTTAAACGGAACAGTTGATTCAGTTGTTTGTGTAAGCCGTAAGGTTGTGTTATGTAAAATTATAAAAGAGGGGAGCAGTGAGCACGATATAGGTATAGACTGTAGCAAGATAAGATTATATTTGAAAAAGATGATCGAATGCACTACGTTCCAGCCGTGTGTAAACTGTAAAGGCCCATGCCACGATCAAATTGTCGCGATGATGTACGTTGGCCAAAACTGATGAAATAAAGCAAGTAATATTTATCAAAAAAGAAAGAAAGGTTTAGTTTTTTATTATTAATTAAAATATTATGTCTGATACCAGTATATCCATTGCCAGTTCAGCAGTTAATATGTTTCCCAGCGTTTCGGCAGGTTTGCGTTCGAGCAAAGCCGTCACGTTGTATTTGTTGAATTTGATGTGTTTTGTAAGTACCCCCAAGTCCAGTATGTTTTTTAAATCGAGCGATACCGTCCATTGTTTTTAATAATATTATTATTATTGTATATAGATTTCAAGCATTTGTACACTATGGATCACAATTGCAGTGTGCTTGAAGTTCTACTACCGTCGGTCGTTCATCACTCTGAACTTGTTAGAATCTTCGTCATTGCTGTTTATCCTAGGCTTATGCGTGTTGCTGTTGACCATTCACGGATTGTTCGGTATTCTGAAACCGAATAGGTTTTACTTGATTTTTGTACGCCACACATTTATACTATACAGGGTAATCTGTCGTCCGTGAGCCAGTTGGAGTAGGTACACTGTCGACGAATTGCCCCGTATATATATGCCAAAGCGTCATGTTTTTTTTCATTTGGTGAAAACAGAATAAAATACATTATGTTATTTGTCATAATATTAAGTTGGCCACTGTGTTCACGGTAATAATGATAGTGGAGTTCTTGTTGGCTGGATCAGTTTACGAGATAAAATCCGAAGATTTAAACAAAGTATACAGCCGAATGAATTTAACAATGAGTGAATATAACCAACTCGATCGCAGTTCTATTACCGAGTCATGGAACGAATTACAAAAAGATGTGAGTATAATAATTGTTTAACTCATATTTTACTATAATAAACTATACATATAGTGTCTTCCCAGAACTGCTGTTATAGACATTTTTTAAAACGGTCACTGTTGGCCGTTAAAAAATAAATGATTTATTATGTATAATATATATTATTACATTTATTTATATAATATATATATTATTGTATTATTATATATTATTTATTATATATATATGCATAAGAGCAACTGTTAGTACTTGTTGTATAATGGTAGGGCCGTTATTTAGTTGAAAACATTTTTAGGCATTCTCAAACTTTTATTGTTGGTTTGATATTATTATAAGTACCTATTTGCAAAATGATTGAAATAAGATGTTATAATAATGATGTTATTATTTATGATAGCTCTAAACTATACTGTATTAATGATTGGAGTAAGACGATATGTAAGTAGGGTGGGATCAGTATAATTTATTATCAAATACTCGTAATAAGATTATGATATTTTAGCTTTAATGTGTAGTTGAGAAGTTATTGGTTATTTCTAATAAAAAATCTAGTTTTAATTTTTTTCTTTATTAGTCTTAGCTTGCAATAATTACTAGCTAGACGGCTTCATGATATAGGCTGTAGATCAGAAATTGTTCACCTAAAGTGCATTACATGAATAATAGTTGAAAAGTTTAGATTTTCTTAACTCAGAAAATTACCCAAATAATTGACATATTTTTGAGGCTTAAAAGTACAGGGCGTTATAACATTTCAGAAAATGATTGAAAAAAAGACTAATATTGTTTCAGGCTTTTTGTAAGTATCAAACTGCCAATACAAGCTGGAACCTATTTTTAAAAAAAATATATAGTAACATATCAGAGCTTGCTCAACAGCTCTATATAATGGACATTTTAAAATTTTCTTACTCACTTCTTGCTATTACAACTATTTGTCAAGGTAGTCCAAAAACCCTAATAAAAACATGATTGTAAACAGAATTTATTAATTATATACTTTTTGTGTGTAATTCATTTAGTTTATTTCATGACCTATAATTTTGTGTTTTTTTTTCACTTATAGTTTTAATAATTGTAAAAGTCTGTGGCATCTAAAATATTTCTCAGTAATTTTAGCTTAACTACAGTGCTTTTTTTGTTGATGTATTACAAAATGAACAAACATATTGTTTTAAATTTTTAGTTGAAATGTTGTGGAACTACTGGACCGTCGAGCTGGAGTTCCTTTATGGAAAACAATTATTTACCAGTAGCTTGTTGTTATGATAATGATCAAATGGATTCCTGCAGTGTTAATTCTAATGTATACGAAAGTGGTTGCTTAGATAAATTAAAAACTGAAATTTTAAGCTATAGTAATGAACTACTTTGGAATTGTATACTATTTGCATCATTACAGGTATGCTCATAGCTATTTCATTTGTATTAACAAATATATTTACATAATACGTACATTTGTTATATCATTATGAAAATTTGAGAATAAAAAAATATTTGGAGAGTTTAATAAAGGAAAATTTAAAATCTTACAACCGTAGTTTATAGAAAGTAAAACATTAATACCATAACTTAATTTCCAAATTAAATTTTTAAACTGTTAAAATGAATATAATATGCTTTGTGTTTTAGGCCAAAAGAGCAACAAAAAAAATTAATCTCAAATGTAATAACAGCGACATAAAAATATTAATATTTGAAATAATAAGTAATTATATCAAATGCCCAAACAGCAATTTTAATTTTTTTTTTTATAACAATTTCTTATATTTTTTAGATATTTTACAAATATGTGTCCTTTTTTTAGATATGTTTATGAATTATGACATTAATTACATTTTCAATCAGAACAAAAACTTAAAAATTTGGTTGATGACAATTTTTTAACTTTTTGGTTATAAGTATTTTAAATAATCATCCAGATTTTCTTAAATTTTCTTATTATTTTTATGTTTTTATACTGCTTTTGGAAACATATCTTACAAAACAAAAGTTGTAGACAAAATAAATTTTGTTTAATTCCGATAAACAAAAGTCTCTAACATAATAGTTAATAACAACCATATGGTAATTATAGTATGCTACAATTTTTTAAAAATAGTCCAAGTTTGTATGGAACATTCTCTAGATTTAGTACTATTAATATCCGTAAATGTACCATTTTAAGCACATTGTTGTCTTTACAGTGATTTTTATCATTGCTTAATATTTGTACCATCTATATTCATTCTACATCTTGCATTGAAGTGTTTTTTTTAAACTTGTAAGTCATTTCTTCAATTCCATTTATAATAATTTGTATAGTTCTGCGACTACCCTGATCTCACTATGTCTGACCCCATTGTGCTGGCTTTTTTAATTGAATAGTTTATTTATAAATATTGTTAGTAGTACATTTTGTTATCTTATATGATAAAGGAAAAATGTAAACTCCAAATGTGGTTATTAGTCAATCATTTTTTTCTAGCAGATGATTCTTAAATTAAAATTATTTAAAATGTTACATTGTTATTTTAATTTCAATATTAATTTATTTTTGGGTTTTGTTTTTTTGCTATATGTAATACGTTGCTCTTTTAACATTTGCTAATTTGGCCAGATCCCGTATTTTAGCACCATGTGATGCGTCAATTGAGTGTCATTTAGGTAGGATTGGAATAAGATGTAAAACTGTTTTTTTTTTTAATATTAAAGATTAATAATAATTCATATTTAAAATTTTTACTAGTAAATATTAATATATATATATATATATATATTTTAATTGCCTAAGGGCATTTTTATTAAAACGATTAAACAAATTTTGCATAAATATAAATCAAAGGAGTATTAATACATACAAACGAGTAAAATAATACTAATATTTATTAAATATTAAATGTTTTTTAACTATTCATTGTAAATTACCACTACTATTATGACTAAAATATAGGGTTTGTTTCGGTGAATAAATTTCATCAATAACATTTTACTTTTATTTATTTGTAAAATATAATATCATGTTGTTTGAGAATTATATTTTGCTTTCAGCTCCTGTTTATACTACTAGTATGCTACTGGCGTTTTCCAATCGAAACGAGTGAATATACTTCTTTATAAAGTCTACACACGTAAAAAATATTATTATTATGTGTTCCATAAATCTTAATCGTCTAAAAATGTAAAATTATTTTTTTGTTTCTGACATCTGTTATATTTTAGTACAACATGTATGTAAGTCTACTTAATAATATACTAACTGAAAAATAATACTATTATTGTTATTAGGCATAAATGTTTAATGTTGACACTGCCTATAATACATATTATTATATGTGCTGTTATATTTATTAAATAAACTAAAACATTGTATGATTTTTGCAAAGTTTTGATAAGTATAATATAGTTTACTCTTCATAGTATTTGTACAAAAAAACCTCCGTTGTGACGTCATTTGTGTAATTTATAATTACTTTTATATTTTTTTAATATGTAGCCTGTATTTTAAAATATACAGGGTATCCCACAAAGATAAGACAAATGAAATAACTTTTGTTATTTGATAATAACTTTTTAAGTTACTAAAAGGTAGGATGGGAAGTGGAGTGTGGTAGAATAAGCGCGTAGAGCTATTTTTATCTGCGCGCATTACTCTACTGCACTCCACCTCCTATCCTAAACTTTAAACAGAAACAACTTTAAAATAATTAAAAAATTAAAATAGTTAAGTGCAATGAAAAACGTAGTGCTTATAGCGCAAATGAGTATAAAAATTATTTTAAAAATAATCGCTAGAAAAAAAGTTTATTAATTTGTCTTATCTTTAAATAGATGAATGGATTTTATGTGTTAGATAAATAAAAGAGTTATATGCATGAGGAAATGAATTAAAATGTTTTAACCCTAGGTTTGTAATATATTAGTGGTTTAATAAACTTATTTGATTTGATTTTATCATTTATCTTCTATATATTTGTTGAACAAATTAATTTTTTGAAATATGCACAATTAGTAATTGATGACAGTTTTATTTTTCACTACAATTTTAAAACATTATATATTAAAACAACTATTGATGCTTGTATAAGAATTATAAAGGAAATAAAAACTTTGGGGTTTACACAAACTCAATTCCTTCAAATTTACGATTAGACACTTGAGTTTCCTCGTAAATGATTTTGCCGTCGATCGTAAACACTGATATAAATGTTCCTGTGGTTTCCCCCACTTCTTCGGATTTTATGGCAACAATTAGAGATTCATCTGTACCCGGCACGAACTTAAAACTCGAGTATCCGCGAGTGGGTATGATTTCACCGATTCTTACCACCTGAAATGAGAAAGTAATATAATAACAGATTATAATTAAACTATGCGAATTCCGCGTTAATACTGTATACAATGAACAAGATCAGGGCCTTATTAAAAAGAGAGTGGTCAATGCAGTAGGTGTCATCGCTGTCTCGCGGACTGTCACGTTGTACCCATTTATAGTGTGATAATAATAACAGTACCAAAAGAATTATTACAGGTATCGTACCATACAGGACTTGCCTACTACTGGTTATAGTAAAAGGCAAAAGCTGAATTTTTTTATTTATTTAAGGCCAAAAAACTGATTAAAACAGGCGACTTTGGCCAATGAAGCCAGATTGATACTATTATTGCATTGGTGCCATTCTACCCGACTCTAAACCTATTCTTTATTTTCAGTCCAATTGGAAAAACCATAAATATTGTATTATTCATTAAATGTATACCTTGATGTCTTCGAAGTCTGGCGAGGCGCTCAACAAGATGTTAGTGCTATTTGTTTCGTCCACTTTGCAGTCATACTGGCCATGAGACGCTTTCCTGGGTAGAAAAAAGTATTTCTGGTTCACTGAACTCCATACGCAAGATTCATGGATCAAATATCCCGGATAGGAAATCCCTAATTTGGCTTGCAACTTCTTATAATTTTCTATCCAGTCGACGTGTTCCACATTTCTTTCACTATCGATGACCTTTATCCACATACCCGAGTAATCTAATTTATCACTGTTCGGCTGCTTCAATTCCCTGCCGTGTGTCCCCACGTAGAGCTTCTTGTCTTTTACCGTTGCCCATTCTAATTTAAATGCTAAACAAATTGAAAAGTCTGATTATAAGAGTAACGCGCACTTTCAATACCAAGATAACAATACTCCTTTTGTGGCATATACATGTACATGCTACTGCATTTATATATTTTAAAAGTTTTAGTTAACGTTAGTTTCTTTTTCGTCAACTCGCTCCACCCTGGACCACGAATTAAATTAAAAAAAGTGCACAACGAGCGTTTGTAATCATCCATACATGACTGTCATCCCTATATTATGTTATTTCCTTTACTGAGACTTGCAGCTAGAGGCTCGAGAGGGACGAGTATTTGATTCAATATAATGTTAGCATTTGGTGAAAACATTTTATTCAAGGTAATTATTGTATTTAAAATGTGATTTATTATGTCATCGCTCATTATGTTTGAGTCGTACGATTTTAATACTAATAGATATTGCCAGACGATAATATGGAATGAAGAATGGCAGTCAACTGATAAGGACTCGTGCGTCCGTCGTTGATCTTAATTCGTGGTCTGGACAATGACATATTAGTCGGCATATTAGTCATATTAGCACATTATTTACCTACCTACCTATTTCCAGTTGCTTATTTAAAAAAGGGCGTAGGACGAACGCTAACCATTAACCCCCTATTCATTAAAGAGTAAAGTCAATTGTTCGCAAATTTTATTTTAGAGCTTCAACTATAGTGCAAATATTTGTTTAGTACAGTATTGAGGATTTTTTATGGTCGTTATTTTTTTTTTGTCAGACTATCACAGTCGTCTCTATATAGCAACATTTTCCCATGAACCCATTTTTCGTAATTCAACTACTGTGAAGTTTTGAGTGAACAAAAAGCCAACATTTGAGCACAATTTAAAGGAGAAGAGTTCAATAATGTTTTGTTGGAATCCGTTTTTGAAAACAGTACAACTTACCAAAAAGGTCATAATATTATAGTAATATTCATTTGCATATAAGGTGAAAAATAATTACAATTATGAGAACCGAATTCCAACAAAACACAGTAGAACTTGTCACCTTTTCAACGATATACTACTTATGTGTCAATGTTCATTGAAGACTTCGTAGCATTTGAAATACGAACACATTATTTTCGCTACAAAAAACACGTGTTAGGCGTTCTCTTAAAAAAAAAAAAAAGCATTAAAGCAACTCGTATTTACCTTTTGAGCTTTTACCGTCTCCGCCGGTCACAACCACCCACTTTGACAAGGAATGGTCGTCGTGCATTTCATAAATAATTCCAGTCTTGTCGTCAAAGGTCAAAAGTCTACCGTCGTACGTCACCAGTTCAGACAGCTCCATTCCTCGACCGTTGACCGCTAAATTAGATTTTAATGCAATATCCTCTCCCTCGTCCCACTCGAATTCGGTAGTTCCATCGTCTATTTTGTATATCAGATAGCCTTTTTTCATATAGCTGATCCACGTGCAATCCTGCATGCAGCTCTTCGATTTGCTATCCAAGTCGGAGATAATAGCTAAACGGTACTTGACAGTGCAACGATTGATTATCACTGGACGAGAATGTGGATACGTGTCGTTGAAATCCTTTGTTTTATCACTGCAAGTCTGGATTACGTTATTGGCCGGTGCACCAATGACGGAGTGATTGAAGAAAATCATTTCTAAAATCAGTAAACTTATCCACGAGACAATCTAAAATATACAAATCGCCGTGATCGTATAATAATTATATCAAATAATATGTAGTTTTTTGCAACATTTAAACGGGGTTTTTTTTTTTAATGTATTTATTTTATAAAATGGCAACACTAATATAATAATTACACATATTAGACAATGATACAATTAAACAACGGTAATGCCCCACTACTGTCTATGCCCTTGTGACGGCAGCTGCAGTTCTCGATATGTTTAGTATTTTAAGTTGAACTTCTGCATGTAACGTTCCACATCACAGGAGAACGATTTCACCGACTTCGATGCGGTAGTTTGTCAGTTTTGTTTAATCAGTGAATTTCGAATTAGATTTTAGGCTATGTCAAAATTTGCTAACTTGCCCTTGACAGCTAACTTTCGCGAAATGAAATATTACACTAGTGATTAATAAAGTATAGTATTTGACCTTTTTAAACATTACTAAGGACGTTTTCATATACATAATTTCGGCTGAATGCGTGTACCATTAGAGAACCGCGGCTACACTGATTTCGATGCTGTTTTTACTTATTTGATCATTTACGGGTGACGCGTTCAAAGTGTTCATATATTACCTTTTGTGTAATAAATTGAAGGGCACAGGGGAAAAACGGTAGTTGTCACATTATGAAAATTTTAGAGTATAGCAAAAACAAAGTTCGTGAATTCCTCTACCTCTTACATAAGAACAAAAAATCACATTAAATGCTACTCTAATAATAAATGTATTTATTTAAACAATCTATTGACATAAATTAAAAAAATTATTGGCATAAATTGAAAAAAAAACTATTAAAAAAAATTTTCATAATGTGACTACTACCGTTTTTCCCCTGTGCCCTTCAATTATTACAAAGGTTCAAGTTACAACTTTTTAAACAGATCTTTATAGGCTTCTAAGACGTAGTATGCTGTATGGTATTAGGCGTGAGCTCACACTTGTATCACTAAATACTACTTTTTGTTTGTCAAAGATTATGCTTCATTTGTCAAAGTTGAATGATTATTTAGCTTAGTCTTAAATAATAAATGTCTAACCGAACGAAGACTGGTGCATTTCCTAAACATTAGAAATTGAAAATTAAAAAATAAGTATAATATAAGGAAATATAATAACTGCGAGTAAGCTAAAAAATATTTATAATTTATAATATTGAAATGAGCTGTAAGCAATTTTAGGAAATATAAATAATATATTAAACAAACATGATATATCTTATTCATTATAAGTATATTTACTACAAACTCTTACAACTTTTAACTACAAGTTAGAGTAGCACTAAATTTACTAAACTAGAAGAGTTGAAGGTAGGACTTGAGTACATTTTTAAACATATCGAGTAAGCCAGCAGGGCCGTCTTAGACTATGCAGGGGCCCTTGTGCACACAGAGTTTGGGGACCCTTTAAGAAAACCAAAAAAATATTTAAAGATGTAAATTATATTTTTCGGGGCCCTCGTCAGTACTGGACTTGTGCTCACGTGCACTTGTGGTAAAGATGGAACTGTATAAGCTAGGTAGCTCTGTAACAAAATGTTAATTTAGATAACTGATTTAGATCTATAGAGTTAAACATATTTTGAGCTATTTACTACCGATAACAAATTTATGCAGTGGCTAGTACTGATTTTTTCTTTTGTTATACAATTTGTCAACTCGTGAATCAGCTCATTTTTGTAAGAAATAATGTATTGCTTTTTTCAAAAATAAATTTGCTATCTACAAATCTATTTGTATTATGTGCCAATTGTAAATGTGAATTTTATATGAGAAAACACGAGAAATAATTTAACTAACATGTACTTTAATAATTGATTTTTAATTTTTTACTTAAAAGTGTGTCACTCGCATTACCCCAGTCTATTATATTATAGTAATCTAAGGTCGATTGGACTATTGCAAATTAAAGTGTTCTGTGCATTTTTTCAGAAAGAAATGTTTTAAAAGTTTTATGTCTAACGCGGTATTCATGTATTTTGTACTTATAAACTTTAAGGCAAGAACAAGCATTGGGTTTATGCAACTTGTCGATATATGCATTCCATTTTTGTCAATAGTGTTCTCTCGATAAGTGCAATGGTGATAAAGTATAAGTTGGTAAAATTGTATGATAAGAAATCATAATTACACAAAGTCAGTGAATTTAATAAAAAATCATTTAAAAGTAGTATACACTACCTATAAATTTATGGATTAATCTATAATTAGTCAAAACAACTTACCATTGCAAATCTGAAAAACATTTAAAGAATTAAAAAAACAAAAATGTGTTTTAAAACACAAAATTTCATTTTGTTTTATTGAAAATTGTTGTTAAAATGTTATCTTTTAATAAAGTATTTTTTTAAATTCAAATTATAAGTTGCCAGATAATGTATTAAAAACACACGTTGTGAGTGTATGGTCGAGTATATTTGTTTATCTATCGGTTTTAAGTTATAACTGACCATTTCGTCTATTATTGAGGTAATGGGGTTCTGTAATAATTTTAGTAGAATAAAAAAGGAGGAAAAAATAAAAAACTAGTTTGATCAAATTTTAGATGTAAAATTAATTAGAACTCTAACGTTTGATATTAAATTGTATAACAAACTTTTTGTGGGTTTTCCAGTTTCAGAGCAATTAGAAAAGGTCGGCGTACGTTTTAAATGGATTTTTGGTCGCTTTAAATGGACCTTAAAGCAAATGATTTATTGAAAACTCAATTAAGACATAAAATATAAAATATTACGTTATAACTAGGGAATCCAATATTTTCCGAATTACCGGGTGATTTGTTTAACGCCCTACACTAGTTTACTATTAAAATAATTTCAATTTTGTTTTCTTTTTGAAATCATTTTATTTATGTTGAAGTACAATATTAAAATTTGTTTAGTATTTGCTAGAGCTTTATCTATTTTTGAAACTTGGTAACATATACAGATTTACTAATATTGTATATAAATATAAACAAAATTAATAATAAAAACTACAAAAGATCAATTATTTCAAAAGAAAACTGGTATAGGGCGTTAAAAGAATCACCGGGTATTATAAAATATTAGTTAGTATCAAATGTGCCTCTCAAAAATAAAAGTATAAATATCATATGTACATATGTATGTATAAAGTAATTAATTAAAATTAATATAGCTTTACCTTATTAAAGTATTTTCAATACTTATGCCAATTGCGAACACCGTAAATTATAATACGAAACGAGAAGCTTACGAGCTCGTATGTTTTATTAGATAGAATTGTAAACACACGCACAAATGTCTGATATCATATTCAATATTTATATTAAGTATGGTCGAATACAATCGTCTGTGTTAGTTTAAATACAACTAACATAGGTAATATTTAAGTACAGAACACGTACGTTAAAAATTGAAACGAACGGTAAAAACCACAATTTTTTTTTTTTTTTTTTGACACGGTATACGGTATTACTAAATCTTTTATAACAATTGTAATTTTGTTTAACAAATAATCTTTCAACCGTTCAGTATTTTAACATAATATACTATTATGTTATACGTTAGTTAGTTAATTTTGTTATGGTACTGATTGGGGTAGTAATCGCAATTTTGATTGGACATTTTTTTTTTAAATTTGTTTAAATCATGCCAAACTAATTATAAATTGATAAGAATTGAATTGTAAGAGATATTGGCTGGGTCATAGACATAGACATATAGTCATAGATAATAAAATAACGGATGGCCACTCCTATACTAATAACGCACGGGTTGAAGCCCGGAGTGGAGAAGAGAGAAAGTCAGTTTCTTTTTCCATAGAAATATCTACTTATGTCTTTTTCTGTCAAGGAGTAAAGTTGTATGTGACCCTTTATGGCCTAAAATGTTCATCTCGTAAAAAACTACTATGCCCTATCCATTATTTTATTATCTATGGCCCTAGTAAGTAAATTACTATGATCAATGGTCATACAACCAATCGTTTCGGGAAATTAAAAAAAAAACAGTTTATAGTAGAAAATATCATAGAATTTAAGACATATGGATAATTTTTGTTTTTATATGTATCACGGATTAATTTAAAGTTGAAAAAAATATGTAATACGTTAACAGGGATTGTTGATTTAAGTCGCATTTTTATTTAAATTATTAAATTACACCAACCGATTAAAAAAAAAAACCAGACATTTTATTATAATTAGAGTTTGTTACTGGTGGAATAAACACAGGCTTTATTGCATACAAGCATATTTCATGAGTTTGAATCTATAGAACAAAGATAAGGAAAGTTTATTCTAATACAATTACAATTCATTTGTTTATTCATATAACTGCAAATAAATGCAGGCGAACGCTAGGACACAACGAATGTTGTAATATTGTAAAAGGAGGTATCAAGTATCAACACAGTTTGGAAGAACTAGAATATTAAGTACAGTCAAAAATCGCAGGTAATTATGTTTCTTATATAACCATAGTAAAATTTGTATGGCTAGAATTATTGCAGTTTTTTAAAAAAAAAAAAAGTTCAAATAATATCGATCGGCGATGGATCGGCGTGGAATGACGTGGAATGTACGAAAAGTACGTGCTGTAATCACAGGTGTTCTATGATTTTGCTAGCTCTTAAATATACTTGGAAAACATTTGCGACATATTAATTTTTTGAAATTTTAATTCTCTGCCACATATTACTAGCTAAATAACTCGGTATGCGAAGAAGGCAGCTCGTGTGTTAAACAATTATTTTTAAAAATAATGATTAAAAAAGTTGTACGCGGTAGGTAGGGGGGAAAGAAAACACTGCGAAAAAAAAAAGCTTTTTGTTTTAAAAGTTTATTGTGGTTTGTGTTCAGGAAATATCTCGACGTAGGTAATATTCAATTGTTTTATCATTATATGTATGTATTGTGTTATATATACAATATATTGTATTATTTAATAATTGTATTTAGACTTTTTGTCACTAAAACATACTACACTCCTATAATTTTAATGGACTATAGGGTAGATGTAAAAGACAATGGTATTATTTTTCTTAATTTTTTTTTATGACAAATTTCAAGTTTAAGAGTTTCAACCTGTATTTTGGTACATGTTTGTAATATATGCTACTGTAATATTTCATGTTCCTCACGAATCATAAATTACATTTTTAATCTATACATTTTAAAATAGATCTTTACTTTTATTCAAATATACCCCAACTATCGAGTACATTTGAATCTAAAAAGGACAGATTTAAATGTATCTTCATAGTAATTAAAATATTATAATATGTACAATACAATTCATTAAATTTCTATAAACCAATTTTTCTTTATTTAAAGCAAATATAGAATTTAAGGGGGACGGAAAGCGCTATTTATTAAGGGGCAAAGGATAGGCAATACATGACAAATATTGATCTAATAGCCATTTTTCATATGCCTACTAATGTTAAGGAGAACACGTATTACAATTTTCTAATTATAATGCTTTCAAAGTTATTTTTCTCCGAGTTATGACGAAATTTTGATAAAAAATTACTTTTATAGAAGTCATTTTCTAGCGGACGTATTTTATTTAGTTATTTTATTTGTATGCAAAGCTTACTATTTTTTCTAAGGGGGCTAAAAGGCCGATTTTTGATTTAGCGATTAAAAACGTAGTTAGATGTATTAGCAAAAATGATAAAGTACAAATAAAAATGCTAATATTATTTTTTGAAAACAAAAATAAAAAATCGGTTCGGTAGGGACTTCGAAAAGTGACTCCGCGTTTTAGTCTTGATTTGTAAAAAAATGGACGCTTTCCGTTCCCCTTAAAAATATAATATACAATATTTTATAATTTTGTTTTGATACTTTTTTTTTAACTCAAACTATTTTATAACCTTAACTTTACATAACATTTAGGACAAATAATATAAATTTATAATATAATCAAATAATAATTCGCAAGTTGTATTTTTGAATTTGCAAGTACTAACCGGATAATTGCAATTTTGTTATGTTTCTTTAAAATATTTTAGCATGGAACATGCTTTTGTCTTGGCCTCCCGGCTCGAAAATGATAACAAAAATGACACAAAATAGAGCCACGAAAGTAGCGCGTCTACTTTGAACGTATAATATGTGTATAACGAGTCGTCGTCGTCATGCAAACGTTTTGGCCAGACGTGTAGCTAAATCTATACCATCGTCATAAATCGCAAAGAGATTATAGATCAGAAATAATCACTATTCAGGAGCCAGCAGGCTAAAGCATGTTTCATGTTTATAATTTTAGTCGTCAGGCTTTAAGTAGACTGTAACCTTTTTTGTTTATGCTATATTACTATATGCGACACAATATTCAAATTTTGTATCTTTTATAGTACTTTAGTATCTAGAGCCTTATCATCTTTTGAAACTTACTTGAAGCTACCCGATTATATGTATACATAAACGAAATATATTCATTATTCTTGGTCGTGTCTATTAAAACTTAAATACGCCCTTAACCTTTACTCTGAACCCTCCCTAATACGTAATTAAGGAGATTAGTTTTGGCCCATAATAACTGAATACAGAGTTTTACAATTATATATTTTTAGAAACAAGTCCGGTCAAACCTTAAGCGATAAGTTAAACCTTCTTTAAGAAAGATTATAGTATGGTGTCAGGTGGTGTTTGATACCTGTTGAATGTTGATTTATTCACATATTGCAATCTAGAAATTTTTCCTTAAATATAAAAGAAAAATTTGATAATTTAATAATATTGAATAAAAGTTTGACTACAGAATTTTGAGAAAATTGTATAATATTATGTTTTCTTATAACTTATATATAAAAACAGCCATAAATCATTTTTTTTCTATTTTGTTAGTTTGTTAATGTAAATTGACAAGGCTTTAAACTACGCTAAAAATAGTGAAATAAAGGACCAATTTTCAATCCTTCTAGAGGAAAAAGTTTATGATTTATTTTCTGTTTGTCAACGTAAATCGATAATATTATACCTCAAGAATGTTCTATACAAAGTTGAAATTTATTCTTCTAGTATCTTTGAAAAGTTAGTGCACGTGATATTAAGATAACTATGTAAATTTTTGGTTATTCTAAATTTTGGAGAACGGGTAGACTTTTAACATTTTTGGCCCAATGAAATATCTTTTAGGTACGATATCTGATTTGTGCTATGTAATAAAAAATATAGTAAAATAGAATCCAAGCATTGTGTAACAATACTATCTCAGTTTCACATGGAAACTAAAATCACACTCGCGGGTTATTAAAGTGATATATTGTATAGATTTATTATGACAAAAGGTATTTGGAAAATATATTCATTAACTTGTTGATTACGGTATTGAAAATTTAGTTTGATTAGCAACGAATTATAAGGGTAGACAAACAATCAACTCATCGCTCCATCCACTCTATTACGACAAATATAACTGGTTTATGTTATTATCTAATGTTACTAGTATTTTGAATTTCCTAATCATCGAGAACAAATATTAGATTATTTTCAACTCAAAATTTAAAAAAATTTGTTTTCAATAAGGTGATTTATATTAAACCAGCCCCATTTTTACAAAACCTCCACTGCCTTGGATAAAATTAATATAATTTTTGTCGATAAAGTGGCCTACATTAATTAATTACAATTTTTTAATGTAAGAAACAAATTAAAAAAAAATAGTCTGAACGTCAGAGCAATTTGTCATGTAAAAAAACCCAGCTGTGTAAATAACTAACTTGTTATGCAAAACATAATTAAATTTTGGGTTTTCTCTCTATATATAAGCCCATAGACACGATCCAAAAAAGTCACATCAAAGCAGTATAAATAATTAAAGTAAATTTTACACACATGCTTCAAAAGTTGTAAGTACACTTTTATTTAGAGTATAATAATTTAATTATAAATTGCGTATTCAATATTGTACTATACCTACTTCGTTAAGAAGCAATTTTTTGAATAAATTTAAGTTAAAAACTAAAGCTAAAAAGTAGGCATGAGTTGATATTTATTTGTATAGTTACTTTATAAATCATTAGTCGATAAAAGAAATTATTGCTGTTATCAGAGTTCAAATTTTCGAGAAAAATCTACTTACTTATATCCAAGAAAGTTCGATAAGCCCAATATCAGCCGATATTGACTTATACTCGGCCTATGCTCAGTCCTAATAAAAAACTAAAAGCAATTGTGTAAAAACACGTGTACAGTATTTTACAGGGTACATGTGTTAGGATGTTTTATTGTTAGATATATTTTTTATCAGACCCTCACAGCGCAATGTGTTCTTAGTGGTCTAGAATACGAAAAAGGCGATCAAAAATGTATTTTTCATATGGCCGTAATGACCTAATTTTTTAGTAGTTAAGTACTGTAGTATATAAAAATACCCAATTTTAATTTTTAACATTTTTTTTTGAGATCAATTTTTTTGGTATAAAAAAAAATATGTAAGAAAAGTTATGTACCTACATTCTGTTATAGCATATTGTCCAATGTTTAATTATAATATATTGTTACTCCCTCGCCCTTTTTTTCTGTAAAAAAGTATATTTAAACAATCATTATTAATTATGTTCTTTTACGAAATTCGACTCTACTAAATAAGTGTATTATGGTATACTTGCTAAACCTACATTAAAATATACAATAAGGTATAATCAAGATAAAACAAGACAAATAAATAGTTGCAAATATCTGCAATTATATAGTTATTGTGTTAGTTTAAAACTAAATAATTGTTTCAATTAAGGCATGCAGCGCAGCGCGGCGTTCAGCGCAATAGTTAAAAAATATAAATTTAAAGTTAATTATTTAAATGAAACCATTTAATCTTGATTAAGCTAATTTTCATTAATTTAATTACTAATTAATTATTTTGACTAATTATTAATAATTATTTTTTTATTTAATTAGTCATATTTGTATTATTTTAATAAAATAAAATAAAATAGATTAATTTTATTACTTAACCAATTTTTGTTTGATCGTTAGGCCACTATAAAGCACCGCCCCATGGTATAGTCTATTCCAGAAAGTTTACTATATAAGATAAGATACCTTAAATGAAAAGTATTAAGTAAAAGAAAAGATTAAGTATATACTATATACTTAATCCTTTTACTGAAATTAATTGATTATTTCGAAATATTGCCTTATCGTATTGGAGTTATATTCACTCTGCCGGTTTATCATGACTTACCACAATGTAGATATTAAATACATAATAAAATAATAGGACACTAGAATTTGTATGTATGTAATTGCTACAGCATTTACAGTACATGTTTGATTATTTTGTTAAGCTATTGTTTTTTTAAAATGGCATTTATAAAAGTTACACGATTAATGGTCAACAAAAAAATGGTAAGACGATAAAGGTGAGAATAAAAAATCCTGTGCTATGTATTTCAATAATGAAGCATTAAAAATGAATGATAATGATGCAAAAACATTCCCCCCATAATCCCTAAGACCTTCCTCTAATACCTAAGTAGAGGAATTATTCAACAAATTATTTAAAATTAAAATTCAGCGACCTAAAAAACATAATTTGACCTATTTTGAGGATTTTTATTAAAAAAAATTAAGGAGATATTATTTTCAATAGCTTTTTTTTTTTCAGATCACTGCTGCACAGTTCTTATCAATTTTGAGCAAACGGTTTTTATATTTTTTATCAAAACGTAGTAAGAAACAGTTATGGACATTTTTATTCGAATAAAACTTTATTTGAATAAGTTTTCCACAATGTATTTAAATTAAGAAATATTCCATTTATTCGAGGCAGCTGTTAGACCGGTTTAGATATTAGGGTGGATACGATTACGGTTACTGATACCCGTTGACTGTTGATTCCCTCTCCCATGGCAGTACAATTTTTTAAAATTTTTTTTTTATTAATGGTAAAGGCTTCAATTACAGGATTATTAACCTAGAAGTTAATGTACAATAAATTTAGGAATTAGAATAACATGATATTTATAGTTTATGGCTTATATTTACATTGTGAAAAAATTTGATGATTTCAGTGGTGTTTTCTTCTTTGAATGCTTGGTGAAGTGTGAGAGGATTGTTGAGTTTCTTTCGTGCTTCTCTATATTTGGGGCAGTTGATGATTATGTGTTCTATCGATAATATTTGCTTGCAAGTGTCGCAAACTGGTGCTGGTTCCTTGTTGATAAGGTATGCACGGGTTAGGTGAGAGTGGCCTATTTTAGCTCGGGTGATGTTTGTTTCATCTCTTCTTTTAATGTTAGGGGGGTACTTCAATTTTTTAACGTTTAGTTTTACATTTCTAAGTTTATTGGAAAGAGGAAGGTTTAGCCAAAAAATTTGCCATTTTTCCATTATTTTGTGGTAAATTATGTTAAAAGTTTCGGGTGAGGTTAATGTCTGGATTTTTGTGGAGAGGGGGGATGTGGTGGCTTCATATGCTGCCGTGTCTGCTTTCTCATTTCCGGGTATTCCTATATGCGATGGGACCCACATGAAACATATCGATAAATTTGTTTCAGATATAAATTTCTGAATGTGTTGAACAAGCTCATTCTTGGCATAGGGGTTTGAGATTGATGAGAGGGCGCTCAGAGAGTCACTGATAATGATGCTGTTGCTTTTGGTATTTGAAGATGTGATGATTTTTAGGGCTGAGTAGATAGCATAAGTTTCCGCTGTATATATGCTAGAAGAGGGCGGTAGTTGAAAAAGGTGATTTTCCTGCTTTGTGATTGCTGAGAAACCCACGCCAGTTATATTTTTAGAGGCATCTGTGTATAATTGCGTATATTCCGGGAATTGTTGAGCTATTATTTCATTGAAATAACTGCGCATAATTGAGCTGTCAAGACTGTGTTTGCAGTATTCTGTCAGTTGAGTGTTGATGGAAGGCGACCAGAGCCAAGGAGGTAGAGAAGGCCTGATTTTGTGTAATGTTTGTGCTTGGAAATTTAAGTTTTCACTGATTATTTTAAAATTTTCGAAGATTGTGCATCGGTTAGACATGAGGTTGGGGGGGAGTGGGTTATGGATGACATTTCTGGTGATGTGATCGGCTAGGTTTTTAATTTTGGTTATGTACTTTAAGATGTGACTTTGGCGTCTGAGGTGGAGGGGAGGTTCTCCAGAATAAAACAATATGCTATCTACTGGGCTCGTCCTGAAGGCTCCTGTGGCCAGGCGTATACCTTGATTGTGGCAGTACAAATTGTGCTTTGATCAATACCTTGTAAATGATACGAATTTTTCTAGTTTTGTACAAAAATAGAGCCTGTAAGCGTTAAAATAATTAAATATAAAAATAGATCTCTCTTTATTTTGTTAAAATATATAAAATGTATAATATATGTTTACAAATTTTACGTTAATTTTTAGTGACAAATTACCCATACAATGTGCCTTAATGAATGCTTTCTGATAGCGTATATGTAGGCCCTAGTTCAGTAGGGGTAGATGGGGGAATGGCGGCCGGTGGGTAACGGTAAAATACAATTGAGAACGTTTTACCTTTTTGGCCGAACGATTGAGAACACTTAAAACTCACAAAGAACTTACCGCTGACCCACAAAACCAATACGATTGAAAACAAATTTACGTGCAACGTTGCCATATTATTTATTTGAATATCGGAATAATCTTAATTGCCCTACATTTAAAATTGCTTAAGTAAAAAAAAATTGGCCCAAAATATAATAATCGAAACCGTTTTAACTTTGACTTCAAATAATTTAACTAGGTCGATTTAAATGGTGTTTTTGTTTTGGATGTATCTCTTGTTTAGTGCATTGATGTATGACTAACAGGTAATTGTTTGAACAACCATACAAAAAACAACATCAAAATATGTTTTCTTCTTATTTCAATAAATACCACATAATAATATATAATACTAATAAAACATAATAAATTACACATAATAAGTGTTTTCTATACGTTTCAGCTGTAAGAAAATAAATATACTATTATTTAGAAAAGTAATAATAATGATAAAACTATATAATATTTCCAAAGGGTTTTAACTGAATATAAAAATAAAATAGTAAAATTATTCATGACCGAATTTAGAAATTTGTAGGTGCCATAAGACAAATTTCAGATTACTACAATATGGACAATGATTTTTATAAAAATTAATTGTGATGAAATCACATCCAGGTGTATTAACTGCATTGACCCGACTTTGCTAACTTCTTCTGTACTGATTTATACTTTACTTGGTTTGGACTGCGCTGGTTTAGATTATGCTTGATTTCAATGTAATCGGTTTCAATGGAATATTTTTCTACTTTACAATTTAGTGTTTATTAAAAAAATGTATAGACACGAAATTTAAAAAAAAATCTGTGACGCGTGTGGCGTCCTCTTTATGAAATATTTAGTTTTCTATATTTATAAAAGGTCGATAACGAATTCGGACACCTGCGATTGCTTGCGTAACAACAGCAAAGATGAGGTGTACTGCTGGCCCGTCCACTAATAACAGTATTAATGTATGTTATGTTTATATAGGCACGGACGCATCACATTCAATCAGTATCAGATCGATTGCCGGAGCGTCATCACCATGTACGTTGTTGCGGTTGTCGCGCCCTCGCTATGGCTGTTGTTGTGGACGTTTTCTGTAGTGACCAGGGCGGATAAGCCGGTGGCAGACAACTGTGACTTGAGCGAAGATTTGCGCAAGGAGATCGCGGGTTACCGGCCGATTGTGAAACAAGTGCTGGCGTACGTCCTCGACGGTCCGCACAGAGGCCGCACGTGGGCCGAGCTGGCCGAATTCACAGACACGTTCGGTTCCCGGTTGGTCGGTACTAAAAACCTGGAGAATTCGATTGATTACATGTTGGACAAACTCAAGGCTGCGCACCTCGACAACGTGCACGGCGAGGAGATGACGTTCGAAGCCTGGCAAAGGTGATATAAATAGTACTTGAACCTAAACGCTGTAACGTAAAAAATCGCTTATTGTGTTGACCGCTCAGTGACCTATGAACCTAAAGACATACGCGGTACACAATAATTGAGTTACGTCGTAAATAAAACATCTCATGGCAACTATATTATAGTAAATACACAGTATCGTAAACCTGTACAAGTCAAAACATATAAAATTAGGATTTTATATCGATAACCGTTACCTTTGTGGGGTGTTAAGAAAACAGTTTAAAAATATATATCTTATCATACCTAACAAACATAACATATTACGCATTATAATACAAAATATTATATTAATGTGTAGTTATATTATTGATTTAATGGGTGGGCGAGTGTTAAATATGTTATTCCCTCAGATATTAGTGGATGGTTCACTGATTATAATACAGTAATGCTATAATTTTATAATTGCAGTATGATTAATACAATATATTCATAATTATTATGAATAGGAGGAATATTAGGTAAAAGTGTCTGAGAACGACTTTCATAGCTTGTTATACTCAGGGGTTAAAGTGGGGGGGGGGCGCAGGGGGACTCAGTCCCTTTACCTCCAATGGTGGTTAAAAAGCGACCCCTTTAACAAATTATTCGTAAGGTACACCGTACCGCTCCAATTATAACTAAACATTAGTCATTATAATTCAGAATTCCGTTGAGATTAAATGTTGGTTTTTATTTTTTTATCGATTGTTACTTTACTTTTATCAAATGTATTTAATACAAATTATGGACTATCTAATATATGTGTAAAATTAATTGATTTTATTAGTTATTGTAAATGGCTATACTGTGATAAATAGGTATTCGATTAGCCCATAAGTGATAACATATATAAATAGGTAAAGTGTGAATGTGTGATTTTTTAAGCATGCTCACCCCACCATGCGTAGAATTTGAATTTTTTCTTGTACAATTTAAAGCACTAAAAACACTACATTTTTATGATGTATATATTTTTTGTCTGGGTGATTTTTTTAGTTTTCTTAAAAGACAACCACTACTTACAACTTAATATTATTAGAAAAAATATTCTCTTTCAAAATGTTAAATTTATATAAAACACGAGTTATTCTTAAAAATGTTGTATTATTTGTGATTTAAATTTTTTATGAAATAAATTACATATTTGAACATTATTTAGGGATAAAAGTGGGATTAGTATGTTACACAATCACTGTTTCTATATTACATATACTATATGCATTAGACATTATACATAAAATTATATATGGAACGCTTTAAGCTATATGGAGACATTAGTCCCCCCTGTAATTTTTCCCCACTTTAAGCCCTGGTTATACTTAAGGGAAATGGAAAGCGTCGATTTTTTTTAAAATAAAGACAAAGGTTCAAGTGTCTACCGAACTGATTTTGAATTTTTTTTTAAAACAAATTTTCTCTATAGGCTAAAAGGCCGATTTTTTTCTAATAAATCTAACTAATTTTCTAATTGATAATTAAAAAATATGCTTTTTAGTCCCCATTAATAAAACAATAAGCTTCACATAAGAATAAGAAAAATTGGAATCTGTCCAATAGATACGCCAGAAAATTACTTTTGCCATAACTAGGAGAAAAATAACTTTAAAAGTTTTGTAACTAGAAAAACATAATATTTAAAAAATATATATATTCGGTATATATAAAATGGCTTCTAGATCAATTTTGGTTAAATATTGCCTATCATTTGTCCTTTCCGTTTCCCTTAAAGAAAATGTACTGTATATTTTTTAATGTTTTCATTTATTAAATTACGAGAGCGTTTAATGTAAGATAACGAACACAATTCTATTATTAGTAAGCCTAAAAATAATTGGTATAAAATAATATTACCAAATAAATAATATTGGTATAGTCTCACATAAATATCAATTTTTAAAAATTTGAGAATCTGTTTCAACATTTTTGAGAATATCAAACTCTGTGTCTTAACTTTAGTTATAACATAGTTTAAAATTATTGAAACATGTTTGACAACATTTTTTTTTGTATATTTAAACTGTTTTGTTGAGATGTAGGTATTACTCTTGAATCTTGATATTTGTAGTTAGCTAAAACTTACCGTTTTATTATAATTTATAATATAATATGTATCTTAATCAAGTAGCTTAGTGTGTATATGAATCAGTTTAAAAGGGGTGAAGTCGATGAACTGATCTTAAAGCTGTTTTATTTTCATTTATAACTTGAATATTGGATACCGATTTAGGTTTTATACATTTACATTTTGTAAAATTAGACGGAAAGTAATAATGAAAGTGATATTAAAGTAAAGTAATGTTTGATTGAGTGCCTAATAGAGTTGTTCGAGAAGCCACACACAGCCTTTAATTCTTTATCCCGTTATATTGATGTACGACTTTTCCGGCTAGTTTAGAAGTAATATAAAGTAAAAGTGTACATTTTTCAAAACCATAGAATATGATAATTTTACATATTAAACTAACATTTTGTCCATCATTATTATTTTGAGATATGTTCATTCCGCCAGACCAATGACCTCTATTTTGTACACAATTATTAACAGTTAAAAGTCCATACAGTTTCACGAACAACTTGCTCCGTATAAATCAAATGATAAATCAAATAATATAGCTATAGTGATGGCTTTTTCTGGAAATATTAGACAACTAATTAAAAAATATAAAACACAATATTTCATTAAATTATTTATTATTAATATTATAATAACTCAAGACTATTCTTAGTTTTTGATAATTATATTGAACACTGGTAAGCTATTGTGATATGAAATTATATTGTTTTAATGTATTAAAATATTTTTTTAACTATATATATATATGTATATTCTTATGGCGTATTTGACCGGGAGGGCTAAAATAAATTATACAACAATAAGGGTTATAAGTAATATTGTATTTTAATTGTTGAGGTTTAAATCGTTTTACAGCGTGTTTGGGATAAGGATTATTAAGCATGTATATCTATATACATAGTATGGTCAATACTAAATACTATTAAAATAACTACACAATCGACCATAATATTATAAGAGTTCTACATTTGTATATTTATTTTCTCAATATAGCCTACAGGCCAAAAAGCTTTAAAAATACAGAAATTACATTGCAAAGATCGTAAAATACTTTACAAAAACTAATTAAACGTGTTGGTAAAAATAATTTTTGAATTGAAGCAAAAACCGTGTTGACTTGAATTTTAAAAGATACTAGTAAGATTTATTAGGAGCTAACTATTTTAGTTTTATATAATTTTTGAAGTTTATTAATAAATTGTTATTGATAGATGAATCAATAGTTTTTTTTTTGTTTTGTTTATAGAGGTGATGAGTCTGCATGGTTAATAAGTCCCAGATCTAAGAAACTGGGCATGTTGGGATTGGGAACCAGCGTAGGCACTCCTCCGAATGGCATCAATGCCGAAGTGGTAGTTGTAAACTCTTTCGACGACCTACACAACAAATCTTCGATTGTACGTTAAATTGATTTTTTTTTTTACAATAAACTATGACAAAAGATGAGAGAACCTTGACACAAATATTATGTGGGTGTTGGTTCTTAATTATAATTCCCTAAAAATAAACTGAATAATTATATTTCTGTCTCGGTCAGATCGAAGGAAAGATTGTTGTTTACAACCAGCCGTATGTTTCGTATGGTATTACGGCACAGTACAGGTCTCTTGGGGCCAGTATTGCAGCTAAGTATGGTGCCATAGCCGTTCTGATCAGATCCATCACTCCCTTTTCGTTGTACACACCGCACACCGGACATCAGCAGTATAGCGAAGGCATAAAAAAGATACCGGCTGCTTGTATAACCATCGAGGACGCGGAAATGTTGCAGAGAATGTACGACAGAGGTATGAGTACCTGCGTCTGCAATAGTGTTTAATTTCTAATTTGTTATGAATATATATTTCAGGTAACAAAATAGAAATATTATTGAAGATGAATCCGAAATTCTTTCCCAACGCGACTTCTAGAAACACCGTGGCGGAGATCAAGGGCACGACCAAACCAGAACGGGTTTTAGTGGTTTCTGGACACCTGGACAGCTGGGACGTGGGCGAAGGCGCTATGGACGACGGTGGAGGGGCGTTCGTCAGCTGGAACAGCCTAGTAGTGCTTAAAGAACTCGGGCTGAAACCCAAGAGGACCATAAGGTAAGACAACCGAGTGAATTTTGGGTAAGGTAGTAATTTCAGAACATTTTATTATTGTTCATTTAGAATTATGCGAAAAATGACATTTGTACAACATATCTTAAATATGTACATTAGCATTTATAATATATACATGAAAGATAATTTTGAAAGTAATTTCATTTTTATCTTATGTGTTATTCCTGACTTGCCTTCTGACTTTGAATGTTTGTGATCATAGAATGCTCTATGACAGCATCGTTGCCCATAAGCCAGTAGTACCTAACTACTTAATTATTATTTTTTAATAATTATTACATTAGCTATAAAAACTTGCTACCTGGATCTAGGGATGTGTAGGTTCTAAGTATCATGTAAATTAAATGGTCCATAAATTAATCGATATCTAAACGTTTTTGGAAAACAAGGAGATACATTATTGCGTACCGCCAAAAAAAATTAAATAATTTAGTTTTTACTGATAAATGTATGTAACGAGTTATCCATCAGCTCACTAGAAATGACGTTGGTATAAGTCCCACTAGTCTTTTAGCCTTACAACAATAAGTCGAGTTGTTGACTTCAATTCAAATTGGTATTTAAATAATGAAATTAACGTTATAAACTTAGGTATATACACATTGTAAAACAGAACTTTTATTATTTTCCTGGGTTAAAAAATGATAAGTCCGTTAATCCGGAATTGAAAATGATAGCAGTAACCGGATACTTCAGAGTTCAGATTACGGATTTCAACCTTATCATGATAGTATACCGTGATTAGTAAACTATTATAATATATCATAGTCCATAGATTAACACAAGCTTATCGTAATCTATGTTGAGCTGAACCCGTGTGGTTGTTGTTTAAGGTGTATACTGTGGACTGCCGAAGAGATGGGTTATTTAGGGGCAAACGCTTATTTAGAACAACACGCGAATGAACTTGACAACTTCGATTTGGTCATGGAATCTGACGATGGCACGTTCACACCTTACGGCCTGGAATTTCACGGTTCGGACAAGTCGGCATGCATAATGAAAGAAGTGGCCAAGTAAATTTTAATTTACCATATTATGAACCTTATTATCTTTTATAATTTGCACTTTCATTGCCGAGTTTTCCGTTTAGGATGTTTGACTCAATCAATGCGACCACAGTGATTTCGAAAACCGAAACTGTCGGGTCCGACATTGATGGATTTCAACGTTTAAAGGTACCGGGACTGAGCTTGATGAACAAAAATGAAAAATATTTCTGGTATCATCACACACAAGCTGACACAATGGCAGTCGAAGACCCAGATGCATTAGACTTGAACACGGCAATGTACGCGCTAGTCTCTTATATTGTTGCGGATTTATCTATAGACTTACCAAGATATACCTAAATACGAATATGAGTATTACACAGTTGTAAGCAGTAATTAATATTATGTTGTTGGACTTCAAAAGTTAATATTGTTATTTATTATTTTAAACTGAAATCAATTTTAATAAATTAAATTGAAATTATACCTATTAACTAAAATTGTCATATTGATGACTTAAAGTTAAAATAATAAATTTAATTCGGGAAAAATATGAAATTTTTTTTTTTGAGGATTTTACTCTCTATTTATTAATGCTAAACTTTGACGCGTTATTAATAATTCAACATAATATTAATCTTAAAAATGTATTAGTTTAAGACAATATAAGTGTTTTATAAAAATAAGATTTCGGATAAATTTAAATATAAAGCATAACATTTATTCAAAATAATAAATATATTATCTATTTGTTTTTTGTGTTACAATCAAACCATTGTTGATAACTATTATGCGTGTATATATTTTTTAATGATAAATATTCATTAGCGTGCCTTTAAAAGGAAAATTTAAGAATTACAATCAGACCACTTCCTAAATTAGTCTGAAAGGGTTAAAACCGACTCTTACGAACTTTTAACTGGTTTAATGCAAAATCAGATTCTACATGCAATACTGTTATAACCTGAAAATCCGCTACTTTCTTTTAGTTCTTAGGTGAATTTGTATCGATATTAGATTTATCTACGTATATAAAAAAAAATGTAAAATAAGAGATTTTACAATAGAATAACAACAAATAAAACAGTTTATAAAGTTATATTGTCATAAACTAAAAATAATCATACGAAATTAAGTTCCGTTTGAGCTATGAGTTTAATTTTATAAACATGGCACTTCTTTACAGCTTACATAATATAATATATCTACTACATGATTGATGTCTACATTATCTCATTTTGACTGATTAAATTAAGATAGATAATTATTTTCGAACTGTTTTTTAATTAACATAACATTTTGCTGATTTTGATAATATTTAAGTAAAAAACATGACAGAACTCTATATTCTGAATATACCGTATACTCAATGGTATTATTTAATTGGACCTTTATGTGTGCACATTTACAACTAGATGGCGCCGTTGTTATATTAATATGTCTTTCGCCAACAAAATAGGTACGTGGTGTAGTAATAAATTGGAAATTTAACACACTACACCAAAACAGTACACATTATTTTTTTTTTAAATTAAATTCTTATCTTACTAACGTTTTATTTTAATTAACTAACGAACTCTTTACAATGATTTTTCTGTAAGTTAAAATTGTATGCACTATTGACTTTGACATCTTCTTTTTTTCTGTAATAATCCATACAATTACTGTCGTCACTCGTCAGTCGGCAAACCTTCACTTCTCACATTTCTATCAATCCTAATACAGGAGTAGCAAATAAATAGTCACCGTAAGAAATGAGGCAGAAAATAAAATAAAATAATTTCAAAATTTTTAATTTTACTTAAATTGTACCCGACTGCGGATTTGAGGTGTAATGTATGTTTGTTTTTATGTTGCAACTATCCGATTAAGCTATTGGACCAATTTTGATGGAATAAGAACTAAAATATTCTGTGAGTTTCCAGGAGTGTTCTTAGCCAGGTTTATTTAACGTGCGATTGCATAATAACCGAAATCTAAAAAAAAGAAACACGATATCAGTTCAGGAAAAGCGACTATCGACTAGAATAAACTGCACAGATTTTATGAGTAGCTATAACAGGATATTCGGTAGAAATATGACCTTTCCGTCAATGGCGATTAGTGACTGATATAAGACTTTGATGATGATCTACAGATGGAGGTCATCAATCTTGCTTCTGGGTTAGTTGAATCTCACGAATTCCTGGTATAAAAGGTATTTTACAGTGACCTAGCCGTTCTTATTTTACCGTAAAAAAGATAAGTATTTTGTTCATACTTGTGATTGTGTATATTAACACACCAAATTTTTAAGAAATCCATATTGACAATATTTACATATGTTACCAGATCATATAATGCAGTTTTTAGCTGTTTTCGTACAAGACTATGATGAGATGTAGTTTTCTAAGAAACTAAACAATTTAAGCATGAAGGTTGTTTTTAATAAAGGGTCGGAAAGAGAATGAATGCTACTTAAATGTGTGTCGATTACCTACACAAAAAAATGGGTTTGATTACAATTTAATTTAGTATTGAAAAAAATTATACAAATAAAACGGAAACTTTTCTTTAGTCGTATGCATAATTTATGGTGGTCACTAAATAACATAAGGTTTTTCAGTAACTTTTTAATCTTTTGACATAAATTATGTACTATTTTAAAAGAATGTCCCCTATTTATGAAATAGTTAGTTTTAGGCAGTTTTTAGTTTTAATTTAAAGGTTAAACTGTGATATGTAATTATTAGTTCAGTAATTAGGACTTTTTTCCTAGTTATTTTATTTTTTGGACTATCACAGCATCCTTGACGGTGGTTAAACCACTTATTTTCATCTAAACATAGCTACGCAGAATGCGTTTTACTAGGTCCACAGTGAAAACCACTGTGGACCAGATTAAAACAGATCGTCTAAAACAGATTAAAAACACCTATTATAAAATCGAAAGATAACAACATTTTGGAGACATTGTCGTAAAAGATTTTGAAAATATTAACGTGAAAAAAAGTTATAGCTATTTAAAAAAAGTAAAAAATGTGATTTTAAATGTTGAATATTAGGTTTATCAAAAAAAAAAGGATATGACACCGTCTCCAAAATCTTGTCATTATTCGTTTTTGTTGTAATAGGTTTATTTTTGCTCTATAATCACCACGAAGAAAGTAAAATGCATTCTGCGTTGTTATGTTTAAAAATTGGGTTTATAACTTATAAGTCCTCTAATGTTTACAATCTCTGATCCATAGACTTACTACTTGGAGTAATATCGGTCCGGCTATTAAAAAAAAAACATAGGAAAACTTGTCGGTTTTTTTTTTTTATAATCCCTAGAACATTATTATTATTGAGTTTCTTTAGTGGCTTGGTACAATAATATTTTGATTGACATTATCGTATATTATTGTCAAATGTCATCGCTGAGCTCGGTCAGCTGTGGAGCTGTATCGCTGTATAAAACTCATTGACTATATTCTATAATAATAATAACAATATTATGTAGTGCCACCGTAAAACCGTCGTCATCGTCGGAGTAGACAAGCTCGCGTGGCATAGGACGGCGGCAAAGGGTAAGCGGAGGCGCGTCGACGACCGGCAGCGGTGGCGGGAGTACTTTTGATGCTGCTGTCAAGTCGGTTGGCAGATGCTGAAAAGATAGTTTGACAGGTGATTTATCATAATGTTTTGAAGTCAGCGTGACGTGGCCCCCGGGCTCTCTGTAATCATTTGTCACTGTCACCGCCGCCGTCGACGATTACTCTACACACACACACACACACACACACGCATACTTACAAACTTACACACACATACACAATTGCTATATTATAGTGCTTGATGTGTGACGGGCAAAGCAGTCGGGAGCGGGCGTCGGTGCGTACGAGAGCGGCTCGTTAACTCATTTTTAATGACATGTCAGACAGGTTGTTTTTATAACCGGACCGCCTCTGAGAGATACATATATAATATTATGTGTCTGAATATGTGTGTGTGTGTGTGTGTGTAATGTGTATGTCGGAGGCAACTCACACGTTTTCCCGTCCTGAGTGCGGGCGGCCGTCGTTTTGGGTTTTTCAATAATTCAAAATCATATTGATATCGGCTGTCCGGTCGAGTAGGTACTTGTATTCGTGAAACGATTAGAAAAAAAAGAAATGTGATAAAGTCTCTACTAAAAAACTATCACCGTTCGGAAAAACACACTTTGACGACAGTGAATAACTGTATGAAAATATTATAAGTTATAACAAATAAAACGAATATTATTATAGCATTCTAACTCTATTATAATTTGCAAGTGATGGAAATATCCGGGTAGAAATTTCGATTAGCCGTATTTCATGGATTTAGTCTTAAGTTAAAAAAAATGTATAATTTTAAATAATTGTAGAGTACACCTTTTGTACCGGAAGTTTTATAATTTTGAAATTTTTCACTAAATCCGAAAATCCGTTAAATTTAGATTTGAATATCTGGATATCGGGCAACGTGGTGTTTTGGGATACATTTGTGGTGTATGGGATTTTACGCGTCGTAATCTTTAACAAATGTTTGCACAAATAATGATAGCATACTAAAAAACTATTTCTTCTTGATTAATGAATATTCTACAAAAAAAAAAAACTAACGCTATGGTACTTATAATATTGTTATGATATTTCTTTAAAGGGATTGAAAGTAGGTGGTTTTAAAGGAGTTTTGTATAGGCAATATTAAAAAAAAAATGCTCTTAATGAAATTCCACTGTTCATTTATTTTCAGGTTAATATTTTATAAAAGCTTCAGGGTATTATTTTTAATGTATTACATAACAAAAAAAATCGGTTTTTAACATAATCTAGTAAAGTAACTCATATACTTTTACAAAACTGTAATCCTATAGTGAGGCTATAATTTTAATGCTTAAGATTTTCTCAAAAATCTGTAGATAACATTTTTTATTTATGGGTAACAACAACAACAAATTATTATATACTATTATATTATATCAGTATTGTATATGCTCTTAAATATAATTTCAAGCTTTTGAATAAAACGGCAGTTTTAAGTAAGATATAACGAGTATAATGATATTATATTATTATAATACTTTTGGAATGTAATGTTTGTACGTTAAGAGGGCGTCGCACTGGTGATTTTCAGTGTTACAAACATGTTTACGCCAACTGAAAATAACTCGCTTAATTTTGGTTTTAGAGTAAAAGCATCCTTATAAAATTAAAAGGGAACAATATTATGGAGGGCACCACGGTGCGTTTTTTGAAAAGTTACAGTCATTTAAAAATGTTAAAATAGTCGTTATTTCTAAGCTATGTATTGAGCGTTATACTTGGAATAATGAAAAAAAACGCACCGTCTTGCCCTCCGGAATATTGTTTTCTTTTAATTTTATAATGTGTGCTTTTACTCTAAAACCAAAATTAAGCGAGTTATTTTCAGTTTGCTTAAACATGTAGAGATAAAAAAACATTTTTAAATCGCTTTCAAGGATACTGTGATAGTCCAAAAAATAAATTAACTACAAAAATAGAGTCCTAGTTATTGAACTAATAACTACACATCACAGTTTAACCTTTAAATTAAGATTTTGTAAAAAATTGCCTATACTTTACTCCTTAAAAATGGGCGGTGCGACGCCCTCTCAGGGACACG